GGCTTACAATTTTGATGAGATCAAGGATTAGAAGGAGCAGATTGAATATTTACAAATCTTAATTTGGATCATAGAGTCAGTGCCTGATTATGAATTGAAATTGGAGTGTATAGCAATATTGAGGATGCTATTTATCAATGGAATATCGAATGTGGAAGGTTATCTGTAAGCGATATCAGTGTATCTGTCTCCAGTGAGATCATTCCAAATGAGGTCGGAGTTGAAGAAAATGGAGGAGAACTTACAGTTTAAGCCATCTAAGATGTCATGTGAATTATAATTTGGTTTCTTTTTTGATCTGAACAAGTTCCAAAGCATGTTCGACAAGAAGATAGATTAAAGGAGTTCTGATAGTTACGATAATCAGCATGGGAAGATACAGGATCTGAAGGTATTCAAGTTGTATTTTATTTTCCTATGTGAATTATTGTTGGTGTATCCATTCAAGAAATAACAAGGGTCGATCAATAGTGGATTTTACCTATTAAAAAACATCTATGATAAGGGAAATGGTTCGTTAAGAGAATTCAGACGCATCTTATAGATAATAAGTAAATTGAGTACATGTTTGGATTATTTGCAATTCTTCTACAAGATGATTTTGGATATCTATGGATATACCTATGATAGATTCTTGTAATTCGTATTAGGAGATCCGAATAACAAGTAATAAGAGTAGCCTCTCCAGACAGAAGGAGAGGAAATCATGTTGATGGCAGTCAAATTCATGATGTTGGGAAGAGGACACTTGCTGTCTCCAAAACTATTCCAACCAACTCAACCAAATAAACTAGTTGTGAAAGTGGTGCCTAAGGATGAGGACTCGATGATGAGAGAACAAGTTCTCAATAAATATCTGGCCATCTATTACAGGAAGAAATACTGGTAGAAATTGTACAATTCAAGTATCAAACTGTTCACCAGTGAATATCTACCATCCATCGTCATCTACAATCTCTCTTATATTCCACTCTAAGATTAACCACAGTAACCATTAAGGGAATGCATCATACCAAGTGCAGCTATCGAATTACTGGGTACAGCTGCAAATGTGAGTAGTCGTCTGCTCAAACCAATATTTAATCAAGTTATTGTCAATGACATCAAAACCATCACTCAGATAACTGATTATGTTTCTCAACAATCTATATCCAATGGAACTCTGTAGACTATTTCTAATTTCCTTGTTCAATAAATTCTATCTCAGATAACCAATATTTATGACATTATGGACAATCAATAGACTTAACTTAATTTCAACAACCTAATCATGTGTCTCAAATAAAAGAATCTATTGCCATCAGCTCAATATTTGTTAGAATATATTTATTAGTATTTGAATGAAGAGGATTCATCTTACTATTCACAATTAAATGAAGATATCCTGGTATAATTACAGGGAGTATACCAAGAGTAATGGAACAAATAATGTCTATTGGGTTGTAAGGCCTTGACTGCTACTCAACCCTGGGTTAAGTAATTAGTTTTACTTAACCAATTAAGAGAACCAGCTCAATCATATTAGTTAATATTAAATAATCAAGAGTCTGTTGATCAATTTTGGTTGTAACTAGAATAAGAAACTAATGAGGCTTAAGGGATTCAAAAAGAATATGATCAATAAATCATTCATCAACTATTCACAGAGTCATTGTAACAATTAAATTAATGGAATACACTCAAATAAGTAGATCTGAGTAGGGTATAGGCTGTTTAGAATAGAATAATCATGGGATTTAGGGAGAGATAAAAGGATACGACTGAACAAGGATGGAAAGAATTGAATCAATTGTCAGATGTTAAACAAAACATACAATAGAATGATCACTTCTGTTACAATTAAGCCTATTTCAAATTACTCGATTTTGTCAGAGATGAAGCATCTTCGAATCAACATGGAAGAGGTGGTGGCAATCATGTCTTATAATCAATTGAATAAAATCTCAAATATGCTCAAATTATCAATTGCTACAATTTCATCAAAACCCTTCCCAAACTCACCTAATCATACGATTAAATGATGGCTTCCCCTTTATTGTGGGGTAGTAAATTCCTTAATTTTGTATCTCAATTCTAACTCTACACTGAATTGGAAGAAAGTCTCAGGTAGTATGCTCCTACTCAGCCTGCCTTTCCTGGCTAAGCTTAACCTAGTTATGAACAACAATGGGATTTAATCTCTAATTCCTATTAGTCTAGTCTATTGTGCAAAAAGTACTTTTTCGAAAGGCAACCAACAATTATTGATTAATAAGAGTTTACCTTTGATTTGATCAGCTAAAGAATGGTCTAATTGCAAATGTGTCTGTAAAGATTTAATGGATAATTAAGTCAATTACTGAGCAGTTAATAATTGCCAGCAAATACAAGCATAGATCAAAAGAGTTACTAATTAGCTGTTCTGGATTACAAGACTCTCCTATATCCAATGAGGTATTACTAACAGAATGGAATCTTTGAGTTGTTCGATGAATAATCAATTCTAAAGGAAATCCCTAAGACCTTACAAGGTTATGCTGAAAAGATTTATCAATTGGAGAAAATCAAGTTTAAAACAATCAAGTTTTAAGACGTTGACAATAATCAATAGAATCTGACTGAAATGCTCAATTTCTTCAGTTCCTTGTAATCAGGTAACTATAGTGCCGAAGAATTCAAAAACTACATGATTAGCAAGATCAGAAGATATAAGATGATCAACTAATTTTACAAATTATTGAGATTAGATCAATCGACAGAGTCTAACAATGGAATGTAAATCGAGGAATAAAAACTGGAGGTTATGGTCAGTTAGACAAATGAATTCTTCATTTAAAACCAAGTTAATTATTTGAAATTCTGGAAAGAAGCTCACAAAGTCTATCAGCTTGCTCATAAGAGATATAGCAACAATATTAAGTTTGCCCATCATTACATTTAAATAACACCTCTAAGCATGCAATATAAACCATAAAAATTCCCTATCACAGGTATGTACATGTTTCATATTCTGAACATCACTAATCAAACTGATTCAATAGTGACAGATGCATTCTCCTAAATAGTTGCCTTAATACCCTTACATCTATTACAAAGATTCTTCACTCAATTAGTATCAACCTATCTCTAAACTCCTTGCGATTAAACCAGAAAAGATTGTTTGGATGCTATCACTAAATTATGCACCTTCAACCCTCTGAATAGTTTTTAACTACTATAATATCTAAAGAGTCTGGGATAGTGCACAGACGAGAGATCATAATAACTTATCAATTCTATTCCTAAATTGTCCAAATTAAATCACAAAATAGCTTCCATTTACTCATTACGTTATCTTTACAATTCAGTATTTGATCAACTAGTATGGGATAATGTTGAAGAAATAGTATATTAATGTGGAAAAATCTTAGATTCCAAACAATTTGAAATAAATTCTAGTAATATAAATGACAGATGTCAATAGATTTTAAATATCATTCAAAAGTATCCTTAAATTAAAGAGATGATTAAGTAATATTGGTAATTTGGTGATTTGAATAAACAATTAAAGAGTGATCAACTTAAAACCATTCAATCAATATATTTGGCTTCAATAAAATGTATATACATCAATCTTTTTGGAGTCAATATGAGTTTGGAGGAAGACTTTCCATTACAATTAAGTAATTCCATCAATTCGTTTATGGCAAAATAAATCTAAATAGATTAATTGTATTCGATTAATGATGAATTCCAAATGAATCCACTCCCCATGTTGGGATTAGATGGACAAATTAAAAGAACTCAAGCTTATGAAACAATCTAAATCACAAATGTGTTTCCAACCATTCATATTATATTTTTAAGGAGAAAACGATTCATTCGACAAATAGCTTTGTTGGGGAATGATGAAAAGAAATATCTATTCCTTTTAAAAACTAAAAAAATTGAAAGTAAGAAACCCGTACAAAGCATTCTTGAAGAACACATATCAACCTAATTTGTTAAAATGACTAATATGTTAAATTAAAACTACAAAGAAACTAAAATTAGAAATGTAAAACATATCGTTTCAGATAAATATCTTTTAGAACATGATAAACTAAACTACTAATTAGAACCATATTAAGAAGAAACCTACAATCTTAGTAATATATTAGATACAATTCTCTAAATCCATTATCATGCAAATCCAAAGGGTGATTCCTCAATCAAAATACCATATTATAAGTATTATTTCATTATTATAAACTTAGTACTCAAGTAGATTATTTACAGAAAAATGATCTAACTAATCTCATACTAAGATTTTCAAAAACAGTTGACACTTTTGTTCAAATCAGAAAAATCATTGTTGTCAATATTGCAGTTCAATATGCTCTATCATTCACTATGGCTAGCAGCTAATCACCAAAACAATTAGAAAATCTACAAATAAATTTGAGCAATGGTAATTTCTACCAAAAGAAATATCTATTCAAAGTCAATAATCAAAGGCTCACTTTATATGATCCATTTGCTATCAGATATTCAAGAAATATTGAACATTTAGTTGGTGAAATTAATCTTAATGCATATTTAATACCAACATTCACAGCAACCATCATCGGCATTCTTAATATTGAGTAATATATCATTTTAATTCTTAGTCTCCACGAATACTTGAATGTGGTATTTTGGTAATTGGGATGTAAGGATTCTCTTGAACCTTTCATTAAAAAATTGAAAGATATTGTTTATGAAGATGGAATTATCGATTCTAAATGCGAAAGATTAATTGCCATATCTAAGACCCTATTCAGTGGTTAAGAAAAACTTAAATTGTGGGCCAAAAGATGGTTCTGATTGGTATTATGAATTATAATAATTTAATCATTTCTTACCAGAAATATATTAAATGATTGTTTAATGATTTCTTACTTTGTTGTTGTGGTAACATCAACAAAGGAAGAAATCAATTATCATGTTTAATTATTGTTTTTTCTTAGAACTTTGTTAGGGATTATATTATAATATTTTGAATTTCATATAATATTCTATACTAAATAGAAAATTAAGTAATAAATTTTGATTTTTAATATTCACGATTCTGCATGAGTTGATTCCTGAAGATTCTCATTGATCGTCTTTAAATCTTAGCTTACAAGCAATTCCTTCTACTTGCTTGAACTGCTAGTATCTCCTTTCCAATCGGAATTATCTCCATTCCAACTTATTGTTTATATTAATATTTACTTATCATCTTAAGATGCATCCCCAAATTTTCCTGATTTTACATTATAAACTACCTAAAGGGCAGATGAATCCATTTTATCAGCTGTCTTAACTTCTACTTCTTCAAATTCAAATTGGTTATTCTGAACCACTTAATTTTGTACATTGATACTAGTTTTGTTATTCTAATATAATATCATATATAAGTACACTATCATTTAATTCAACAACTTCAAATTCTTTTTCATTCTTCTTGACTTCTTCGTATCCATCATTCTTAATAATGATTTCTTCTTCGAATCCATTCTAACTAGAACCTTCCCAATCACAGGAATCCTTCTGTTTTAAATCATTTATAGATTAATTCAATGAGGAATGATCCCCTGATCTATAAGAACCGATGTCTTCATCTAAACGTATTTGAGGTATTTCAAATTCTTCAAATTCAACCTGATCCTCTATTTTTTATTAAATTAAGTCTTTGAATTGAGTAGTACCTTGAATTTATTAGATTGTCCAAATCTCCATTAAATTAATTTTTCCTTGCTTTAATGGCATCAACTCTCCTGGTTCATATGTTTTGTCATGATTTTTGCATTAAACTGTCAAGAGATCTGAGTTAATGAATATTCTGAAATCCTTAGCTAATTCACCTCCAAATCCTATTCCTTTGGCCAATTCTTCATTTTTTGAATTGAGATACACATATTGTGATCTTGTAAATTTATCATTTTTTGTTCTATAAACTCTAAATTATGGGAACAATTAGAAAATGCAATCCTCTTTACTTCCATTAGGTAGGGAATCATCTTTCCATTCAAAGTTAGTATATGCTCCAAAAATGTACTTTCTGGCTGCATGTTCACATTGAATAATGAAGAGGAAACTAGATGATGAATGAGTGAGTAGATCTGTTAGTAATTCAAATGAATTTTCATTCAGAACATTAGAATAAAGCAGTTCCAATTTGCTTGTGTCTTTATGCATGAAACACAAGTACATGAGTGCAAGCCATTCTTGATTCAAAATATGGGATGGGTTGCACAATTGAGGAGAATGAAATAATTTCTATTCACCAAGAAATTTATCATAATAATAGTCTTCAATGATTTCCTCTAATTATGGCATAAAGGTGTCTATAAACTTAATAAATTATAAGATTGGAATGTTGACATCAAGTTTAGAAAATATAGCATCTACAAAGGATTTAACAGGTAATTCATTTATATTTGATTTTCGGATCATAATGGCTATGAACACCTATAGACATTTAGAAGTCAGAAGATAAGTGATTGACATAGTAGAAAATTCTTTAAGGGAGCCTTGGATGTTTAGATTACCAAAGAGAGCAATAATTGCGATAATGAGAGAAACTCTATTTGGTAATGTCAGGATTTCACTTTGAGAATTGCCCAAGATGAAAATTTCTGAAAATTGTACTATTGTTTCATATTCAATTCCTTTTGATTCATTATTCTGCAATCCCATCAGAAACCAATATGCATATTGTCCTAGATATGGAATGTCATCAAATATTTCATTGAAATTTTCCTCGAATAGCAACAATTGGTTTCGCGATCTAAAGAATGAGTGCCAAATAATACTCTGGATTGGTTAGAGTTTGTCTGAGGAAGGCTTGGTGTATGTATTGTTTTTGGGGTTTGTCTAGATTGGTCGAGATTTTGGTTCTATTGGACACACAATTTCCCATAATTTATTAATTAATGAATAGACAATAGATGCTGTCAAAGTATAAGGAAATCTTGTTGGACTATCTGGATAAAGTTCGGAAGAATATTCCCAAATAGTACCCTTCCTTCAAAGACTTCCTGAACAAAATGATTGGTATTTATGGAGTTAAGAAATTAAGATCTGGTCAAATATGAAAGCCTCCCTAAATTGGGAAAACATATGGTGGTTTTCAGATTGACCTTCAATATGAGACAAACCAAACTAACCTAATTGGCTTTGTCTGTATTATTTGTATTGAATTTATCATTGACCCAACTAGAAACTAGTTTCAAATGGCTTCATCGATGGAAGAATAGAAGACACCTCCTAAGAATTCTACACCGACGAATTTTCAGAACTTTTCAACGACTCCAACTACTATAATGGCAAAAAAAAAGTATGGACATTCTATACACATTAGACCATCATCGATTCATTAATCAATTCAGTGACATCCTGTCTGCTTGAAAAGGACGAGATCATCATTCAAGGCCTCAAATTGTTGGTTGCATTTGTTCTGAATCCATTCTGTTATGTAGCATCGCAAAATCTCACCAGAATCATCAAAACTATAATCTTCTCCTACACTCGCACTGGCACTAGAACACAGATTGTCGATAGAATTGCTAAGAGTATGCTCTATTAGATTATTAACTACACATTTTAGGCTGTGGAAGGAGAAGTAATTAGATTTCCTCATTACACATTAGGTTTTCACAATCCAAAGGAACAAACGTAAAATGTCTATCAAAGAAGATTCAGTCTAGAAATTAACTCAATTGGTCATGCTTCAATTAGTTGATATGGTCTGTTTAAATAAAACTTCCCTGGGTTTCTCTCCCTAATCAAACACTTTAAATGAAAATCAACAACCTGCAGGTTATTTTGGTTATTGTCTAATGTGTAGAAAATCAGCCAATCTCTATTGTAAAGATCACAGAGTCCCAATTTGTTCATTCATGTGTAAAAAACAACATCAGGAATACGTCGAACAAACTCAAAACACTTACAGTGGGACACTAAAGCAATATGAAGAGAATCTTGACTCTGCTTTGCAATTATATGATAGTCTATGCAATCTGCTAATGAATAAAACAACTTTGCAATAAGCTAAAAACTAATAGATCATTCTCGAATGTCTGTTGTATATTCTTGAAACACCTGACTTTGTGTTAAGTAAGAATGAAAAATTTATTAAAATAACCAAAGAGAGACTCTGCAATCAATTGTTAAAATATTGTTTAGAAACAGAAAAAACCTTATATCAATACAGTTTCAGAATATTTTAACAATTAGTTTGTATCATGAGAAAACGCATTAAGCATGAAATGGCTATCTTTATCAACCAAATATATTTGAATATCCTCTTAAGTGCCAATTCAAATGTCCTACATAAACAAACTGCACTTGAGAGCTTATGCAGTATTTTGGAAAGACCGAAGATTGGATTGGAATTTTATATAAATTATGATTGTCATACCAAGCATGAATATTTAATGTCCAAAGTCATTCACACCTTCTATGAAATTATTGTGGTTTCTGTTTATTAAAAAGCGGAATATCAAATTCAAAGCCAATAAGAAACGCTCCTGAAGAGTTTGGCTATCAAGGCAATTTATTATATCATTGAGGGTTTAAATAAGGTGTTTGACAAGTTTATCATAACACCTTCTGAGGAAAGTGGAACACCATAAATGGATGATTAAAATGTTAATGATAATACCACTGTGATGTATGTCAATCCCATTGAAATACAAAGATAATTGAAATAGGAAATCATGAAGGGATGCCAAGTTTTTAAAAAGAATCCAGATAAAGGAGTTAAATATCTGTTGGATGCTCAAATCATTAGGAATGAGTAATTTTAGTTGATTAATTTAGTGCCAAAGAGATTGCTAAGTTTTTCAGAGAAAATCAATAATAATTAAGCAAAGATGCCATAGGAGCCTATTTAGGAGGACATCAACAATTAAATATCAAGGTCTTAAGTGAATTCACTGACACGTTGAAATTCAAAGATTTGACTGTCGAATAGGCATTAAGATATTTCTTGGATTAATTTACACTACCAGGAGAAGCTATGTAAGTGGATAGAGTAGTCTAAAAGTTTTCAGATAGATATTACAAAGAAAACCCGAATTCAGCCTTCAAATCCAGTGGCAGTATTTATACTTACTGTTATTTATTGGTTATGTTGTAAACGGACTTGCATAATCCTTCAGTAGCAGAGAAAATGAAATTGATTGACTTTCAAAAGTTGGCTAGGTCAATCAATGATGGTGATGATCTACCATAAGAGTATTTAACTCAAACTTATAATTCTATACTGAAACAACCTTTGGCAGTAAGAGAAAAGGAGAAAAGTCGTGTATTTATTAAAGAATCCCTTACTTAAAACATAAGAAAGAAACAGGATCTATTTTAGAGGGAGAAGGAAGCTTTGCTGAAAGAAGGAAGCGAATTAATTAAAACCAAATAAGATTTGCATGAAACTATTTATCAGAATATTAATCAAGACATGGCCTACTTAATAAAGCCATTCTTGGAGTGTATAGGAAAACCTTCATTTGAAATGTTTTTGTTTGTTTTTAACAATGATTAGATGGAGGCGTCTTCAAATCAATGCATTTAAGGGTTAGTCTTGTTTATTAAATTATGCTCCTTCTTTTCAATTCCCTTGTAAGATTATATGAATCCATTGCTCAAGGCCACAAGACTCAATTATTCAGGGTAGATATCCAATAAGCACATCAACTTAATAAAACAGATTTTGTAAACTGTTCCCTAAATTGGAAATGGACTTAGAGAGATTGGATGGATAAGCATTGTCACAATGATAAGTAGACTGGATGAAATGAGGATGATAAAGCAATCCAAGGATGGTGTTGAAGGATTAAATAATGTCATATAACCTGAGTTATTATTGGAATCTGATCTAATAGATAAGATCTTTGTGTAATCAAAATAGTTAGATGATGAAGCCATTTAGGAATTTATCAATGCTCTCTGTTATATGTCAAAGCAAGAGATTTATTAGACTCATCCACGAGTGTTTAGTCTGTAAAAATTGGTTGAAGTCTGTGATTACAATATGAAGAGAGTGAGTTTTGTATGGACGAAGATGTGGAATATTGTGAAGGATCATATCAACGAGGTAGCTGTGAAAGAGAAGAGAGTTGCAATGTTCACTGTCGACTCCCTCAAATAATTAAGCATTAAATTCCTTTAAAAGGATGAGTTATATGACTTTTAATTCTAAAGAGATGTGTTGAAACCTTTTGAGACCATATTTTTGTAGTCAAATTTAGATGTCAAGGAATTCATTCTTTCCTGCATCAATCATATAGTCTTAAATCATAAACATAATATTAGATCTGGATGGAGGATGGTATTTGGTCTAATCACATTAGGGTTGAAAGAGGAAAATGATAAAATCAGTAAAATGGCATTTCAGATTCTATCCTAAATCATGCAACATAATCTAGATCGATTGCAGGATGTTTTCATTGATCTCATTCAAACACTAAAGGTTTTGGCAGGCAAGGTTCAAGAAGATATGGCATTGGCCTCTATTGATTTTACTATACTTTGTTTTGGTTATCTCTCATAACAAGCACAAATAGCTCCCAAACTCAACTGGAATGAATTTGATGAACCTGAACCTACTGTTCGAAATGCATCCACAGCAGCGTAGCTTGAAAAGATTTGGATTCCCTTACTTGGAGTGTTGTCAGAATTAGCAGGAGATAAGAGAAACAATGTATAGGCCAAGTCCATGGAAGCATTGTTTGAGTCCTTGCAATAGTTTGGGTATGCATTCAGTGCTGAGTTCTGGAAAATGGTATTCAGTACTGTACTAAGACCAATATTTGATGAGATTCAATTTACATTTCAATAAAATTACGCAGTGGAGAGCACTAATAATGATTGGTTTAAGAATTCATGTAAAAAGGGATTTTCATTGATCATCAAGTTAATGAAGCGATACTTTTAGAAATTAAGAGGGTTGTTACCTGAGTTCTTGAAACTATTTGAAAATTGTATATAAAACCAAAATGTCAAATTAGCTAAATATAGCATTCATTCTGTAAAAAGTATGACACTAAAGATTGGGTTGATGTTTAATGAAGAAGAATGGGAACAAATTATCTAATTTATTGATAGGATGATTCGATTGACTATGCCCACAAAATTATCAAGTTTTGCCAATCAATCCTTATCTTCAAGTCGGATGAGAAATATGGTGGAAGACTGTTTCACCTAATTCACTTCTTAATTATTGATGATTTAAATAAGTATGGAGATCTTACAACATTTCAATCAAAAACTAAATCTGCAATAATTACAAACTATTGAAAATACCTTTCTATATTCCTATTAATTTGCCGTCTAATTTAATTCATAGATTGAATAAAGGTATCTAATTTGGAAGTAGGGTATCATACAAGATGTGAATTACTTGCCTGGATTACTCAAATAGGAAAGGGATGCATATGGTTGTATGATCATCATCTAAAAATACAAATTAAAGAATCATAATATCTTTGATATTGATTCCTTGATTGCACCAATAAATACATTTATTTAAAAGCACGAGATGATCAAAGCAGGCACAGCGTTACCAGACGAACAAGATCAATAGATGCAAAAATTAAGACAATTGGAAATAGAGAGAGAAGCATAATATTATAAGCAATTATTGAGTACTTATATATTGCCAACCCTTTGCGAATTAGATGATGAACATGTAAATAAATATACTATTGACTTTAGTTAAAACAATACAACAAGTAATTATTCCAAATTTTATTAAAATCAATGAATTATTCAAATGATTCTATTACCTGTAAAGAATGTGCTCGATGTTAGAAATGCTTGCAATAAGAAAAGAGCAACTTAGATCAATAGCTTCTTTCGTTGGTTTAAAAATTATATCATTTGAAATGAGTACAACTTTAGAATGACTGATATAATAATGTTATATATAAAAACACTCATCTCATCTCCTCCTTTTTCTTTAATTGAGATCTTTTTGTCCTTGCTTTTCAATACTATTTCTCGCACTTAGAATATGTAAATTCATTACATTTACGCAGCATCATCTTATCCTTGAAGCATAAGTATTTTATCTTATCTAAATGCTGAATCACTTGGTATCATACTGGAAGGTTCCTTCCATGGAGATATTGGATCATCGATTCTCCAACATACATCGCCATCAATTTAAAAGTAGGAAAGCCATGATCCTGATCCTGTTGAAACAGTGAAACTTTAATTATTATTATTATCATCAGTCTGATTAATAATATTATTAATTACATTAATTAATTTGTTTATTTTAACATCAACCAAATCTGAAATTGGTTTTTATTGTGATTATGACCAAAACATCAACTTATTTTTTATCTTAGTAGTGCTATCTTCATACACATAACTAAAACTGACCTAAGCCTCCAAATTATCTTGAACACACTTGATTACAAAACCATCCAATTTGTTGAGTACACGATCTCCCTTCAACAATCCATTGATAATCATGGCAGGCACCGAGATCTCATATAGTTTCCCATCACTAAACTTTATGTACTTGGGCTTCAAGTTTCTGCCAATCAATTGAGAACATGTTGGATGAATTTCAGCAAGGACCACCTCACCTCCATACACCTGCCAACCATCTCCAATAACATGATAGAGAGTGGTGGGAGGATCTGCCTTGATAAATTCACAATAAAACTCAGTTCCATCCTCTTTTATTCTGTGACAAGTCTCTCCAATCATAGGGTCGATTGGAGCCAATGATCTCAAATAAGTGTGTGTTCCATGGAGATAAGCGATTTCATTGATCACAACCAACTACATTCTCCTCAAAGCATCTCTGCATTTAGCAGCCTCTGTTAGATAAAGGTTGGTATAATCAAAATCACTAAGAATGTTAACATAAAACATTACAAAAGAAGACATTCGTTGCATGTTATGGGAGCTGTCAGACAGATTGGTTTAGGAATGGTAGCCAAATTAAAATCCCCCTTGGCTATCTTGCTACCAATTTATTTCATCATGGCACCAGCAACTGAAAAAAGCTTGGTATCGTCCTCTTGATTCATGTGAACTCCGCCTTTTGAAAATAATAGAACAATGTACCTTTTTTATGTGCCATCGGATGTCTAGGATACTATTTGTCCTTTTCGAACTTTTATCTCCAACTAGGATTCATTAAATAAAGTTTGAAAACAACGAAGATAAATAAGTATCGTTTAATTCTAAATATAAAAAAATAAAAAATTATTCCGATACCGGGGATTGAACCCGGGTCCCCAGGGTGAGAACCTGATATCCTAACCACTAGACTATACCGGAACTGTTAACGATTTTGAAGGGATCAACATTTTATATGTAATAAGCTATGATTTGATTAATAAATCATTTTTTGGACTTATGAGTATGATGTTTCTTTGATTAATGATGATTCTTATTTTACTTCTTCTACAATAAGGAATCCCAATCAACATCTTTTTCTTCATAAGGTGTGTAATCAATTACATCTCCTCTGTCTTCTGTTTCTGCATCGTTACCTTCATGATGATCATTTGCATTTTCATGATTATCACCTTCTTCTTCAGATCCCCAAGCATTTGAAACTTCCTTCAATGGTGTATAATCAATAACTCCATCTCTGTCATCTCCATTTAAACCCTAAATGATTTACATTATATTATACTGAGTCCCCATTTGCAGATCCGTCAGTTGATCCATTATCGTTAGAAATACTACTACGTTCACTTTCATCAGCTTCATCCAAATTACCAGCTTAATAGTGTTTAATTAACCAATCGAATAACTCAATTTCTTCCTCCAATCTTAATCTGTCTTCGTCATTCCATTCTTAGTCATATTTCAAATCTTCCTAGGCCACCAATAAGGTATATTCTATTTCCTTCTATCTGGATTCGCATTTGTCGACTCTTCCGTATAAGGTTGTCAATTGATTTTAGAAATGCTAGGAATATCAAAGACTCTAAGTACTGTAATCAAATCATCTTGGACTTCAATTTATCTATTGAAAATGTCGTTCTCCTTTTCGATTCTGACCTTGAACTCTGAGAAAGTGACTCCGATTTGCACTTAGCCATTTTATCCATTAGCAATATCGTCCTAGATTTCCCTCTCCATCTGGTTGAGCAATTCTATCAATTATTCAATTGTGCCATTCAACTCTACCTCCTCTTGTTTTGTCTACAACATATTCATCTTTCTGTATTCCTTATAAGCAGTGACAATGTGGGATATCTCAGAAATGGTGTTCTCCTTGACTTCTGCAAATGAAGTGGACAATTGAGCCTGCAATGTGGCTCTCAAGTAAGCGATCAATCTCAATAGCACTCTTCCATTCTTCACTTTATTCAAGGAATTATTATTCTTCTCGCATACATTTGTTGACAGAACTCCAATACGATTATTATTGCTTTCTTATCTTGCTTTCATCCAATTCTTATACTCATTAGCCAAATCAATTTCAGTTTGCTTGGCCTCAACCTAATCAAATTTATCATATGCTCATTACGTCTTGCTGTCTCTTGTAGCACTCTCCTTTCTGTTCTGAAATTGCTTATTAAATCACTGCAATTTAATCTAATTTGGCTTACTTGATTGGTTAGAATCTAGCATTCAAAAGTTGCAATTAATCCACTGCCTCCTGTCTCAATTCAGTCAGTAATTAGATAACAACCTCATTATCTTAGGCCATTGTTCCCATCATCAAAATCGCTAGTAGCAATATGCCAACTCTCATTATTTTTATTATAATAAAAACGGATTATAACTAACATTAATTATAATCAAAACTCAATATTTTAATACTCCTCCCCTTTCTGGAATTCGAATGCCCACGGACTATTCAACAGGAAGTCCTGCGTCGCTTGCTTCACATTCACATTCGGGTAAAACTTCTTACTAATCGGCTGTCTTGTCGTCGGATCACTGGGCCCATTCTTGTTTATAGCCTCGATAAGCATGTCACGCTCATAAGTTTGGCCAGCATCGTTTACAACTGGATTTTCCATCAATTCCTATTAAAATGAGACCTCATCAATTACCAATGTTATCTTGCATATCAAATAACTGGGAATATCATACTCCTATTTCTAATCTGGATTCCCTATAGAATTTATGAATCCCTCCAACTCCTTCTACCTCTACTCAGGATTTAGATCCTATCTTTAATTTAAATAAGTTTTATAGTTCTCAATAGCCACTCTCTTATTCTTATTATTTATTTCTTAATTTTTGTACCAAAGTAACTTTTTGGCTCTATAAATGTACTTACTAAGTTCATCTTCATAATACTCCTTCTTTTACCCCGCACACAGAGTTCTAGCCTTAGTCAGTCTTATTATTGCATTCTCAATGTCCTAAGTATTATCAGAACTTTTTCCTCGCTCAGCCAACACTTATCCGCATAACAAATGTGCCTTGATATTCTTATCATCCAATTCAATTGCAATGATGGCGTCTCTGTAAGCCTTGAATATTGTTATTATAATGTTTTTACAGGATCTAAATTGCCAGCCTATTTTAAGGCCAATCCTCTGCAACGAAAGAATGAGCTTTCAGTTCCCTCTGTAAGTTCGATAGCCTTAGTATAATGAGTGATTGCATTGAAAAAATCCCCTTTTTCATATTATTCATCACCCAAGATTGCCCAATATTGGCCTTGGTTTTCTGTGAAATCTTTGAGCGGTTTTCTCACACTCTGCATCAACTTCAAACTGGGAGGCTTCTAATTCTCCAAATGAAATTACTTTAGGAGCTTGATCTCTAAATTGCCTATTAGTGTATGGCGGTCTGGGAACTCTTACTCTAACTCCTGGGCCTGGAATGAAGTGATCATCAAATAGGAACAAAGGGAAGTCATTTCGGAACAAGTTGCCTACAAAAGGAAACATTTGATATAGATAATTTTGATTTTCTATAACATATCACACTTCTCAATATTTATACAATTTTCTTAGAATTAATTGAAAACTCAATAGCAATTCCCGTGTAAATGATTGATACTTTACATACAAACACATTTCAACTTTTAAATACTTTAATTTTCATTAAAGTGGATTATAATGAAATAACTCAGTTTATTAAATCTCGTCAACATCTAGCCCAAATAAACTACTTTATACTCGACCAAAGATTCAATCAAAAAAATAAGGAGCTTTGACATCATCGGCAAAAGTCCTTATAAAATTAACCCTGCTCGATAAACTCAAAAACAATTGATTAAAGAATGCCCACCAATAACTAGTAGAGCCACACAAAGATAACATATAAAATCTCCTCCTGATTTTACAAAATCCAACAAACCAATTAGTATTAGCAATCATCGTATGTTTATTTTTATTGTATACAAGTTGATCTTCATTAAAATGAAACGTAAACTAAAGGACAATAAAAATCATATCATCTCCAACTAAAATCGATCCTCATTAAAGAATAGGACCAATTGCATACGTTCGATTAAGCCAAAAGTAAACACAATTCAATATCGTATAGGAATTAACACTCAAATAACTAGTAACCTAATACCTTAGATCACAAAGTTACATCTCAGAACCAACCCAGAACAAATCGACCAAGAAGTAACTCAGAAATTACCATCGACACTTGGCAATCCTAATTTAAGCAAATCTGAAAAGCTACTTCAACAAAACCAATAAAAGTTTTTGGATCTCCAAAACAAAATCACATCCAATATTAAACAACGAAATCAAACCAAAACTTACTCCTTGACAACCCATCAACCTTAATCTACTGTCAAGTAATTACCTGATCAGTTTCAACTACCTTAAATAGCATAATATGTCTTATAACACTATTCAGATTAGCTCAGTGAATTCGAGAAGAAGGAGATTATAGATTATGAAACTATTTATTATCTCGCTCCTAAAAATATTGCAAAAGCCCAGAGAGATCCCCTAGGAAATCAATTTAATCATGGATACGATAATTAACAGTATTTATATGATGCTTATTCCCTTAGTGGAGACTATAAATTCATTAAGCAGGATTAGATAGCTTTTAGGTATGAAATGCTAGACAAATTAGGGAATGGCAGTTTTGGTTATGTTTTTAAAGTCTTTGATCACAAACATCGCAAAGAGATGGCTATCAAAATTATAAAGAACAGAGAGAAGTTTTATTAATAAGCACTAATCGAAATAGACTTGCTGAAGATCATCAATAAAGCAGATAATTCTTATTGTCTGATTAAATTGATGAATTTTTTTGAATTCAGAAATCACATAGTAAGACATTCAAATTAAACTAGAAAGTGCATGGTTTTCGAATTACTTTGTTGTAATCTCTACGAATTTCTGGCTTTGAATAATTTTGTAGGCCTGGAACCTGATTTGATCAGAAGATTCGCAATCCAAATCCTCTAAGCTCTCCTCTATTTGAAGGCATGCAATATCATCCATTGTGATCTAAAACCAGAAAACATTCTCCTAAAAGAATTCACTAAGTCAGGTCTTAAGGTGATTGACTTTGGCTCAAGTTGCTTTGCTAACAATAAAATGTACACCTACATTCAAGTATACGTATATTGTATTAAATCAAGAGCAGATTTTATAGAGCTCCAGAGATAATATTTGGAATTAATTACACATTTCAAATAGATATGTGGAGCTTTGGATGCATCATGGCTGAACTCTTTTTAGGAGATTCTCTGTTTCAATCTAAAACTGAAAAGGAATTGCTCTATGCTTAAACTAAGGTTCTTGGGATGCCTCCAAAAGAAGTGATTGATTAAAGTCCAAGGAAAGTAAAGTTTTTTGATGATAAATATCAACTCAATTACAAAATAAAAGAAAATGAGTAGACTCAGCAATTGAAGCCTCTCCCTCAATTACTTGTAAAGGCAGGTGCCGATTTCTATGATGTATTAGATAGATATCACACAATTAGTTCATTAGCAAGTGTCTAGAATGGAATCAATTTTAGAGATTGACACCAGAACAAGCTTTAGAGCATCCTTGGATTATTAATACTCTACCATAATCCATTCGGAATGAACTTCTCCAAAAAAGAACTAATGTACCTTCAATCATTCCCAATAACAAAAATGCCGATAAGTAAGAACCTAAATGAGTGCATATTATATATCTAATTTAAGATTACACTAGTTTGTTGTTAGACTTCATATTTTAAACAATATTCTTATCTTTTAAATCTATTTATTTTTATTAACGATAACTGAGTAAGCTTTTTATTATTATTAATTTATCGGAAGAATAAGTTTCTAAGTTTGTTTATATAATTATGAGTGATTTTTTTATGCCTAATAGAAGCGAGATAGCTCAATACTTTTAGAGTGGGTTAGGGAATCTGTAAGACAAGTATACCTTTTTATTATTCATAAGTCTCTGCTCAAATTTTGGACCATATGGAGGAGGAAGTCTTATCTAAAATTCTGGGTTTCTAGTTTAACCAGATTAATATTGTTCTTCGGTAGGTTTGGAAGAAAGTGCCACTCCTATTTAAATTTATGAATTCCATGAACCTGAGTTTTAGAAGCCTATCTTATTTAGGAGCAGCGGAAATTTAGAAATGCAATCTGAAGAATTTGGAATAGACAGACTGAATTGTTAAGTCAAAACACTTGAAGATTTCAAAGAATACAAAAATCCATTACAAGACAGTGGGTTTAGGAGTAACGAACCATCATTTTAGGAATTCAATATATATATAAGTAATTTATTAGATAGCTTATCTTATTTAGAATCTGAATAATAAATCAATTCTCAATTCAAGCCAGATATAACGTATTTTGATAATCAAAATATTATCTCAGAGAACAAAAGTCTATTTAATGTCAATTAAGCAAAAAGTATTTACAAAAAGAAAATCACTCTGTTAGCTGATCAAACATAGAAAAAAATTGATTTAACTATAAAAACTTCATCAAGACAAACGTAAATTTAAGAAATTCTATTCAATTAGGAAGAACTAAATAAAATTGTAGAGAAAATCATCAATTATTCCTAACGATCAAATTGAAATGTAATCATGTCAAATGACTGGTGATGAAAATATCGATTCAGTTTAATAGAAATTAGCAAAGAATAGAGAATCCGCTAGAAATTCAAGAGCCAGAAAGAAACTATATTATGAACTCTTGGAAACTAAAGTCAAAGAATTGCAAGAGGAAATTTAAAGATTAAAGGAATCTAATTAGGCAAGAATTTGCAATAAAATAGAGGAGAATGTATATTTGCATTTGAAATTTAGTTTTAAACTTTTTTAGAATAATAATAATAATTATTTGATAAATTAGAAACTTGCCTACTTAAAAATAAAGAAAATTTTGAAATTGAAATTATTTTAGATGCCTTAAGATATAGAACTAATTCAAACATTTAAGAACGCAAGGATGCTGCTAGATAATACTGTGAATCTATGATTGAAGCATACCTGCCAATCTAAACTAAATATTTGATATACTCCTTAGAAAATAATAAAGATTTCTTTGCATTATAATCAGAGTAATTCTTATTGTAATGAATAGGGATTATACAGATTGGATGAAAGAGACCTTCAAAAAATTACAAATTTAGCCTGATCAAATTAAAAAAGTTAGAAGAATAAAATCAAAATTATAGAGTGTCACAAATAATATTTCCGAGTATAATTACACATTCAAATTTAGTTCGATATAAAAAATTCAAGATCAATTAAAAGTAATTCAAAGTGAAGCCATTTAGGTTGACTTAATGTGGGAATAACTTAAAGAGCATTTAACTCCTGTTCAACTAGGAAAATGTATTTTAACAATGAAATAAGTAATTAATTAATTTGATTTTAGAATTCTTTTCGTTAAGAACTCAAAACCTCATCCCTGTTTCCTCAATTAAAGAATCATTAATTGGTATCTTATATCACAATATATATAGAGGGAAGAGGACAAAATAATTTAAAGGTAGGATCAATCTCCAATTCCGAAAAACAGGAAACGCATTAAACAAACTATATAATGATAACTATGCTGCATTTATTTTAATGCGTATGATATATTCCTTACTTATAAGCATTATTTTTGTATTCTGTATTACTTTTTTATTCTGATATTTTACAGAATTCTATTTTTTTTATTTATCTAATATATATAGCTTTTTAACATGAAAAGCAGCATTCAAGAAATAGTATAAATATAAATGGTTTATATCAATAGTAATCTCTCAATAAGTGGACCTTCCCTTGTTTTTAAGTATAGATTGAATAGGTATCTAAGTTTATCTTATTTAAGAAGATTTCCTCCACATATAAATTCCCTTCTAGTAGCGGTAAATATAGTTTACTCCACTGAATCTCAAAAGTTTTTTATGTCTCGCATTATGGTATGTATTTTAAACAGAATGGGAATTATTCCATCTTAATCTCTTAAGGTCTTAAGTAATTTACCGCATTTAAATCCCATTAACTAAGCTTATGTGTTCATTAAGTCAACACAGATTGTATTATGTTTTCTTTAAATTAAATAAAGAAGTTTGTATAATCCTAAATAGAAATTTACTGTAAATAATGATGTTATCAAATAGCGATCCCACTTTCTCTCTTGTTATTAACAATATTCTGAATGAAAACATTACAATTTTACATTTAAATGTTATCAGTGGAAAAATTAAATTATATTAGTTTTTTTAAATGAGGTAGTGAATTCGATAATGATTAATTGAATGCAAATTAATTTAAGCATAATTGATTTAAATTTATCAAAAATGTTCTAAATTCCTATATGTAATTAAGTACAAAATAAAAATAAATACATATTTATTCATTTCTTGACATTTAATTAATTTTTTATTTTGTATTTTCAATTTCAAATGAGTAAGTATATTTATTTATACAACTCACAATCCTAATTAATTAAATCTTTTAATCGCTGCGAGCTGAAAATATTGAAAAGCATTGCATTTAATATTTAATTATGCTCTACCCAAATTACAAATTCTATTAATATGCTGCTTGTTAAAGACAAATATTTATAATCTTAATGTTGCCAATACCTGAATTATATTAATAATTAAGAAGTAGAGCCAGAATTGTATTTTTATTTTTACCTGTTATTAAGTGGATGATTGTTATTAAATCACTATCTAATAAAATGGATCTGCTTGTTGTGATCCCAGAATAACTAAGAAAGAGTACATAGTTAATTCGTAAATGTAATTTATTAATAAAAATAGTTTAAGTATTGGAAATTCAGAATTAATAAAGTATGTAAAAACCTGATTATTATGCTTGTTTGCAAACAAAAACCAGCGTGTCTAAGTGTTTGATGAATTTGGTTTTCCATCTATTTGTAATCTGATCTGAAGAATATAAATATTGGTTGAATTATTAGAAGTTCCTTAAAATTGTATGTAATTTATAGTAGTGTATATATTGAAAGTATAATTGATTATTTATATGATAAAAAAATCCTTGTTCTTGAGGCTACAAAATATTTATTATTTTAGAGAAAAATGTTTTATCTGACTTGCATAGGATTTCATATTGATCATTTATGCATATATTATTTGTTATAGTTATCGAAAATATCAGCGTAAATGAAAAAGATTCATTTCTATCATGTCGTGTAAATTGAAAGGGTTGTTATTTCGGTATTTGATATAGGTAAGTATAATTATTTTCGAAGGTATCCATTTTTTATCGGAATGATAAGACGTTGGATTTGATGTGCAAGAGCACAAAAATGTCGTAATTATTAATATAAGGTTTTTCAATAATTATACCGTCATTAAAATTAATTATTTTGCATTGCAAACTGTAAATCAGAAATTATTTAAACTCAAATGCGTATTAAACAGTGATTTTACATCATAATCAAATGAGTACTTAAGTTGGTCACTCTTCCTTGATCACTAATCATTAATTTAAATTTCATGTCAGAATAATAGAAATACATTGGAAATATCTTATCAAGAACCAAGTCCTTAATCACCACAAATTACTAAAAACTTCCATTAAAGTAAACTTTAAACCTAAAATTAATAGAGCACCCAAATTTGTAGAGAACATCGTTGTCTATGCAGATAAAGTAACTGAACCCTTTGTTTAAAAAGTGACAGACACTGTCGATGATAACATAAATAGAAGTTTCCAGATAGTTCAATCATATGAAAAAACTTTCAACATAGCAGAACAAGGATAGAAACTCAAGTAAAAGGGAAAAGAACTTACTGATCAATTAAGAGAGAACTCAAAGAAGGCAATTGATTCAGGAGTTGATTTGGCCAAAAACAATGGCGCGACTTAATTTGTGTTACACACCTGTGACAATGTGGCTAATAAATTCTTGACTTCAATTGAAGGCAATATCGTCAGATTGTAGAAGGCTGTTTTGAAAGAAGCTAAGGCCACAAACTCAGAGTAAACCTATAATCAAAGAACAGTTCAATTAGCTCATAATCTTACAGAAATAACTCAAGGACTCTTTACTTTACTTAAGAATGAGATTCACACATTTGGAGGATAAAAGGTTCAACAATTGAAGGTCTTTGTTACACTCAATTTTAAATAACATTTGAATGCCACTCTTTTCACTTATAAAGTAATAGTCGTCTCACCCATCTCAAGTCTTTATACAACTTCTTTGGAGGAACTCAAGTCTAGGTTAAATGTTTTGAGAGAGAAATACAACAACAAGGAATTAATCAAACACTTATAAGAATAATTAATAGCATTGAAAACATTTATTGAAGCTCAAAAGTTTGAAGAATTTAAAGCACTCCTCATTACAGCATTGAAATAGTTGAACATCCTTACAATTCTTAAGTCCTAATACTAAAAAACAATTCAAACATATCAAAGTAGTTTGGTTGATTAAAGAAAAGAAGTAGAAGAGGAGAAGCAACCTGAGGAAGTAACTGAGGAAACTTAAACTAGAGAATGAAATTAGATTGAGTATTAATGTTATTAACGGTGTTTTATATTTTTGTAAATAAAATAAAATCTATGAATGAAATCTGTTTGCCATAGAACCATCATATAATTCAAATACTGTATGAGTATCTTCAAAAGCATGGCATGAACCTTGACAACCCACCCACGACTAAACTGTTTGAGTTATTTATCTAAACTCATGAAATTACATACTAGAAAAAAGAATTTTAATTAGCCTAACTCAATTCAAAAATATTCTAAATCACTTAAGAACTAAACACTCTTCAAAATAATATTGAGGGATAATATTCAGTAATAAAGAATATCAAAAATAGAAGAGTAAAACTACACATTGAGCTTGATTTACAAGAATCTCATTTGCATAAGATTGAAAAATCGATTAGTGAAATTCACAATGATCCTTCAATAATATAGAAAATCAGTGACCTTACTGAAGGAATAAAGATATGTAGAGACAGATATCTATCTATAAAAGAAGAGAATGAACAATTCAATAAAATTTAGACTACTCTAACATAATAAAAGCAACAATTAAAAAATCGTTATAAATTTGTAAATTTAATATTAACTAAATAAGGCTTAAGATAAAATTAAAAATAATCTCATCTAAATTGATGATCTGAAGGAGTAAAGTGTCAGTCTCAATAATAGATTAATTAAATAATTGAAAACAGTGACAGAATTATTTTAGTTAAACCACAAGAGAACAATAAATTAGAAACACACTAATTATGTGAATAATCCTATTCATAATGATGATACAAGTATGATATTGATAAATTTAATTGAGTTCCTTATCAACTTACAAATGCAAATTTTAAATAAATCTGGATCAAATATATCCTCTGAAGATGAAATCTTGGACCTTATCTAAACTATTCTAAACCTAAAGTCATAATTAAATCAAATGAAGATTCAAGATAATTCTGAAGAGCAATCAAAATTAACATAGTAAACAGAATCAATATCAATTCGGCAAAGATTTAGATACAAGACTCATCATAATCTTGGTGAGATTAAATTATCAAAACATTCCCAATAGGGACAAGATTCCAAAGGAACCTCTTAATATGATGATGAAATAATGGAAAATCAATCAAGTGACAATGACTGTTTATAGGAACTAATATAAATATCCCCTAAAAAGCCTTGGCAATTTAAATCAGTCATTATTGATAGCAGTAAAAATTCAGAAAAGAAAATGGAATATTTAAGTGAATAATAGATTAAATCTTAAAACTTAAAATCATTAGCATCAATATCTTCGGATGCCAGTTTTTAAGATTTACGAGTCACCACTTTATAAGAAGAATTACAAACTGTCTATTCTTATGATTAAACACAAGGAGAAAACATATAAGTCACAAGTTGTTGTTATGATACTTAAGAGAGAACTCAAATTAACTCGAAAATGGAATCTAATTTATATGACCCTGACTAAACCAAATGCATTTAAGATTAGAAAAATAGAAGAAACTTTAAGATTACTGGTTTTATTATGATGACAATAGGCATTGCTGGATGGATGTATTAAAGGTCAAAATGATTGGTGTTATTTACTTGTAAACAAAATATTATTTAAATTCTAAAAATGGATTATTGATTTAACATATATGAATATGAATTCTAATCTAGTTGGTAGATATGAATATTATTTTCTATAATTTGCTAAGGTATTTAGGATTAAAAGAATATGTTGGAAATGATTGACTGAAATTATCAGTAAAATAAATAAATATTCACTGTTCGAGTTCAACTCAATGGATGAATAATTATTATTGTGGTTATTGATATCTCTAGCGTAAGAGTAGCCAGTTTTCAAAAAGCCTTGTTTTGTTTTTATTAAATTTTATAGGTTTACTAAACCTAGTATAAATATCTGTTAATTATAAATGAACTCATCATCAAGCAGTCAGCTGCTTCAGAAACTCCAAATTCTATATTCAGGCAATAAAAAATCAAGTGAACACTCTGTCTCTCCACTTTAACCCCGACCTTTTGCAAGCAGAGAAATTAACCAATTGCTCGAGAAATCATCCCCTACTCCTTACTTGCAAGTTAAAAAGCACGATGTTGAACAATGGACAGAACGATTGATTAAGCCAACCGAAAAGGCATCGTGCTCTTCATTTACTCAAAACGAGAATGTGTTTGACATCCATCTTCAGAAATATTCTTCAATTTCCAGCATTTCCTAACAAACATTCCCTGCCTTATTGTAAATCGAGAAGAAGGTGAAACTATTGAAATATGCTAAAGAGAATGATCATAATACATGTGCGGCTATAATTGCTAAAATGAAGCTTTTCTGTTTAGATAATGCACAAACGTGTTATGACTTTTATAGAAGCACTGATCTCATATTACTAAAGTATATGATCTTTCTCTTAATACAAGAACTGAATTAAAGACCTGCTGTCGAGAAATAAGAAATTAGTAATGATTAAACATCTTAATTCTAATCAATGTTCAAAGATATCGTTAGTATAGTGTATGAAATCATAGAAGAGGTGAAATAAAAGTCATTTGCAGGTTCACAAATAGACAAGTTGAATAAACACCTGGTTCAGATTCAGAATAAGTTTAAGGCTGATCCAAATAGTACGCAAAAGTCAATTAACAAATCCCATCATCAACGGTTTAGTAGCTGCAACTTTGACAATTGCAAAACCCCTATTTCGCTTAATAAGAGCAATAAGGAATCCAATATTAGCAGTGATAAGTACAAATCTGGTCATCAGAAATAACAAAATAATATATCTGGTTCTTAAAAAATCATTAGGTTCTAAATAGACGAATTAGATTAGAAAAAGTAACTAGTGAACAAACTAAATGAATAAATTGCATCCTTATAGAATACGAGTAAATAATAACAAGTCTAGATCTAAGATTCAAATTGCTAAATTGCATCATTAAAGCAGGAATTAGAATTAAAACAGCAAGAAGTAAATATATATAGGTTAATTATTTAGATTGAAAAATTATTATAATCTATAGAAGTGCTCTAATCCAAAGATCTAATTCATCAAGAAGAGAAAGAAAAATATCATACGGTCTTTCAAGAATATGAAAATGAAAATATTGAATTGAAATCGAATTTGTAACAACTTGAGGTATAACATTATTTAAATTATATAAGAATGCTTTAGAGGTTAGTCAAAACTAATTTGAGAATTACAAATAGGAGACATTTGCTTATTACTAAGCTTAATTCAATTAAATTCAACAAGCTAAAGAGAAAGAAATTAGTCATTTGAGAAATGAACTAAGAGAAAACTAAGTCAATATTGTAAATAGAATTATTTATATTAGAATCATTTGTTAGGGGACGCTTTGTATTTTGGCAAATAATACAAAAGCCTTGTGGATAGAATCGTAAATTTTAAACCTGAATCTGTGGCTAATGACTTGATTTAATTATAAAAAGAGTTATTCTATTCTGAGAATACTCTTAATGCCAAATTGAATGCAATCGCTAATTTTTCAGAGAATTTGTTATCTAATTTTGGACAAGAATCAAATTTTGGACAAGAATCAATGTCTCAAAGTTAATCTACTAATTAGACTGGAAGTTTGTATGGTATACCGAAGTCCAGGACGCAGTAATATAATGCCAGCAAAAAAAACTGTTCTTAAGAATATTTAATAGCACAAAAAAATTAATTCGAAATAATGGAGATGCTATTGATATAGAGTTAGGTGTTAGAGAAGTTTTTATTCTGATTACTACAATATATTATGTCACAATAACTATATTTCAATTATATAATATTTGAGTTAAGGTTAATCTATAACAATCATTTTGATTTACTATGAATTAGGAATATATTCAAAGTTATTTAATATAATTGATAAATATATTAAATATTATTTATTTATCCACTTTTATGTCTTCAAGCATCAATCATTACAAGTAAATTCTGATTCGAATGATAGGTACACTTGTGCTTCTAATTAAAATACAATATTAGATTAAGAGACTGTTGATGTATCTGATGTTGAAAATTATCATGCATTAGAAATCAAGAGTTTGGATTATCTGTTTGTATGCAAAAAATCTTCTAAGTGTCTCTACTTAGTATCATGTATCAATAGCTCTGAAAAATACTATCTGAATTCAGATAAAGATATATCGGATTTCGTCCTTGTGTATTTTGCGCATACATATTATCTAATAATTATCCAAAATAATGAGAATATTTAATTTTTCAAAATTGATTGCCAATATCAATTTTCTTTGGCAACTGAACTCAAAATTGAAGGATTGTAATAACCTAAATTATATTGTTCACAATAGATAGGTGCAATATTGATTGATAATACATAAATATATCTACTTCAATTAGACAATAAAATAATCAAATCGTAATTGAAACAAGCAGCTAAATAAGTGATTGTTACAAAATGTTTAAAATACATATTTATACTTACTCAAGATTCAAAATTGTAAGTTCTCAATTCAAAAACATTATAAATCATCAATGAACATAATCTTAAATATACAGAATCAGAGCCCTTGAGGTTTTAATTGTTTGAACTCAACAATTAAATTGCTCTATTTACAATTACATTAGAAAAAAGGATCATATTTTGGACTTTCGAAAAAGAAGATTTACATACTTCAAGCCTTTTGCCAAATGAATCTGTCAAATTTAAATTTAGTTCAAGGTACTTTATATCTAATCTATTTAAAGCAAATAAGAAGTAGAATTAATTGATTTTCAAATAGATTCAACGTAAAACTTTCTTTTCATTCTATATCAGACATAAGAAATGGCAGTACAGATTTATGTGGCTCAATTGAATCAATCTCAAGTATTTAAATTAATTATCATTCAATTTAGATTTAGAAGAAAGAATAGAGCAAAATTAAACATATCAAAAAGTTTGTTAAGGAAAGATCAACATCTTCATTCTTTATATAATTCATAATACCACCTGAATAAAACCAAAAGTTCTTACATGGTGGAAATAACTGCTAATCAGAGCAAGAATATTTAGAATTTTAATAAGGATTTAAGGATTTCTAAAATCAAGTCTTAGAATTCACAGATCATGAATTGCCTTATATTTTTGGATTATAATCTGAGAAGAGGGATAAAATTGATTTGTGCTGGTTTTATAGTGATCTTGTGCTTGGTGCAGTATTACCAGAGAACTTACTTTAATTGTATGACTAAAATACTTCAAAAAAGCAAGGCTCCAGTATTATTCAATAATCTCAATTAATCCCACCTCCCTATATAAAAGAAGAAGATGTAAGGCAATTATAAAAGTAATAATAATGGGAAAACAATAACCAATAGAATAATAGTGGTGAAATTGACCCACTGGTTAAAGCAAATAATATTATTGAAAATGAACTCATCCCAAAAGTTTAATAGTGTTAACAATAGCAGTAATTCTAAATGATAAGCAATGATGTGAAGAAAGATCTAATAGAAGACATTACATTCATTTTTGACATCAAAGATTTGATTGAAAGCCAAGTAAAGACGGAACTAGATAAGCAAGGCTAAAATGATTAATAAGCATTACTCAAATTAGAACAACAATTTAAATAGGATTTGTGCTAATTAGAAACTAGAATGGAAGAAATGGTTACCCAGAATCTGGAATTATATCAATAGACATGTGAAAACTTTTTGATGGATAATTTTAATTAGTCATATTTCGAGTAATTGATAGATGATAGAATAGGCAGTCATCTTAAAGTGTTGGCTAATCAATAAATATCTTAGCCAGAAGTAAATATTACATTTATAATAAAAGTGTACACAAATAGTCTAAAATTCAACTAATGATTATTTAAAGGAACAAATTGGACAACTTTACTAGGTTGAGTTAGCAAAAATGTCTCAAGGAGTAGTGTTAATATTTGAAAAGGTAATTTAATACTTCAATGACATGTAATTCATAGACTAAACAAAATTGGTGAATTTTAATGCATTCATTGACAGTTCTACTCAATAACTTCAAACTTTGAGTAAAAACATTGCCTAACTGGCTGAAAATAATAGGCCAGGACAAGATGCTCTGTAGAAATTGGATTAGTTGATTTAATAAACTGAATTTATGGTAAAATAATATGAGGATGCAAAGAAAGGGCTCAAGTTAGCAGAATTTTAGTAATAACAACCTTAATAATAATAAAACTTTTAATCTGAGGATAGATTGTAGAAGATTGAGGAGCACATTGTGAAATTAAGAAATGATTTATAAGTGTTAACTTAAAATTAATAAGTGTAAATACAGCCTGTAACAGGAATGGATTAATTCATTAAAGGGATGGCTGCTTAATTAACATAATTGTAGATCAAATTAACAACTCCTTAAATGAACATTTAATCAATTTAAGAAATCTTGAACTAATTGATATTGCAATTTCAATATTTTATACTTAAATTTGGATCATGATTGATTGTTGTTTGTGTGGTTTATATATATATATATCAATTTTAAATTAATAGATTAAAAATTAAACTACATTCAAGAATAACATATAATAAATTGAGAGTTTTCATTAAGTTTTCCAGTTTGGATTATGCTAATAGTTATTGATATATTAATTATTATTTAAAGCAAATGATTAATCATCAAGATTCATCTTCGTTTGAGCATAATCGTTTGCATTAAGAGATGAAGTAAACAGCTCAATTCTTCAATCCATAATTGGGTTCGTTAGGCCAAACTATAAAATATTAATAAAAGCAATTATAAAGAGTCCCATTCAAAAACACAAAAGATCAAGCTTTCAAAATTAATTCTGAGGGAAAAAAGAATGTGTTAAGTTAATAAGTTAATCAGAAAAGACCCTCATAACCATCTTAACAAGAGAGTATCGCTAAATCGGCGAAGTAATTTGTATAGAATCAATACATAACCCCTGTTATGCATAAATATGGGTATGAAGTGCTACCTAACTAGCTCTCCACCCAAATTGATGAAAGTTCCATCGATAAAACCCTTCTCTCCACCTCAACCCAAATCTAATTCAGAGTAAGTAATCATAGCTCAAAACAATTCTGTTGCCTCAGGCATCCAAAGAAGTGCAAATGGCAGATTTTTTCAGACTCCCAAAACTACTGAAAAGGAATTCAATATCAGTATGGCAGACCTACAGCCAATTCCCAAGTACAATTCTACAAAAGCAGCTGAAGATTATGTTAAACCCGAATATCCTTCCTATTAAAAGGCTCTCCTGGACAGTAGATAATCTCATTTCAATAGTGAACAGATGCAGAAGTCTAATTCGACTGCCTTTCTGCCACGAATCAAACCTCCCATTTAAAAGATTAACATTAACCAATTCATAGGCTATGGATCAAATGGATAATAATCACAGTAAGAAACTGCCTTGAGAACTAGCTCTTCAAAACAAACGATCACTCCTGTTAATGAATTTATCAATTTTAATTTACCTGAAGAGGATATTTCGAGGAAATCAAGAACTGCTTAACACCTAAGGGATAATTAGGATTAATAATTGTAATTCAAGTTTGGTTAGAAATTGAAGAATATAGAACAGAGCGATCAAATTCATTAATTACCTTCATTACAATCACCTTAATCAAGCACTAAATAATAATTTACATTTCAATCAACGGGAGGTTCAGGAAAACCAAAAAATTTCTTAGAAAGAACACCTTAAAAAAAGATAATTAGTAGGTTGTTTTCATCAAAATTAGATAATAACTAAGTAATTTGATAATTTTCATATGAATTTTAAAATAATGATATTTACTATCACCAGTTTATATTAATTATATTATAATAATATGATAATTGAGTTGGAGGATAAATTGACAGCTTCAATTCACCTATCGAATTTGCAGGATCAAATTAATGCAGTTCCACAGAGCGATTTCTAGCGTAAACTATTTTTTACGATCTGTATAAACATGATTGAAATACAATAGGTTTTGGACATATCATTCATATATTCGACAGCTGCATTGCTATGTTTGTATATGACAATCCATTAATACTTTTAATATATTTTGCATGTTATACAGTTGGTCAATTGGCGGCCTTGAACAAATATGTGCAGCGATATTAATTTTATTGTTAGATATTTTAAATTGTCTTGATTTGCGTATTATATATGGAGATGCAACAAGATATAATCGTTTTGATTGCCTTCATTATTAAATCACTCATAAATGGATACATGAATCAGGGACTTTAGATGATAAGATTTCAACTCATAAAGATATCTGTAAACGTTGGATACTTGATAACTATAGTTTTCAGTCTCATAGGCTTAGTGTGCAAGAGATTTGAGTATTCTCTATTTCGCTTTATTTGCGTTGCCGAATTTTGTTTAATAGTGATATTCTTGAAACAATTTTCTCATCTGCCTCCTCTGATGGAGGAATGCCTTGATAATGAATTTGATATTTACATCAAATATATTGAAAAGTGTGCTGAGAGTAATTCAGTGTTAAATTACGAGGAATAGTATGATAATATTGATTAAATAATAAATTAGTAAGAACTCCAATGAACAGATTTCAATTATTCAAACCTTTTAGGTAAAAGTACATAGACCAACCTTGAGAAAATTATTCACCAAATTGTCAAAAATTAATGAATAAATTTATAAGTACTTTATTTGTTCAACTCTCCAAGGGTTTCTATTTTATAGGTACTTGTATTATTAATTTGAGCAATTTGACATACTTGAAATATTTCAACTCTGATAACAGCAATAAGTATATTGATATTATGCTACTGTCCTTTTTTGGGGCTCTTAGTAAACCCTTCTATCAATTTATGACTGGATTGTATACTTAGAAATAAGTTTATCAAATTTCATGTAAATTTACTGTTATTTTAGAATCAATTTGCATAATTAGTTAATTGTTGAAGTTGAGTTACATCTATTTTTAGTCAGATTTGATGCTATTGATAGCTAGTTTGATACAAGGAGTGTTCCATTACAATATAACCACCGATATCAGCTCAGTAACTTGGTCGATAACCTAAGGATTACCGTACGATGATTTTGGGATTATCATAAGTGTGCCGTCATCTTGGGGGGATGTTTATGGCCTATAGTGTTTATGACTTTTTGCATGAACAGTTGTGGGAATTCCTATTCGTGCAATTAATAGTAGCCTAGATCATGTTGTGTTACTTTGGCTTTTAGACTAAAATTCAATTTTGATAATATATTTATTATATTAATGAACTCCAATAAAACTTATTCAGAGACTACTTGTGATTGTAAGAGTTTGAGATTGAATGTCTCAGCCAACAAGCATGAAACAAATTGGTAACCTCGCAAAATTAAAATTAGTTCAAATAGACCAGCATCTAGTAGCAAAGCATCTTCCAGCACAATTCGAAAGAAATCATAAATGTACATGTGTTTCAGAGATATTAGTGACTTTTAAGCTATGCAATAGACATTGGGATAAGGTTCATTTGGTTGGGTCACTCTAGTTAAAGAGATATCAACAGGCAAATTGCTGGCAATGAAGGCTGTACTGATGATTTTTGTTATAGTATGCAGATGAAAAAGGCAGAACTGTTTAAATACTGCACAGTTGACAATTTAAAGAGGGAAATAAAAATTTAACGTAAATTAAACCATCCAAACATAATTAAATTGGATAGTTATTTTGAAGATAAGGTAATATGCAAATTAATTTCCTTAGACCAATGTATACTTGGTACTGGAGTATGCAGAAGGTGGTTCTTTGTTCAAATAAATAAAGAAACAGCGTCATCTATCCGAAGATGAAGCTTCTCATTATCTTTACTAAACCTGTCTTGGCATTGATTATCTACACAAACAAAAGATTATTCACAGAGATATAAAGGTTATTTAGCCTTCCTATTTTCTAGCCAGAAAATCTCTTGCTCGATAACAAAGGAAATATCAAGATCTGTGATTTTGGCTGGTCGACTGAAATGGGCAATTTGAAAAAAGCATTTTGTGGCACAATTGAATACATGGCACCTGAAATGATTAAATCTCAAAGTACTAACTACAAACTCGATATCTGGTGTTTGGGTGTTCTGCTCTATGAAATGGTGCAAGGGAAACCTCCTTTCACTGGAAGGAACGACTAAGAAAAATGCTAAGCAATTCTTTCCGGATCCCCTCTCAAATACGATGAGTACGTTTCAGAAGATTGCAAGTCTCTTATATCTATGATTCTTCAGTAGAACCCTTTCAATAGACCCTCTATCCAAGGAATTCTTAGTCATCGATGGATGCTATCCAAAATCAAATAACACCCACCTCTCAATGAAAACCTAACCTATCGAAGTGTCTCATTATTAATTGACGAATAAAATCAATCTCCTTTATAAACTTCATTAACTGTGTTGTCAGAACGCAAGACTACTAATAAAGAATGGGAAGACATGAAATAGAGATCCCAACACTTTGTATTCCAGCAACCTTAACAAGTGTCTGAGTAACCCCAATAAACCTTATTTAAACGTATATTAATATCCCTTGGCTGTATTAATCGTTGAATTGTAATTATTTTAATATCGATATTATTTCACGCCTATCACACTACCTCTATTCATTAACTTTCTAAATCTAAAATTTATGAAACCGAGTAACTAATCTATTTAACCAAAATATTTCCTTGAGAAAAATCATTCCTTATTCATACTCTATCATAATTAATTTACTTTGGTGGTAATCAAATATTTTTGCATTCAGAGAAATTATAATAATAATTTATTTACTATCTTTATTCGATTAAATTACTTGTATATGCATATTAGTTATTTAAAATATAAATTTTAACTAAATTATTAAAAGCGTATAATCTATAATAACATTTAATTAACTCAACTTCTTTGTTTTCTATCTCAGGAAGTTAGGAATGCTTAAAGGGAGCTTCCACTCTTGTGGAAGTATGTGCTTAACGATGATTCTCTCCCACTTAATAATCTACTAACAGAAGAATTTAATGATAACTTTGGTTGGCTCCAAAATTATTCTAATTACTTGTTACTTTCAATCCTTCTTAGATTCCAATATCGTTATTATTTCAATCCAGGATCAGTTTTTGTTTATATTCCCTAGTCATGTAAGTACCTCACGACTCGTCTTTCAATTTCACTAATCTTCGAGTCTACATACAAATCAATGGAATCATTAAGTTCATCCTTGGTACATTCACTTTCTTTTTCATTTTTTTCATTCAATAAGAATAAACAAGTGTTAATACTATCCATCTAATTTAATTATTATTAATTCAATCTTTGCTTGTCCCTTATATAATGTCAAATGTTAAGAAAACTACTAGATTTCAGCGAAAATATCAAAAGAAATTTCCAATTGAGGAATCTCAAAATGATTACGGAATAAACTTGTCTTAATGTATGAAATATAATCAATTTTATTAGATGAGTTCAGTTATAACTAAGAACGGAATAAGCTGAACTTTAATTTTATGAATATTTAACAACTTTTTGTATATTAATTATATTTTTCAATGGAAATCGACCAACAATTACAAATTCAACAAATTACATAACATGGAAAACTTCGTTTTAAATTTAATTAGAGTTTAATAAGAAATTAACAATATAAATATAATCAATATATATACTAAATATAATTAAAAATCAAAAACTCAAAATATTTAATTCTTTAAGCAAAAGGAAAATGCTAGAAATCTTTTAATTAAATGCATTCGACAATCAATAAACCGCTTATAATAGCATTTATTTGATGTATTGGTCAGTCTACATATCCTCATTCAGTTTTTAAGAAAATTGATAGATAAAAGGCTTTTAACCCTGTTTTATGTCTTTTCATTCAAATTTATAGTCGCTTAGTGAATTATTCATCTTTTGTTTCTTCATCTTAATGTGACGCTTTCGTAAGTCTAAATTATGTTTCTAGTTGAAATAATATTTCTGATAATTTTTGCTTATGAGAAATGAATTCTTTTGAAGATGAATCTAAAATTTAATTTCTCGAATATTCATATAAAATATTATTATTTAAAGGATTCAATTACGTAATTGGATTTCAGTTAAAATATATATTGATATATCTTATATTATTCAATTCAAATATATTTATTGTAATTTTAACTATTTTACTACTGTGTCAATGAGGTTAAAGCTTTAATCTTATCTTGAATGCTTAAATTTGATTGCATTTATGGCATTTGCGAACTCCTTAAGGAACTAGGTAGATTGTTAGTGTTAAATTATTCCTAAAATAATTTTTGATTAACACTATTTGCCTATTTCATTTGATCAACCTACTGAATAGATCTATTTATTTAAGCCATAGTTTAATTAATTTGATCTTAAATGGAGTTAGGCTTGTTGAGATTTACTAAAGAGCTGTAATTATTATCAAGAGAAGAATGTTAGGTTGAAACAATTCTATATGTAGAAGAGGAGGAAGGAAGTGTAAGCTATTTTTATGATTACTATTATTTAATTAATTAGACTTACTCCTTTTAATATCTCTCTAATTATTATTACAATTAATTAATTTATGAATCCTTTTATGAAATTAGGTTTTCCAATAATTCTATTTTCTTATTCTTCTCTAACAATTATAAATTAAGTTCTCTATTCTTTTCTTCAAAGTTATCATGTTTTTGCATTGATTATTTGTTATCTAACATATCTTATAAGGCTTGAATTTAATTTTTGTATAATATTAATTGCTCTTTAGTTTCCAACTTATATTGATTCAAGTTCTTTCTCTCTTAATCTCTAACTCTGGCTTCTTCGGCTTCAAGTAGTTCTCTATGAATTTGCTTTTCTTCTAAAAGTTCTTGTTTTAGCTATCCCAATTGCAATTTCAATTAATTGATCTCCTCTTATTTGGATTATAGTTTAGATTGAGAAATGAATTTATTATCATCAGTTTCTAGCTTATTTTCTTTCCTACTGATTTCAGATTAATAAAATCGCTTAGATGGAAGGCCTAAACAAAATAAAATTGAATTTAACTTTCAGTTGATTTAAATTCTAATGAGGATGAATTTTTAAGTAATTGGACTACTTATTCTAGTTCCTAGTTTTTTTATTGTAATTATAGACTTGATTGATGTAATTGCTAATATTATTGTTGCAAATTCTAGTATTTCTAAGCCCATTTTTCAATTTCTTTAGTTTATTCTTCAACTGTCTAAAATTTAAATTAATAGTACTGTTATCAATTCTTCCATCTCTTGTGGATATTGGGTTGATTTCTGAGTATCAATTTAGCCTTAAAGAATCTCGACCTCATTAGTTTTCTTTTTCAACGCTAGTGTAAGTCTCTCCACTTAGGTGGTAAGCATGATCAAATTCTCTAAATATTTCCCATATCTACTTTATTATTTTAATCGTCAATGTTATCAAAGTTAGTCAACTTAGAATTCGACTCCTTTTACTTGAATGTGATCGAGTCCATAAAGTATTAAATTAAATATTATTAAATTAAAGATCAAAATTGTAAGAAAGGATGTTCCAGGAGTTATTACAGATTTGCTCTTTAATTGGGATCTTTATGAAGACAACACTGCACAAAATCAATAAGCAAAGGATCCTCACCCTTTTTGAATACAATCTCTTCTCTACATATCCTATCTTATTATTTGTATTTATTAATATCTCGAAATGGAACGGTATTATTGAATAATTCAAAAAGTAATATACCTATAGCCCAAATATCAACCCGTTCATCATATCCATCATACTAACTCATAATACTCGAGCTCAGTATAATTTCTGGGGACATATAATCAAGAGTTCCACAAAAAGTCTTTCTTCGTTTTCCTTTTTAAATTGAACAACCAAAGTCTCCAATTTTTACTACATCATCTTGTGTTAGATAGATATTTTCAGGTTTGATATCTCTATGCATGATTCCCATCTGATGGATGTATTAAATAGCAGTAAGAATCTATTTAGTTATCTCTTTAATTTTAGATTTTGTGAATTGTTTTTAATACAAACTTCCTTTTTCACAATACTCAGTTACCAAATAGATCTTTTGATTATCTTAAAAATGTGTGAATAATTGAACAATATTTTTATGTTTGAGTTTGGATTGAATATCTATTTCTCTTTAGACTTATTAATTGAGATTACATTTTTGGATCTTAAGTTTGTCTATAACTTTAAGTGCATATGAATGTCCAGAATTTCTAAATTTAATTATATGATACTTGGCTAACATAACCTTACTAAATTATCCTTATCCAATTAACTGACAAAACTGGAATTTAAGCATCGAAAAAAGAGGCTCTGATTGGTAGCTGTGATTTCTTCTGTGTGTTTTGATAACATCTTCTTAAGTTGTGTGCATGTGTAAATATTCATCATATTTTGGAGTCACATAGAATTAAGGAGGAAGTCGTGATTTTGGTTGCATAGACAAAGAATAAAATTTATTAAATAAATTTCCAATAGTTATGATTGTGTGATATCAAATTTAATTACAACAATTTTGCTTCCTAATATTGGAGTTGAAATTATAACAATTTTGATAATAATATATTTATAATTATCTGTTAGTATGGAAAAAATTAGCGTATGCTTAAGAATACGACCACTCAACCAAAAAGAAATTAATGACAACGAAATAATAGCTTGGGATGCCAATGACTAAAAAATTTAACTCAATAAAATTTGCTTAAAGGAATTGATTGCTTAAAAAAAAGTAGTCAATAGTTTGATTTACGAATTCAATCATTGCTATGGTCAACAAGCTGACAACTATTTTTTGTTTTCAACTTCTGTCAAACAAGTAATTATGCAATCTTTAGATGGCATCAATGGGACTGTCATCATGTATGGATAGACAGGGTCAGGCAAAACCTTTACAATGTTAGGAAAGAGGAATTAGGAGATGCTCCAAAACAACAATAGCAACATCTAGTAATTAATCAAAGATAGTTTTGCAAATAATCAATACAACGATGTGGGAATTTTGATCTACTCAATGATGGAACTTTTTAAACAGATTAATATTGTATATGCTACTTCTATATCACTAGGATGAAAAGAGATAGTTCGAAATTAAATGTAGTTATTATGAAATCTACAATGAGTTTATTTATGATCTGTTACGTGAAGAAAATGAGTTATCTGAACCCCTCATTTTTGGAACTGATTATCGTAAGGTAAATTATCCCCTAATTTAAATAAGGAATTTGTCATCAAAAATATCAAAGAATTCAATGTTACCTCCATTGAAGATGTGATTGCATGCATTTCAAAGGGAGAAAAAAATAGACATTATGCAGAAACCATATTGAATCACCAAAGCAGCAGAAGCCACACAATCTTCAAAGTGCTCATTAGTGCTTACTCCAATGAGTCCGAAGAAGAGGAAAACTTTACTTTTTCCACTGAAGCATGCATCAACTTTATTGATTTAGCAGGCAGTGAAAAAATAACATCGAGTCCAATTTCAGATGATATCACTAGAAATTCCAATAGGAAGGATAGAAATAAAGAGAGCTCTGCAATCAATAAGAGTTTGTTCTTTTTAACAAGAGTTATTGCATTAAAAACTTAAAAGGTTCCACCTCAACACATCCCCTATCGTAACTCAACATTAACTAAACTATTAAAGTATCTAATCTATTGTATTTTCTCTAGATCTTCACTCACAGGGAACTTCAAAACCTTGATTCTTTTGAGTATTAACCCTGGATTGAGTTAATATGACCAAACACAATCTACTCTGAGATTTGGCACAAGTGCAAAATTGGTTGAATCTAAAATTGAATAGAATGTAAATTTTGATGCTTCCTATTCTAATAATTAATAAAAATTAAATTAGTTAATCCAAAAAAACAAACAAAATGAAAAGATCATTTAAGATTAATAAAAGATTATTGACTCATTAAAATAGCAAATACAAACATAAAATGGTTCAGAAATCTTAACAAATTTTAAATAATCGGAAATTTAATTAGTTTCAAAGCCATCAGTAAGTCAATTCAATGAAACTGATGTATCCCTATTGGAGAAAACCCAAGAATTAAATTCATAACTACAATAAGAAATGGAAAAGAATGTACTTTTAGAAAAGAATTGTACAGAACTTCATAAAAGATTATAGAAATCTAATGAATAGATTCTTACTTATTTCAATTCCCACAAAGAAATGGAATAATAAATAAAAGAATTAAAATTGTAAAATGAGAAATTTGAAAAACTATCTTAAAATGCCCTAAATAGACTTTCGTGCTATGAGGGATAACCAAATTTCAAAAAATTTAGTTTAGAAGATCTTTAAAACTTAGAACATTAAATATAGTAATGTTTATAGGAAATCAAAGTAATTAAATTACTTAATACTTAGATAGAAAAATAAAGAAGGAACTCATTTTAATAGTTGAATATAGATGCAATGCCTTTATTTACTCAACCAACAGAGACTTTGAGATCAGATAGAAGTAGTGCTAGTTAAGATTTTCGTAGAATTGAGGAGTAATTAACATAATAAAAGTAGAGAAGACTCATTGCCTAAAAGCTATAAGAAAACTCCAAAAAAGGATGTAAAACAATTGCAACCAAAAAAGCAATAATAAAGCTATTTCAAGGCCACATCTAATCGATTATCGACGCTTTCTAATAATGAAAACAAGTCTCCTTTACTCAAGAAGCCAAATTTGAGAGATGCTAAAAATTTTGCTAAAAAAATTTAAGATTAGAAAAGTATTAAATTAATCATAACTAATTTAGTTTAGAAACCGACTCAGGTTTAGGAGGAGTACAGAAGTAAATCTAATGAAAATCATTCCTAATAGGGGGGTTAGTAGCCGGAACAAAGCAAATTGAAAAATGATATATAATCGTTGGCTGATAGATTATATTCTTTGTCTGAGAAGTTCTAGTTAAATAGGGATTCTAGAGTGAGTTAGAGTAGAAAAAGCACGAACATAAATAGAACTGATATAATTTATGAGACCGAATCAGAGTTGCTAGGAGACAGTAGGACAACAATACATAAAAGCAATCGCTCAGCTATGAAATGATATATTATAATAATTTCAAATGAAAATTCACTTGTCTATTCTAGTTCGAGGACGAAGATAGGAGGGGGGATATTCTAGGTCAGATGAGGAAGTGGAGGTGAATTTATTGTTTTCAAACTTGACTTTAAATATGATTAATTTATTATTTATAGGAAATGCAGAAGATAAGTGATAGAAAGCAGAATGAAGTAGCCAGAAGTTCTAAGAAGCGTTTCTCAATTTCAAGGGAAATTGCAAATAGAAAAATGAGCAACTCTAATTTATTCTCGTCGGAAGAAAGTAAAATAAGAATGATAGGAAGCAGACATTCCGTTTCATCTATCAAAAGCAAATAAAAAGTGAACATTTCAATGAACAAAGATTTATCTTCAGGATCATCATCTTTTTCTAGTGATTCGGAATCGAACAAGGAGAAGTTAGACTAATCAATAATTTTAAAGGACAATATTGGTATTATATAATAAGCCCAATCCTCCTTTTATTAAGTGTAGGATAAATTAATATTGCCGAATATGTCATTTGATTAAGATTTCATAAATCCGTTGGATATCTCAGATGGAATTGAAAAGTCTATTTTAAAAGTTTAGTTTATTGATTTTGAACATCGATGGGGAATGAAACAAGATATCAATATTCAAAAACAATGTGGAGGAGATCAAATGCTTCAATCCTAAGTAAGTGACGGAATGTCATCCCAAAGATCCTTAAAGATGTCTCATCGTAGCAAAAAAGGAGCCTTTTAATCTAAGTTGTTAGCAGTTCATAATAGAGTCAAATAACAACTAAGTGACAGTGAAGAGGATGATTATGCTGATAATGAATCGGTAGAGGATAAGTTAAAAGGAAAATTTAAAAAACTATATGAAAGAAACCCATTTGAGGATCCTTACTATGTGAAGTTGTAGGATCTGCATGGATTCGAAAGATTGCACTATGAAATAAATGTAAATTTAACATTTCCATTGTTAGGCTTATAATGATGATAAAAAATTTCTGAATCTAAGAAAGTCTATAGTCTATTATTCCTTATTTATTCCAATCTTATGCAAAAGGATAATAAGGAGTGTTCCATTCAAAATCATCATGTCCTTTCTAATTATCTTCAATGTCACCCTATACATATACTCTTAAACCAATTAAGACCCCCTGTCAACCAAAGATATGGAAACAGCAATTATGATTTGTTTCTTGATAGAACTGGGAATCAGAATACTAGCTTCAGGTGTATTAATTCCAAAAGGAGCCTTCTTCAAGAATTTTTAAGACTTATTTGATTGCATTTTGGTTGTAGTTTATGTTTTAAACATTAATTATCCTGATGTATTCATAGTAGATGTATCGCCTTTGCGTGTGATAACATTGTTACTGTATTTAGGAGACATCTTTTCAGGGTTGGGAGTGATGTTGAAAGCATTGAAATAGTCTTTTCGATTTCTCTTAGAAGCTTTAATGATAGTAGGATTGTTTTCGTTGTTTTTTGCAATCACAGGAGTTTTTTTGTTTCAAGGATTATTTAATTATAGATGTCAATATGATAATGGGGATGAAACTGACGGGTGGGTCCAATGCAATTAAAATTCCTGTTATGAGGAAGGAATGTCTTGTAAATATTCATCATTCACTCCGAAACTTCCGACTTCCTTTAACAATGTCGTTTATTCATATGGACAAGTTTTGAGAACTATTACAATGGATGATTGGAGTTGGGTCATGTTCTTTACGATGAGAATCTATCATCCATGGACTTGGTTGTATTATTTATTCATTATTTTTGTTTGCGGATTCTTTGGATTCAATTTAGTTATTGCGGTCATTAAAATACATTATGCTGAAGCTGCAGAGGAGAATGCAAAGGAAGAAGAAATGAGATAAATACAGTAGAAGATTAAGGAGAATAGGGAACTTCCCGAAAGAGATATTATTAATGTTTTTGATGTGGCTTTTTTGAGATATATTGAATTTTTTCCTGTTATTCAAAGATATCGGTTGGCTTTAAAATCCCCTTATCGAGCCTTCAAATTAGAAGAAAATGTCAATGAAAAAGGCAATTCAAATAAGTAAAAGGGACCAAGAATATTGTCAGCTAAACAAAAAAAGAATGAAGATTACAATCCAAAAGTAATAAAATATTATAACATTGTTTTAGTAAGGTTATTTTAAAAGATTAATTTATAAAATTTAGAATTTAACAGTAAAAAACATTCTATTGCCTAAATTCTACTTACTGAATGAGAAACAAAAGACTATTCATGTTAAAAGGTATACTGAAGACGAGATTGAGTTGTAAATATTAGAAAGATTAAAGTCTTTATAATTCTCCTAATTGTAATCCTCAGTCAATTAACAAATTCATTAGAAATTTGAAAGTGAAGGAGACGTTTTGCCAACTCTAAAGTAAATGAGATTCCTCTATAAATAGTTTGCCTGATTGCGAGAAAAAGGAATTAGAAAAGGAAATTCTCAACATGAGGAACATCAAAATACCTGTTGTTTATCCTGATATAAAATAAAAAAAGATTTAATAAATTGTATATGATCGCAAGAAACTCAGTCAATTTCCGATTCGAAAGGTGAAAAGGATCAAATTGAATGAGACTGAGGATGAAGAAGTAGAAACCAACAATTCTTTGGATCAAAACCTATTTATTTAAAAACAAAGTATGGCACTATCTCATAAACTCAAATTTTCATAAAATGAAGGCAAGGTTCCATTTGCAATTAAAAAATAAGACTAAAATTGGGTCCATATCCAAGGATACTATTTAAATTATGCAGGAGTTTCTTTAAAAATTAATGCTAAAATTCAGAAAAACAAACACTCTTAGCCATCCAATGAATTCTAGTATAGATTACTAAGAAGGAAGGATATTCAATAGAATTAGATTTCAAAAAAAACTTGGTCTGGAAATGACGTTCTTAAATTAAATGAGTCTAGATTATTCAATTTCAGAGAAGTGTTAAAGAGACTTAATTTTATTGACATTTAAATTTGGATGCTTGGGTTTAAAGGTAAAATTGAAACTCTGCGAAAATACTCTTATATTTTAATTACATCTTAACTAAGCTAATTATTTTTTGATAGTGTTATCTTAATTAATTTTACATTTCTATCATTATAAGGAATAGCTGATTCAGTAACAATATCTAATGAGGAGGATGTTTCAACAATATTTCTATGCATAGAATTAGTAATTAGATTTTTTGCTTTTTCTTTTAAAGACATATCTTAAAGTCCCGATTACGTTCTACAATCCTGCATTGTGATTTTGAACTTCATCGAGCTTACTATGAGTTCAGTAATGACAAACTTAAATGAACAGAATCTTAGGTTGATAAGGGGGACCAAGTGTCTTCTGTTTTATCGAGTATTGAAATATAATAAAATGGCAGTGGCGATTGGACATATTGCTTAGCGAACTTTCAGATAATATATATATTTGACCTTCTTGTTTTTTTTAGTCATCTTTGTTTATGCTATGATTGGCATGGAGATGTATGCCGGATATTTCGACTAAACAGATGCTCTAGGATAATTGCATTCCTATGACAATATTCTAAAGGCTTTTATGACGATTTTCAACATCTTAACAAATGATGATTGGTATGGAGTCTATGTTATGGGAGGAAATATTAACTATATATTTGCTGTAATTTATTCGTATTCAATGGTTATATTATTGAATTATATCACCTATGGTTTGGTGTTGGCTATATTGTTGGATGGGTTCGGAGCTATTGACAAGGAAATGCAGGAGTTGGATGAAGAAAAAGAATAAGATGAGGAAAAGAATAATGAGAAATAGGAGGAATAAAACTCACAGATCACAGAACAACAAGAAATAAACGAATTTTAGTTGAATTTAAATCCATTGATATCATAAATTAATTTAAGTGAAACCCAATAGAAAAAGTCCAAGTAGCATTTAATAACAAACTTAATGAAATCAATCAGACAAGTTCATAAAGATATATTAAACAAATATCCTAATTTATATGATGGAATCTAATGCAAATAATCGTTTTATTTATTTGAAAAGGAAAACCTTTTCAGAATAATATGTTGCAGAATAATCACTTCAAAATTCTTCAATTACTTTATAGATACTGTTTTATATTTTTCAATTGTTGTCTTTGCTTTGAAGACATATAATGACTATGAGAGTGATTCTTCATTTTATCCAGAGGTTTTGCAATTCATAGCCAATATTATATTTCTGTTAGAGATTATTTTCGGTAGTATTGCAAAGGGAATGTGGATGAATAAGGGAGCATACATTACATACACATGGTAAATAGTGGATGTCATCTATATCATTTCATTTTTCCTCAATTTTTTATCAAATCAAAACAAAAGCATAATAGTGGAGTTAATTCTATATTTAGGATATTTCAGAGTGATGAAATTGATGTACAGAATATCATGGTTAGACACACTTCGATTAGCATTAGGTAGATCTCTAGCAGACATTTGGAATGTGCTGATTACTATGCTTTCAGTGTGGATTATATTTGGAGTTTATGGAATTATCTTATATGAGCAGCAGTTTGGATTTTGTGAAGACAAAATGCAATTTGAAGTTAACAAGCGGGAATGTTTAGAGTAGAACAGGACATGGATCAATTATAAACATAATTTCGACAATATTACAATAGCTATCCCCACTCTTTTTGTAGTTTCCACTTTTGATGGATGGGGTGAAATTATGCAGATATCAGAAAACAGTTAGAATCCAAATATAGGTCCTGAGGCATTTAATAGTTACATACATACTTACACCTTTTTTATAACATTTTGTTTTATTGGATCAATGTTTTTCTTGAGTCTATTTACGGGAGTCTTATATTCAAATTTGAAAGCCAATTAGAGCAAAATAGAAATGTCTGATATCACCAAAGCTCAAGTAGAGTTTATGGAGATTTCATAAATAATTATTAAAGACTTTCCATTGTACTCTTCACCTCCTACTTCTAAGATTAGAAGATTTGCTTCTGATTTAACAAACAGTAATACTGCTCAAAAGATTATGTTTTGTTTATTACTGCTCGATTTAATGGTGTTATTGCTCTTCTTTTCTGAGATGGATGACAACTTTTTCAGAATTTTGAATAGTACTCACAATAGTTTAACATATATCTACATCATTTGGAATATCCTATTGTTTTTTGCTTTAGGAGTCAATAGATTTTTTGATAATCATTGGAGAAGATTCTATTTCTTCTTGATTTTAATAGCCATCATTGATATTATAGCTGATTTCGAATCAGATTGGGCCTTGGTCTATTTTAGATCATCACCAGCTGATTCAGGATATCAACTCCTTCGGTTATTCTTTGCCATCAGATGTTTAAGAATTATTTTGATTTTCTAAGGATTGATTAATTTGTAGAGATTAATGAGAGTCATGGTCTTTGCTATGCCATTTTTGGGGAAGATCTTCTGCTTGTTGATCATAACGATGTATATTTTTGCACTTTTCGGCTGTCAATTATATGGAAGATTAGAAAAGGGATAGGTGATGGATGATTAAATCAATTTCCAGAATGTTGGCTTAAGCCATGCTCTCCCTTTTCTAAATGTGCATCAGGAGATGATTGGAGAACTATAATGACTGACACAATATTTTATAATCCTTATTGTGCGGAAGATGAAACCTATTGTGGAAGTATTTATAATTAAATCTACTTCTTCCTATTTATGTTGCTGTCAAATTATGTTCTATTAAATTTGTTTGTTTTGGGCTTGGTGGAATAGTTTGAGTAATTCTTTATGCTCTAAAATTCAATGATTCAAACTTACGTTGAAAATATGGATAAGATCAAAACAATTTGGTGTAAATACTCTTCTGAAACATAAGGTCAAGCAATGCATTATAAGTTTTTGTGTCGTTTCTTATTGGATATTGGGAAACCTTTGGGTGGTGGGAGTGATGAGAATTTATGGGATGTTGGTAAATTGGCTTCTTCATTTAAATTATAATGGTATTTATTGTTAATAATAAAATAGTGACCACTTTGGATACATTCAGTATAATCAATTAATATACGAACTATTTAGAGTATGTTATCATGGTGAAGTGTTCAAGAACGGCACTTCTTCCTCAATCAAGAAAGTCAAGTAATTCAACAAGGAAATGTAACTCCGACTGATGTATTACAGAAGAAACAGGTTCCTGTAGAGAAGCAACATCAGTCCCATTCTGCATTTGAAAGCCAACTTCAATATATTACATGATTATCTGACAGTCCTCATTTTATACAAAGCATGGGAGGCTTACTCTAGAAAACTAATTAAGAAGCTCAACATCAAATAGAAACAATTCACTGAGGAAGATCTGGATGAGCAGGATTCTTCATTCGATAAAAAATCTATAAATAACCAATAGTACTTATTTTAGTGTATCCTTTAGCATTGATTAAGATTGTAATTAATTTCTTGAAGATGATATTACACAATAAGTTATATCAAATGATGAACCACGACCAGAAAATATTCATCCAAATACCAATTGTTCAGAGGAAGACCAACCTAAAAAGGAAGACATTCCTGTTTACAGATGGCAGAGTGATTAGCAATCAGGAGGATTATTTGAATAAGCCTTTATATCTCCAGATTAATCTTTCAAAATAAGAAAATTCTGATTATTTCATAATACTTTTGATACTCTATTATTTATAAGTTGTTTTATATCAAATAACAGAATTTTAAATAGTATTCATAAATTGCTTCATAAATTAATTAAAGTTCAGCACTAATTAATCTTCCATGAATTTAGAATATTCACAAAAACTTTCACGAAAATCCAGTCAAGATGATTGTATCAATATGGATACGGATTTATAGGATAAATGTTAGAGTCAAATGGAAATCGAATAATTCTCCAATAGGATTGAAACCCATAAATTTGTTGTAGGTATCTCTAAACCTGGTGAGATGAGAATCGGACTACAAACAATAAACAAAAGTAAAATTACTGTCAAAGGAATACTAGGAATACAAGAAAAATAATGAAAAATATTTAAATTATATTTTCTTGATATTTGTTAATTTTATAATTACACTATGACTTACATGGATCAAATGCTCACAAAGTTCTAATTTATCTTCAAAATATAAAAACTATCCAGTATATCTTCACTTTTTATCAGCAAAATCAACTTTCACCAAGACTAATAAAATAACTTATTATTTTTTTATAATGCGAATTTTAATAATAAATTGCTATGATAACAAAGACCTAGAAAAATTCCAACATTTCCAATTTCATGTTATGAAAGTAAAATATCCGAATAATATAGTATTTAGCAGAGTAAAAAGAGTTAATAGATACAGAAAATGAATTTTATGTTCGTAATAGGGATACTATAGAGGACTTTCTATACGAAGTAGAAAGTTCTTATGTGAAAAAGGAAGCAGCTCAAAAATTCGATCAACTTGATGTCATATTCATTATTGGAGATTGTCACACTCGACCTTGGGCTGCTCACATGGGTATGGATTTCAGAATCATAGTTAGCAAAAATATTGGTTTTGTTGAGAATGTGTTTAAGAGTATAGAAGCTACTCTTTGCTTCAGGATTTGCCATGTAGGCCTTAGTGTATTTATCAGCATCTAATATTGAGAGAGTAATCACTTAATATGATATATAAGCCTATCAACTTAATCAATTAGAATGGAGGAAAATTATCAGATCTAAGAGAATTAAAAATCCAGATTTAACAAAGCGATATGTTTTTGGAAAACACATCAGGGGATTTATATGTTTTTAATTATGAAACTTCTGAGTGGATTCCAAAATTGAATGTAGGCATTCACTTAAGGAGTGCAGCCCAAGAATTCTAATCAATAGGAAAGTATGTTGTTAAGGCTCCTATTTACAAACCAAAACAAAATGGCTCCTTTCTAAGTAAAAATAAAAACACTGAAACTGTTGTCTCAATAAGAAATGTTTATTTATAACATTGGGTATTATTCATTAAATTAAAACAACAAAGGCATTTAAAGATATTGAATCACGCTTTTTAGCACCATTATTGAATAGATGGGATATTCACAATTTCTAATTCAATAATTCCGAAAAGAAATTTATCTGTCTTGCAGAAAGTGACGAAGGACCATCAATAATTGAGTATCCCAAGGCTTTGGCTTGCATGTTTGAAATTGATACCAAATACCCTTTTACAAATACTTTGCTCAAAAACTTTGTATAATATGCTATGTACAACATCAAAGTCTCCAAGTAAGAAAAACTTTATTATGTAAATTTAAGTTCCTCTAAACCTTTCAATTCAATTGAGAATTATCACAAAGTTAATACAAAATCCTCATCTATATTAGATCTTCTGAAAAACACTAATAATTAGAACCAAAAGAAAACCACTCTCGAATTAATGTAAATAAGAGGCAAGAATGGGATAGCTTCTCATAGTCAATAAAGATTAACATACGCTTAAGAGGAATAAAAATTATAGTCCATGTAGCATAGTCTCAAAAGGAGAAGTAGTATCGCCCATGTAGGATTTACATTAAATAAAAATGTACCCATAAGACCAGTGGAAATAAATGCTGTTGGGAAAAGGAGAATAAAGTACTAACAAGGACAACAACCTTCGAGGAAGATAAGTGCTGATGAAGCATATTTAAAATCCTAAAGAGACAGTGAAGATGATGTTTTTAATGAAGCACAATCAATTTAGAAAACCTTACCTCTTAAGCCTCCCAGCCAATCAGAAATACGGAAGTTGTTGCATCCAGAAATTTCTAAGTCTTGTTTGGAAGTTAGAGAAATTTGGATTCCAGGACATTTATCAGAGTAGGTGAAAACTTAAGGAGATAGAAGGGTAAGTCAGATTGGAGGATCATTTCAATCGACTCAGACTTCTTAGAGGAGGAGGTGGATTTGATGAAGAGCTTTGAGAATAATAATACTAAATTTATATTATTTATATGCTTTAGTCTTTTTTAAATTGCTTCAAAAAGTAACCGAAGTTTAGGATGAATCGCGATTATGAGAAGGATATCTTATCTTCAGTTTAGGACATTTTGCCATAGTCCTTTTAGAAACATTAGTATAACAAGTAAAATATGAATCAAATAGAAAGCCATAATAAGGAATTTTAGGCAACAAATGATTTAAATAGGTTGAATTAAGAGTAGGGGATTTTTTCACCAAATCCATCGTAAGCAAACATTCGATTACACTTTTTAGAAAATGTTGATGAACAGTTTTAAAAAAATGAGAATCCTTATTATTGCTAATTTTCTTTGGATTATTTTGGAATGAATAATAAATTTCGGCAATATTGCATTTTAATAAATGAATCTCGAGTTTATTAATATTCTGTGTACATATTCGTATTATTTCCAAACTATTTAGACAACATTTTGTATAGTGATTTTGATGATCAAGCCTTACAATGGTCAAAAGAGTGGATTTGGGTTCAGTTTAAATGATGATCAGATCCTGGGAGTAATAGTCACCGCAGATGTGATATTTGCTGCTCATCACCTAATATCGATAGTTTCATATGGGTATTTAGAATAACTATGTAGGTTATGGAGTTGTAAATACGGATACTACAGGAACCCAATAGCATTCATAAATGGAATAGCCTTGTTCTTCGCCTTAATTTTGAGACAATCTTACTTTTATACATTAAGAATACTATTTTTGCTTGAGTTTTTTATGCACTACAAAATTTTAAGAATAGTCCGAAAATTTTGTTTGACAGTAGAACATTCATTTATCTCAATTGTTTACATCACAATAATAATTTGCTTTTTCTTTTATGTGTTTGCAGTGGTAGGATTACAAATTTGGACTGGGATTATCGGAAATTAATGCATCAACAAAGATAATGAGGTTGACTACTATCCAACTCGATTTTGTGGTTTGGGAAGGTCTTGTTCTGATGGATATGAATGTCAGCAGGCTCAATTTGAGTAACCATTCATTTAGTATTCACATAATTTCACTAAATTTGATTACATTCAAGAATCAATGGCTAGTTTGTTTATAGTCCATTATATTGAAGGATGGGTAGAAATTGAATAGAGTTTGGCTGACTCATTCAATAAATATGTGAGTACTGGGTATTTGTGGACTTATATTTTTATTTGTTCATTCTTTTTGTAAAACTTGGTGGTTGCCATATTTCTGAAGTAATCTCAACAAGAAGTTCATTTAGATGAACCAGCTTAAACAGTTTTATTTTTAAATAGTCATACCAAAATATCATTAACGAATGAAAAAAGAAAGACTGTGTTTTAGAGTCCCAATTATCTTAGTAGAAGTAAACAAAGAGTTATGACTATGCTTATGAATTCAACTAAAAGAAGTAGTGATTAAAGAAAGATTAGAGTAATTATCAAATCTATTTTATCTTCAAAAATAACGCAATATTTTTACAGTCTTTTATTTTTGGCTAATCTTGTTGTGTTGTCTCTAAATGATGAATCAGCATATATAAACAAATTAGAAGGAACATTAGCCAAAATAAATGTGGTGTTTTTGGTAATTTATTTAATAGAAGACATAGCAAGAATCTATATTTGGAAATAAAAGGAAAGCAAAATAATTGTGTTATTAGAATTTATTTGTGATTTTGTTGGTTTGATAGTCCAAGTCAATTAATTGGAACATCCCTTCATCTTAAATACAATCAAAGGAATACGATTGCTATGGGTCTTCAATTACTAAACTAGTTGGTCAAATTATCGAGTTTTATTATCAGCCTTATGGAAGTCGTTCAACAACATCCCCATCATGATTTTGATACTCTTTATTTACGGTCTAGTGATTGGTTTGATGGGTCGTAACTTTTTTGCTGGGAAATTAAGATTCAATGATTTAGGATTCTATGATTTGGATGGTTCCTATATTCCAAGGGCTAATTTCGACAGTATGAGAGAGACAATTACTACATTGTTTATAATCATATCTTCGGATTAATGGTAAACCATATTTTATACTACATTGGAAACTGGATCTTGGATTCCGTATATCTTTTTCATTTGTGTCTAATTTATTTGTAAATTTTTTATACTTCCCTCGTTTTTGACTTTGATGCTTGATAATTATGAAGATGCTAAAAACGAAGCTGATATTTCAAAAGCTAGAGCTACTAAAATTATTTCAACAATGCAAAATAAATCTAGAATTGTACCAACAAAAGAGACCTCATTATTGCAAGTCAGCAATTCATAATCTGAAAAGAAACGCTTCTTTGGAAGATTGTCTAAGGTCTCTGATGACAGTGAGAAAGAGGAGACTCATTCAAAATAACACCCTGCGTTAAAAAGACAATAATCAAAATATTAGTAGGTGTAGATTTTCAAAAGCAGTGATGATTTCTAAATAATATCACTTTATTAATAGAATTGGAAAGAATTCTTTGGAAATTCATCACTTTTTATCCTACACAACCGATCTAATTTAAGGAAGAAATTACACATTCTCATTCAATCTAAATATTATGATTGGGCAATGAGTTTCATTATTTTGTCTAATTTAATACTCTTAGGGTATGATCAACCTCTCAGAAAGGAGAATTTAGTTATTGATGTATTTAATTATGCATTTACTGGCATTTTCATATTGGACGCATTTATCAAAATCCTAGCCCAAGGTTTCTATTGGAATAAATAGGAACCTCAAAAATCCTATATCATGAACAATAACAATTAATTAGATTTCGTAGTCCTCATTATTAGTTCTCTTGATGATCTCAATATTTACAAGAGCTAATACTTAAGAGCCTTCAGAGCTCTGAGAACATTAAGAATTCTGATCACATTACGGGTAATTAATTTTGATATATGTAGAGAGGATCGCAAAATGAGTAACTGAATCTAATATCCAGATCTTTATTATAAACCATCTCATTACTTTCATCAATGATATTTGTTACTGGCATAAGTCTGTGGATTCTAAGTATCATATGCATGACAATATGGAAGGGCAAACTCTATTTTTGCTCCTAAGTATCGTTGAAAGACTTTTAAGATATTGTCAACGTAGAAGATTGTCTCGCCAAAGGAGGATAATGGATAAATAATATAACCAATTATGATACAATCCAAGATTCCCTACTTTGTTTGTTCAGATTAATCATTGGAGAGGGTTGGACCTAATAAATGTTTAGTGTATCTGACATCACCAATAGAGGACTCAATCCTAAAATTAATTCATCATCCTAATACCAATTCTTCTTTTATGTGTTGATCTTTTCATTGAATATCGTATTGCTCAATCTAATCACTGGCTTGATCATCAACAATTACAGAACTATCAAGGAGAACATTGCCAACTTTTAGTAATTAAATGAATTTCAAAGACAATGGATATAAATGATGTAAATAATGCAAAAGAAGAAACTTATATATCTCATACCCAAACCTTCATCCAAATACAGACTAATTTGTTATCATTTGGCTAGCAACTAATACTTCGAGACTGTCATCCTAATTTTGCTTGTGGTCAATCTAATTTTGTAATTATTGCACTCATATCTAGTTGTTCATCCTATAGTGGCAAGTAGAGTATCACCACTTAAGAGGCATTATATGGAATGAGTATTTTCTTTATAGTAATTTTCCATGTGGAATTGTTCATCAAACTACTCGCATACTGGGTTCATTTCTTCAGAGATATTCTCAATAAATTCGATATTATCATATTGATTGTGACAGATGTGCTCTTGATAATGAAGGACAGTTTTGACTTGCCTAGACTTTACACGATTCCACTCATTATAAGATCCCTGAGAATCATAAAAGCCAATAAATTATTTAGGTTCAATAAACAATTGAGAGTTCTCATTGATGTGATCTAAGATCTGATTCCTACCTTATTGAGTGTCATAGTATTCATTGCAATCACCATAATCATATATTCACTAATAGGAGTCCAGACCTTTTCAACAGTATGGAGCACGTCATCAGATCCTCAGTATCCCTATACGATGGAAGAAAGCTAAAGAACTAAGTCCTTTTCAAATTTCTTAGATGGAGTCTTGATTTTAATCGATATTTCTACTGGTTAATATTGGTCTTTGTATATGGCTGATTATACAATTGATACCAAAGGATGTCATGCCCAAACTCCTGAACAATTTGAATCGGAAGGTGCTCGGGGGTGTAGTACAATCTTTGGTTATTTTTTCTTTATTAGCTTTCTGGTTTTGATTCGCATCATCATGACTTCATTGTTTTTAGCCATGATTATTGAATCATATCAGGAATGTCAATTAGAAAATACGGCTGCCATAAATCCGTATTAATTAGAGGACTTTTTAGTTAAATGGTCGGATTATGATCCTCAAGGTACAGGTTGGATAACCCCAGAAGATTTTGCATTTTTGATGTTCGAAATAAATCCCCCTCTAGGATTTAAAGATGAAAATTCTCAATATTACGACTTTGCTGCTGCAAGTAAAATAGAAAACTCTATAATTAGAAAATCAAAAATTGAAGTCCCATTTCTATAATCATAAGAAAAAGATGAGACTATTCAAAACTGAGATCTTTCAAAAACTAAGTGATTATCAAGTGTAAATTTATCAAAATAAAATGGTTCATTTCAAGGATATATGTATCCAGTTGGCTTACAATGCAATAAAAAAGAAGAATGAACTCAAAGGAATCGAATAGATTGAAGACAAGATCATTCTACGTTAAATAAGAAAATCATGGGAGTCCAGATATCCTGATTTGGTTGGAATGAAAACCTAACAATTTGTTGTAGATATCTTTGCTTTTAATTCCATCACTGACATTTTGAGAGGGTATTGATGTTATTAATTTAGAGTTATTGAGAGGAGGAAGATCAAGAAAAGAATCAAGGAAATGCAAAAGGAGAAAAACTTAAAGCAATTAGAAATTAATGAAAATGCTTACATCACCACCAAGACTCTGCTTGAAAGAAATAAAGGCAGAAGAAGGAGCTAAATAAGAAAAAAGGTGTATAACTTCTAATAAACCAATGTCTAAAGAAGGAGTGAAATCAATGTTGATATTGAACAAGCCATCCATCAACCAAAGAGAGCTATGCATCAAAACTACTAGAAATAATAACAAAACAAGGATGACAAAAATTCTTTGACTAGTCTAAACTTTTATATTGATCCTGACGAAATGTGCAATGGATTTCCAATGAAAGTTGTACATGAAACTCAAAAAATCGATTTTCCTGCAATCAAATCTGATAAGAGTTTAGGAACTCTCTAAGCGACTCAAAGTGAAAAGCAAGTCAAGAAACTAGGAGGGTATATTTCGGAAAAATGCTCTGATGAAGAAAATCAATAAGATAGTGTAATATAAAATTTCAAGAGAGACGATATGTTTGAATGATGCAATATAATATTATTGAGCTTTTATTTTTATTAATTCCTCAATCTTCATATAGATTTTTTGATATTCAATCAATTAGAGAATGTAAAATGTGTCTCCTTACTTGAATTATTAAATTGCTTAATTTTAATATTATTTATATTGAGTTATTTATGAGGAGGGCCTTAAAAAAGAAGAAAATAAATGATAAATTGGGGAAACTAGTATTCAATGGCTTAGTGCGGATGCAATAAATAATGATCAGAAACAAAATTGAGCCAACACTATTTAATCTCATCTTTGCAAAAATCCTTCTATTCGTCTCAGCCCTACAGGAGATATAGTTAATCACTTCAACAGAAATTCAAAATCAAACTTCCACATAAATTCAGAGTTCTCTATTGTCTATTCAATAGAAGTTTTCCATCAATTTGATTAAATATGATTAAGTCGAACCATTGTTTTTTTTGTTGCTCTCCACACAAGTCTTATACCTTTTGATGCTAGCAATTGTTTATGTTGATAAAAATGAAAAATTTATTCTGGTAGGATAATTTTTCAAATATTTTCAAAACATTTATCACTTAATAATATTTCTGCCCACTTTGAATATTACATTTAATTTTGCTTTATCCTTAAAATATATAGAACTGTCTATTATAGGAATCATTTTAGGTTTATCACTAGAAATTATGTACTGTTTTTGTAATATTCAAAACAGTTTAATTGAAATTGAAGGCTGTTACTCCTCAAGACTGGTGAACTTATTTTACCTAATTATGTAGCTTATAATTTGCTTTGTAGTGCAGAGCCAAGAATAGTATTTGGTGGCACCAATTCTCTTGTTGTTTTCAAGATTTATCATGATTACATAAAAGATGAATAACTATCAATATAACAGTTGGTACTATTTACAAATCTCAAATTTTATCATATCGTATATAATCGTGTTTTTGATAAAATAGTATTGGTACGATTTAGTTTTAATTTATATTTTGTTGATTAGTATTTAAACTTCAATTCGGTAAAAGAGACTAGGTGAAGAATTATTTTCGAAAAATTCATAAACAAATTTATTCAAATACAGTCTTTTTAAAAATCCAGAATTAGTAAAGTATTTTACATCATACTCTTAATTTTTTACAGCCACTCAAGAATAGAATGTCATTAAATACTAAAAACATGTGTTGTAGAATGGTGATATCCCTGAGAGATTAACTATCTTGTAGTATGTTTTCAAGTACAAGAAAATACAGCTCTATCTAAATTTAATAAATATAGACAAAACAAATTTAAGTATTCTGTAATAATCTACTTTGGAGGCAAATTTATTAAATGTCATCTAATACTGTGATGGATTAATTAAATCTCCTTTAAATGTTAATTTGTACATTAAAACGCTTCTTTTAGAATAATAAAATTATTAACTCTTAATTAATTTTATAGACATAAAAAGCTAGTTCTATCTCTTATTGAAAAAGGAGTAATCTTTGGATCAATACCTGAATACGTTTAGAATATAGCTTGACAAAATCTTAAGCACACTAGAGAAATACAAGAATATCTTTGAAAGACAATATGACTTGGAAAGTGGAAGATTATTGGAATTTCAGAATTCAGATTAAATATCTATTAATATTGTATCTTCATTTTTGTTTATTTTTTACAGTAATTATTTTAAAGTAATCAACAAAATTAATGATAGGTTAAAGATCTCTGGAAGAAACAAAATGATTTGCTTGCCTACGATAGGATAATGAACACTAAATTTTAGAAGAGTAAATATTTATTTAAAAATATTCATAGATGAAGCATTCTTGTTGTCATCTAGTTTTATTATGAATTCCAATAATATAATCAATAAAAATAATAAGAGGCTACTCCAAATCATAGGAGACCAACTCGAACCAAAACAATTAGTTGATTTGTTGCCATAATTTTAAAAAACCGTTTATAATAGTTTTGTCAATCAGTATTTGTATTAAGGCCTAGATATAAATTAGCCTTTGACTCTATACTTTTATAAAGATGAATATTTAGTCGAATGTAGTTTATACATCTATGTAACAATTAGTAAGGACGATATCATATTGTAAAATTTAATAGTAATTAAAAACCAACCCAATCATTTTGCATTATTCGATTCAGAAGGGAAGATGTTGGGGATCTCCTAATAAATATATGAATTTTTTACATCTAAGTCAGATAATGCATTTACAAAAAAATTAGGTGTTTCTGAATTCATCCAATCAGGAATGATTCAATATTATCTTCCAGAAATATACTCTCATATTCAAGAATTAGCCACTTAATATTCTTTAGGAACATTCCAACAATCAGTGAATATTGCTTCTAGATGGCAATTCCCTGTAAATCATAAGAAGTGTCTTGACTAAACTTAAGCATTAGGACTTGTCAACGATGAAGCAACTATTTCCTCGAAATTTAAAAAAATCTTTTATTCATCTTCCACAAAGCGCTTGCCTTCTTCTAAATAACCTAAATTAACAGATGAAGTGCCCACCATTAAAGACACAAAAATAAAGATTATGCAAATGCAAATCATGAACTAAATACAAGCACTTGTAGTCCCCCCATCACGAATGAAAAGTATTGACTTTGAAGGATCATTGGAATTTGTACAACAGAAGTTTATAGAGTCAGATACAACCTACTTTGTTTTGAAATTCAAATAGATAGAAGAATTTTAACAATAAAAAATTGTTTAAATTCCTTAGATAGAAGATATCTAAAATATATCTTTAATCACCGATGAGTCGTAATTTGAAGGGTTGTAATCAGATTATGAATTCATTTCCAATCTTATCAAAAGCAAGAAATTGTATACTCCATTAAAGTACAACATTTGGATACTATTATTAATGATATGTGTGACCACAATTTCTTTACTGGTGAGTTATCTGTTGAATTATTATAATATGATCCACTAACAATATGATGTCAATTTTTTGAATACTCCATAGGCTATGACTTTCAACATAGGAGCCTCATTCATGTTGATGTGGAATCAGTATTGTATTGAAAACTAACTGTATCGAATTAGTCCATACTTAGAATTTAGAAGAGAAAATTAATTAATATATGTTTTTGATTTCTGGGGCAGTGTACATGAAGAATATACAATGAACCTCAGTAAGAAGAGTACTCAGTTGGGGATGGATACCATTGATTTAATTAGTTACTAGAATGGCTAAAAGACTTAATCTAGCTTGGATTACTATTAATTTTATACTATTCTCAGAGAAGCACTGGTAAGGCAGTTTAAAAAAACAGACTTCAAGAATATCACGACTTTTGATCCAGATATACTCAAGACTGATGGATTAATTAGATAGAATATGTTAAACATATTTAAATTTCACAATTTTGTACTAGATGATATGATTTCATCAACTGAGTAATCATTTTCTTAATTTGAGAACCAAACCTTTATATTTTGTGTATATTCTTCGATAGTCATACTATTTCTGTTGATTATCTTCTTTATTATCAATTGTAGATTATTAAGGACTGAGACCAAATTAATTAGACTTTTGTAATATTTAAACATTAAAATTATTCAAGAATAGATAGAAATTTTGCATTTTTAAAAAGACCAATTATCAAAACTATTACTGATATAATCGTAATCAAAAGAAGAACCTGTCACTTAAAAACCAAGTGAGAAAGCTATTGCAAATTAACCAAAATTCAATCCACTAAGCAAATTGGAAAATTACAATGAAAAGTACACTTTGTTGATAATCTTGTCATTGATTATTGGTTGCGAACTGATATTGTTTATATTTGGATCTCAATTGATTTCCAAATTATATAATAGCCAATATTAAAGTAGCTTAATCCTTACTATGAAGTATCTGAAACTGAAGTCAAGACTTGATTCTGCAGTAATTGTAGGGGAAGTCATGAAGACTGAACATATAATCAAAAATAATAGTGCAATAGATTACATAAATTAAACTGATCATATTGAATTCTTTTTCAATAATATTGATGTTTTGCTCCATCTTTCAGATTAGATCAATAATGAACTAGTCACCACAACCTCGTATAATTAATCATTTCAGCAACAATTAATTGATATCTTTAATGATGATCTCTGTACTTACTATGCCAGCATATTGAGTTTTTGCTAAATAAGTAACATCAAATAGCTATATTTTGAAAATGAAAATTATCTCACTTTGATTGATAAAGGTATTTATGGGATAATTTAAGACTTAAATAAATTATCCAAAGAGGAGTTCAACTTTGAAAAAGTTAATTTACGTTATGAGTATGATTAGAGTCATTCAGACTAATTTCTGTAATCATCTCTTCATTTTCATTTATTTCTACAATACTTTATTGAACTGCAAACTTGCATCTATTTTTGTTTCTTAGATATTTTTACTGAAACACAGATATTAAGCAACAAATTATCAAATTAAATCTTAACTTATCTAATCACTTCATCAGTTGCGTAAATATTTTTAATTATCTTAGATTTCTCATCTTTACTTCTTTTGTGTCAGCTTTTTGGATTAACAAATAGTATAACAGATTAAATCAATTGAAATTGATTGCTACATTGTTTCCACCTGCCTTAATTCATCAGAAAGGATTTAATAAATTGTTGTACTCCTAATTAATACAGATTAAATGAAATATTAATACTTTTGTGTTTCAATTTTAATATCAACAAATATATTTAATATTAAAATATTCCCAAAGATACTTTTAGAATATTAATGGTTACAATGTAATAGATCTACAAAAATTTAATTATTATTTATATATCTAATATTATACTGTTAAAATAATCTATTATAGATTTCTATTATATTTTATTTTAAGGGATAAAGAATAGAATACAATTAGTATTTTGTAAAATTAATATGCATTGAATACGCAAGAATTTGTATTGATTATTTATTTTGTTTTTGAATATTAGTAGAATTTGTTTAAATGGAAAAATTTAGATTTTAAATTATGAGGATAAGTTTGGAGAAAATTCGAAATTTGTAATTTAGAAAGAAATGAGGTATTTAGAGATTGAGATTGATTAATATAAAATAGAATTTAATAAAATTATGATAACTCTTCACTTTTTTTACAACATGGAAAAACCTATTTGTGAAAAATTTCAACTCATTCCTGTAAAATTTAGAAAGAACCTTTGCTAAAGAATAAGAGACTTAAAGACAAGATAGCAAAGGAAGAAAAAGAAAAAGGAGAGAGGCAAGTATAGGAGCTATAGTCTAAATTTAAAAATTTGTGCGCTCAAATGGATTGAGGAAGGAAGAGATGAAAGAACGATAGCTGAGGAATTAGACATTCCATTGAAGAACATTAGACGGTGGAAAAAGCAAGGTCCTTTTCGTAAGAAGGGTTGTGGGCGCAAATCTATTGATTTGGAAATGGAATAAAAACTGGCAGCATGGTGTCATGAAACTATCAGAAATACCAATAAAAGGGTCTCTCGAGCCATGATCTAAACATAGGCCTTGAAAATGATTAAGCAAGGAGTGGATTTCAAAGCAAGTAAAGGTTGGACAGATAAATTTGTTAGAAAATATAAACTAATTAGAAATAAAAGGATTTCAAAATCATGAAATATAATATTAAAATATAATAATACTTATGCAATCACCTCAATTCTAGAAATCAAATGAGAATTCCTCAAAAAGCGAATAATTTACTTATGGATGGTTACCAATCAAAAATGATGTTGAATAATCAATAGTTTCCTATTTGGATTAGTTGGGAATTAATCAACTAACATAAGTAGAAAAACATTGCAATTAAAGAAATTCATTTTATAGTCTTGATGCAGCACTGACACCCCCAAAACAACAAAGGCGAGTTTCACTGACGATGGACTCAGAACTTTTTCAAAGAAGAAGCTTTAGAATGTGTTCTGATTAGATATGAATTAAAAAAGAAAGAAAAGAGAGTAATTAATGTTTTTATATTATTTATAATCTATTTATCTCTCTTCATCATCATTATATAAATTTCATATGATTTAATCCATTAGTGAGTAACAATAGATTAAGTATTTAGAATTGCATACTCAGAAATAGTTGACAAAATGATTAAAAATTAGCATGCAAGAATCACAATTTCTTTATTAAATGTAATTTAATCATAAATCCCTAGATTTTAATTATTGGTATTAGAGGTTTGTAATTTTAAGAAAGATAAAATATAAGCAAACATAAATACATAATATTTTTTAAATTTAGGATAACCGAAAATGGTTGTTTATTCTGAAATTATGGTTTGAAAGGAATGTTTGAAATTGGAAATATCTAATGCAAGACGATTTCAAAAATAATCTCTTTTTAAAATAATCATTATGCTAAAGGCTTATAAATTTACTGAACCATCATTATGGAATTATTATTAAATTAAATAAAAAGAGCGTATAAAGAAGCATTCACTATATGCGTTCACATGCAAGAATAATATATCAAGAATTAATGAACTAGTCTAACAAAGCCGATAGAAATTGGTATAACAATATATATTCATCATAAGTGCTTCAATTTAGTTGGATAAAGCAATTTAAGTAATTTGATTTACTAGAAAATAAAATTTTATGAAATAAAGCTTTCCATTGTAAATAAATATATTAAATAATATGATAATTAATACTTAAAAATGTTCTTGATGGTCTTATTTTCATTTGCATCAATATGCCTCTGCCGTTATCAGGTTTCAAACTAATTTTTCACTTTTATGACTTAACAGGAATGTGTTGAATTAAATTATATTTTGAATTATCATCTCTTTGCACTCTAAAATATAACTAATTAACTATATTTAAGAGACACTTAATTGTTGTAAATTTAATAATGAAATTTAATAATAAAGAATTTTGGTATTATTTGAAATGCTTTATTGATATTGCTCTATCGGGAATAATTTATAGTTATTCAAAAGATTCTTTTATAGTATCCATCAATACAATCATAATTCAATTGCTCGGCATTTTATTATCGCCTTACATAGCGAAGAAATTTGGTGGCAAAAAGAGAAAATACATATAAATTGTGATGTTATCTGCACAAATGGTGCAAATATATTATTGTTGCTTTTATTTTACAGAGATACTGAGATATGGTTATCTGCTTATTAAATTTTATGAGAAACAATTAATAGATGTTCTATAGAAATAAATTAGTTACATCATCCTAATCGCTTTGAATGCTGTGTAATTATTTTTGATGATCTCTCACAATGAATTAGGAGTTACATACATTGCAGTAGGTTATGCAACTATGTTGCTCTTAAAAGAAAAACATTTAATTATAAGGAAATAGGAGAAAATTAAATTCGAATAATTATCAAAAACAGAGATAAAACCAATATAAAATTAGATAAGATAATCCTTGTTAATTAATAGGATTAATGAATCTGTTAGTCTGAAGTGGATGAATAAATTGCAAAGTTTCCCTGTGGGTATCGTAATAGTTAAAAAGGACAATTTAGAAATTTTATTTGAAAATGATTAATTGCTATAAATTTTTTAGGCTGAAAGAGACATTGGCAGATTCATCCTTGAGAGTTTGGAATGCACAATAATCCAAAAGAAAAACACCTATTTTACTAATCAAACAAGCATAGTGTTAGAGAAAAATAGTCTCCTCCAGGCTTCGGGTTCCATCAATCTAACTTAGCACTAAATTTAGAACAAGACCTTCACTATTAAACAAATTCTAAATCTATTAAACTTAGGGCAATTAGAGAAGATTAAGTCAAATGATGATCAATTAGAATTATCTGCTACATTTTGTAAGGGAAATGAAGCATTTTTTGAAGAGAGAAATCTATTATTTAAAGTTTCATATGCTTAAGATGAAAGTGAATATTTGATAATAATTCAAGATATTACACTTTAAACAAATTTCAAAAAGATGGAAACAAAAGAACAATTCATTGTAAAAATGATTGATTCATTTTCACATGAATTAAGAACACCATTAAATAGTGCAGAACTATTTTTATAAGGATTAAGTTAAACAAATTAATTACCTATTGAATTGAAAGAACTTTTTATTGACCCTGCTAAGAACTCATTAAGATTGTAAGCATACATAATAAGAGACATCATTGACTTCACACAATTCAATCAGAAGATGATTAAATATCACTTTTCAGATTTCAATTTCGTTGACATCATCCAAGAAATAAACGATTTATTTAAGCTTATATTTTAACACAAGAAAATAGGATTGCATGTTAATGCTCAAAGGTCTATTCCAATTATCATAAAGTCTGATTTCTATCGAATTATGCAAATCTTAGTTAATATTATCTCGAATTCAGTTAAATTTAGTTCTTAAGGCTAAGTTGAAGTGGTGATTCAAGGGTTTGATGACTACGTCTTATTCAAAGTATAGGATTAAGGATAGGGTATAGAGCCTTAACTCCTAGCAAAAATCTAATAAACTCTCTAAGACTTTGCTTTGAATAGAAGTATTTCTCAATAGCACGAGTGGTAAGGCTTAGGACTTTTAGTAAGTCAGATGAATTTGATCACTTTAGCTCCTTAAAATAAATCACATCTCTAAATTGCTTCTAAAGGATTAAATCAAGGTGTCGAAGTTAAATTCAGAATAAAGACTCAAACATAAGTGTTCTCTTAATAATTAGGTTAAATTAAAACATTCAAAAGAGGATCTCTAGCTACACCTAATACAGTTCCTGATCTTAGCGAAGGCTTGTAAGGTATTACATATAGAACTATTTTAATAGGCCTATTAATCATAGCTAATGCTGAATATAAAAATACTTCAGTTAAGAACATACCTGTCAAGGGTCTTTCATCCGTGGCCAATTATTATGGGAAACCATAATAGAATTAGAAGCTGGAAATTTAATGTTAATTTGAGACGGATGTTTAATTTTAAGGTAGAAAGAGATATTATATTAGCCTTTAGATTCTGATAGATTTGAATTGTCTCATCAACTTATGTATGTATAATCAAATTTCAATCCTAAATTCATAACGAATAAACAGAGTCAAAATTCATTAGTATCCAGAATGCAACAAAAGATAGATGATCAAAGTTAAATCTAATCTAATTTCAGTAAGGTTAAGTTCAAATTTAAATGTTAATGTCAAAGAGCTCTATCTGTGGATGACGATTCTTTTAATTAGAAGGCTCTCGAATTGATTCTGGCACAGATGGGATTTGAAATACTACTTGCTTACAATGGTTAATAGGCAATTGAGATTGTCAAAAATGCCAAGAGATGCAATGAGGATTGTTAACTCTATGTTTTCATTTTGATGGATTGCCAAATGCCAATTTTAGATGGCTGGCAAACAACCAAAAGATTGAGAAATATGATGATTGGGAAGATCATTCCCTTTATTCCTATTATTGGATTAACTGCTTTCAATGGATAATATGAAATAGAAAAATGTTTTGATAGTGGAATGCAAAAGGTGCTGACTAAACCATTGAATATTGACGATTTCAAACAAGCGTTGATTCGCATTTATAGGTAGGTTTGATGAAATAGTAAAGTAATATGAATTATTGTTTTGACATGATATAATTTTCAAATTTTTTTGTCGGCCTAATCAGGTATTTTAAGCATTTCTTAATAATTATAAATCATAATACCTTTGATTTTCTCATCAAATGATGTATCGTCTAAACTACTTAAATTAATTGATGGAAAGTATGCCTTCGGATCAAAGTACCCTAGAACATCATAGATTCATAATCAACCTTTTGCAATTAGAAAGTTTTATCTTAAAACTATTTCTTTGACCTTGTTATCATCAAAGTATATCATATCATCATAAGGATCAAATTCTTAGGTTCCAGGTTTTCCTAATCTAAGGAACTCTCGAATTTTTTCTGGGTCTAACGATTATCCTTTAGGAATGTTTTGAGTTGGCTTATAATTTATAACCTTATAAATTTAAGACCACGCCTCAGGGTCATTTCTATCTAAGATTTTACAAATAAGGAATTACATTTTTCCAATAGATTAGCAAAATCTTGCATCACTTATTCTGGTTTCTGCATGTTAATTTTTTAAATTATTAATATTTTTATACTTATACTCATCTAATTCTAACTGCATCTATTTGAATCAAATTAAGTATTAAAGACAACAATTTCATTTTATAATCATGGAATTAAGCACAGGATTTTATTTACTATTAATTGATTTAATATTCTGGTTTAATATCATAGTACAAAATTTTTTAAATATTCTATTTTATCATTATTCACCTATTAATTAATAATACTCTAAAATTTTATCATTTTATAATTAGTCTGTAATATTATTATGGGCCAAATCTAATTATAACAGAACAATCTTTTGAGGGTTCTTTTAGTTTTTAAAATTTTTAATTTAATTTCGTATTGTTGGATGAAAAATCAAGAATTTGTAAAAGCTTAATAATTCTAAATTTTCTATTTTGCAACAATCAAATATCCTATAAATCTAATTCTTCAATTAATACACGAGTTTAGTAGTCCTTCTGATTTGAAAATAAAATTAGTTCTGAAAACAATTGGTTTAAATTTAACTTTTATTAGGAACTATTATATATGGATTCTACTTTCAATATAAAACTATTTAGGTATATTTTTTGGAGATATAAATTTGAGTTCATTCTGAATTGTTGGTTTTCATAAATTTTGATACAATTGAATAAATAAAATATAATTATTTTTTAGTTTTTAAAATGCTCAACAATCTTAGTAATTATTTGCATAAAGTTATTGATTATTTATCTCTAAATAAACGTGATTTGAAATTAAATTTTATTTCATAATAAAATAAACCAGGACAATGAATAAAAGAGTTTAGTTCTGGTCAACATTAATTACTCTATATTTCGAAATCTAAAAATCTTTTTTCTTTGCCTCTAGAAATAAAGATACAGTGCATTATCTTTCGATATTCAGATAGAGAATTTTATTGATTTATTAAATAAGTTGAAATTTGCGAAATTTATATGAGACCTTGAGATAGATTTCTGCTTCATTAACAGAATCTTATCGACATGCTCTTTTTGATATACTTTTTGAATTTCTTGTGAAAAATTTACATGTTCAACTCACAAAGTATTCACAAAGATAATTCTCACTTTTGTATACTAATGTTTGTAATCAAAATTATTTGTTTGATAATTTAGAATATATCTATCGTTTTTATTAATCCTTATTATTACTCGTTAAGATATATGCGATTCATTGATTGGCTAAATTTTATAATAAAAAAGGATAGAGATAATTAATAAATATTTCTTTTATAAAATTTATATATATATAACAATAATAATCTTTAAGGTTGATTATCAACCTTATTTTTGGAGCACTTAACCTATTGGCAGTTATTCTGTTTAATTGTTGTTTGTGGTTTTTCCAGGAGTACCATCCATTTTCTAAATCAGATTCCAATCATAAATATTGTCCATCTCAAATCCACTCTTGGTAAATAAATCTTTAAATAAAGTTCTTAAGTGATTGTAGTCAGGTTTTTCATCTAATCTTAATTTTTTTGCATAATTTAAGTATGTAGCAAATTCTTATGGAAATCCTTCGCATAATTTTTCAATTGATATTGAAAGCTTTTTCTTATCAACACTTTCGCGGTATTCTAGTTTCCTAGTCCTCTAGTTTTACCAGGGGAGAGATCCTCTTAAGAAGTACATCATTACATAGCCTAATGATTCAAGATCATCTCTTCTTCCCTAAAATTTAAATCCATTTTTACCTGCTCAATACCAAGATGGTTATTGATTGAAGCATAACGGGCAGTCCCTGTTAAATCTTTACCCTCCTTATAGGGAATGTGTTTGCCATCTTTTTGAATATATCTCTTTGCAAATCCAAAACCAATAATATAAACCTTATGAGCTCTATTTAAATTTAAATATCTAGTACCTATTGCCTGTTCCAATTAAAAATTTGTCTGGTTTAATATCTCGATGTAAAAAGTTTCTAGAATGAACATATTCAATCCTTTAAATCATCTGATCAGCCAACATTAATACTGACTTTAGAGAAAATTTTCTGCCACATAAATTGAATAGATCTTCTAAAGAAGGGCCAAGGAGATCCATTACCATAATATTATTTCCACCTTAATTTTACAAAAAATATGTACCCTCTGTTGCACAATAGTAAACATTTGGAATTCCTTTATCAATAACTGAGGGTTCTTGTTACAAGTATTAGTATAATTTTCCTTCATAAAACAGTTGTGGACGCTTTGTGTTTACAGGCTCAAGTTTAATTGCCACTTCCATGTTCGTTTTGATATTGAATCCATGAAATACTTCTGCATAAATACCTGAACCCAATTTCTTTGTCATTTTAAACGAACTCCCTATATTTATATCCATAAATGATAATTATAATTCTAATGTGGTTTAAGTAATAACTAAAATTAGGTTTATTTAATCATTGCTATATCTTATATTTTAATTAGACACTTTATATTTAACAATAAATGAATATTTCCTATCCATATTCTTTTTAAATATTCATCTATCAATATCAGTCCCTTCTTATGCCTACACCAAAAGAATCATTATCTTCTTCTTATTCAACAATTTTAATAATCTTCTACTTTGAGCTCGATTTATTTTTTTGCATGCTTTTATTAAATTGGTTTATATCTTATTCTGCTTCAATTTTTCCTTTAGCAAAACTTTCCATTCACAAGCAATCAATTTGCTATTTCTTAAAATTGTAAACCTAGTTTGAGGTTTATAAAGACTTGAATATTGGGATTAAATTCTCTCCTTATTATCTTAAAAATATTATTAATTTACAATAAAAGTGATGAAACATAATAAGGAATAATTAATCAACAAGGAAAATCTGAAGATAATTAGATAATCTGAACTGATTCAAAATACAGTGGTGTGGACCAATAAAAATTTGTTCCTTCGTTATTGCCAATCTTAGAATTATTATTACACTAGAGATGTAAATGAAATTCTTGCCGATACTTCATCAAAAGCTGTGATCAGATACAAGGATTGGTATGGATATGACGATGATGTAATGTTTTCAATCATTCTAAGGATGAGTACCTAAAAAGGTATTATTTTACTGATGAATATCCGCAGAAGGTCCAGTTGTTAACTGAATACTATAAAGTAAAATTAACCATATAAAAGAGTTTCATACAGATATTGCCAGATTATTTATGGAACCAATTGCGACCTTGCTAAACAAATACTACGATAAGAAGCGCAAATATGAGTACTACAGGATTGCTCGTTTAATTGAAGATGAGAATAAGAAAAATCCCAATCGCCCTCCAAAAGGTATTGTTGGTGAACGACCCTCCCCTGCTAATTCACAGGAAACCCAAAAAGAAGAGGAATCACCTACAGCAGCAAGGAGATTCAGAAATATTCAAATTTTGAAAGACCTGAGTTGGTTAAATAAATCAAGAATATTAAATAAATAGAAAATTGACATTTCATGCACATTACAAGAAATTTGCAAACATCTGGGTAATTAGGCGTTTGAACAATCCTCACTTTTCATCCAGGCAGGTAAAACAGAAGAATTGCAATTGAATAAATTCCTAAACTACATGAATCAACAGGTCAAAAAAGCCTAGCCCAAAGGAGATTCTCAACACCTAAAGTCTAAGAAAAAGTTGAGTCAACCTCATGAGTTGTTAATTTAAACCTTGATTTAAAAACAATAAGAAGAATCTAAATCTAGGTTTGGCTCTCAGCATTCTAAATAAAATACTGAATTATTGCTACAGATGAATAAATTATCGAAAGATATCAATGTGAATTTTGTGAAAAATCAAGTTGATTCCTTATTCAAAAGCAAATAAAGTAATGACAATCCTCAAAGTCTGACAAGAGTTGATCAGAATGAACAAATTAAATAATCTGCCAATCCAAAATCTAAAACTATTATCTAACATTAGCCCAAGATCTCTACTCAACTTTTCCTGAAAGACTTGAAGAAAAATGTGCAATCTATTCCTTAATTACTCAATAAATATAATCAAAACAACATACCATCTCCTACAACCAATCCTCATAATAAGGTATCTACATCCAATCAAACAAATATAGGTAATTATTCTCTATCATCTATGTAGGCAAATTGAATCTAAAATAAGTATCTAAATTATTGATTGAGGAAGACCCTACTGAATAAGAAATCAAATGGAAAAATGGATCCTAAACCCATAGACCTCAATCAGGGACTCAAAATTTCTTTTCAAACAGAAACAGTCCCACTATTTCCAGGGGAGCACAAAATGATTTAAAAATAAATAAAATCAAGTAGACTCCAACCGCATCATAATAAGCAAATTCAAAAATAACTAAATAATCAGGATCTCAAACGAATCGAAAATCTTCTCAACCTAATATTCATATTCGTTATACATCCAATCAAGACAAAGTCATTAATATCAACATCAATATTAATGATCATCCAGAGTTGCAGAAATGTAATTATTAAATAATAACCATTAGAATAATAATAAAAGCATAAGAAAAATTAATCGGAAGGTAAACCACTTTAATTGAATACTAATTTACCTGATACTTAATAAGAATATGTCTGCTTAACTGACAGAGGAGGAGCTAGCGAATTTTTATTCAAAAATAGCATTGCTGCTTCTTGTCAAAATTCCCCAAAGACTCAAAAATTAAAACGAGTTAGTAGTGGAACAACAACTTTGAAATGCTCAATGAGTACCAAAAACTCCTTAATACAATAAATGATATCTTAAGTAACCAAGTAGTAGTAGAAATAAGAAGTTCTTTCATCTTAGTTTAGAAAACCTATTTGAAAATTAGAATTTAATTGTTAATTTTAATATATAATATAAAAAATCTCCTCCTCTAGATTTTGAATGAATGATAAATGATTTTAAGCATTTTTGTGGATAAATTAATAATCCAGTTATTGGGTGATAAAATGAAACAAATCAATGCACAGTTTATTTAAAAATATAATAAAATTGTAATTTATATTATTAATTTCTTGTGAAATTTAGAATAAATAGAATAATAATAACTTTAAACATACTATATACTTATTAAATAGTTTCTATTTGGAAATTGAAAGAATTCTACATTATCTCTAGATTATATCCTATTTTCATAGGAAGTTAAAATTTCATCAGAATGTTTTTATATTGCAAGAGATTACGAGATACTTTTAAGTATGGTGATATGCAACTGCTTTCATTAATTGTTGCATATCTAAAAGAAAGTAGATATTGATGGATAGAAGATAAAATATGATGATTAGAACACATACTAGATAATTTCAAAATAAATTGAAGTAGAGTCCTACATTTTATAAATGATAGGATACGATCTACATATCATCGTCACGTAGGTATACTTATAAGAAGTAAAAACTAAAATCGATGTAAGTTAAGAGGATAGTAATTAATTGATTTAATTTTCATAGTAATATTTATCAGATTATTCCTCTATAAATCATGTTTATAGTATAAATCAAAGAAAATAATTAAAGCTAAAATTGAATGTACTTTTCTCGTACTCTTTGTGCAATATATATGGCTAGCAAATTAATAAAAATAACAATAGAAGATTTATAGAATGGGGAACAATGGCATTCTTTATTTGATAATAACTATACTCAAAAGAAATCTAAGAAATGACTAATTATTTTGATTAATGCATATAAATTCTCAAAAGCTGATAAATTTTCTTGTGTATATTGCATCATTATTTTATTTCAATACTATGTAAAAAGTTTGGGTTGATAGTAATATATTTCAATATGGCCATTATCTTACTACATAAAATTATTATTAATGATTAAGATTAGGCTTTTTTGAACCTTTAGTTAACTAATGACAATTAAAGTTCATCGCTCAAGGTCTTCAAAAGATCAGTGAGAAAAATAACTTTGATTTTTGTAAAACTAATTAAATGTAAATCATAATTTGAAATTGATTAGCCAGATTATCAAATAACTGAATTAAATAACATTGATATATATATCTGCTAGATATATAAATTAATTTTATATAAGATTAAATAATCAATACATATTGTAAATTCTAAAGGGTTGTTTCTAAGTAAATCTAAGAAAATTTAAAAAATCATTATCTGAGTTATCAAGTACCATATTTTGCTAAAAGAAAGAGGGTTTGAGAAGCAATAGTCAAAGTTTCGGTTTTCTTATATTATATTTTCTTTGTCATTTATCGACATATCTCATATGGGTCAGGTGATTTTTTGCGTTTTACATAGCCATTTAATTTTCTTTTGGCTACTAGACTAGAGCCCAAATAAACTTTCTTTAACGGACTATTTGATCTCGATGTTTTAGGTGTGGTTTTTTAACTAGTGATTTGAGAATGGATTGTGATGTTGTTGTCATGGTAATCCAATTTTTGTTAAACTCTAAAGTTAGGACTCGGAATATTTAAGTCAATAACAATATTATTGGCAGCGCCTTCATGATGAGTTGAAATTCTCAATCTTTTGAATTTGTTGGGGGAATTTTCGTATTCTTTATAAAAGTAGTTGGGCTTTGATTTGATTACATTTAGAGGTTGCTATAAAATTTCAAGGAACTAAGATGGAGGTTCCTTGAATTAGGAAAATTATAGTGCTTTATCAAGCATATAAAAATTTTAATAAGCTACAAATTAAAGTGAACTTCTAATGTTTTAAGCAAACCTATTAAGATTGTAAAATAACAAATAATAGAACAAATTTTGCATGACCTTGCTGTTACTTAAGTTCTATTAGAATTAATTTGAGAGAAAGGTGGTTTTGAACTGAAGTTGGAATTGAGAGTATTGGAGTAGATAGATGATATAATATGAAGGTGATTCTTAATTTATTATTGAAAATAGGTGAATTTAAAGATATATTAAAATATTATAGTGATTGTTAAAACTAAATAAGTAAGTAAGCAAGCAAGCAAGTAAGTAAAATTACTATTGTAAAACAAATAAACACTTGTGTGTAAACATATTGGAAGTTGAAGCACTATAAAGAATAGTTGGAATTCTTTATGAAACTGATTAGGATATAGGAGTATTTTAATTCAAGGATTGGTTATAAATCTAATATTAAAAGGATTTGTTTTTTAGGATTTGGTTAAATGAAAGTATGTTGATAAGTGTAAAGAGTTGTTGGTTGGTAATACTGAAAACACACCATTAGGAAAGTAGCTGTTAATATAAAGTAATTAGATTAATAAATATTTGGAGGCATTTATATAATTAATTTAGAAATTGAATTTGAATTTCATAGTTAAGAAATGTCATAACAAATGCAATAAATGTTCAAATAACAATAAGCTTAATAATTTTTAGCACAATAATTTTCTAGCAAACCTGATAAGATCAAACTTTCAAATTTGATTCCTACACAGATCAATGAGAACTTTTTTAACAAAATAACCAATGATGTTATGGAGAAGAAACCTTTATCACCAAGATCAAGCAATTAAGCATCTAAACCATCTTAAAAGCCATCCCAACAAATCGCCATTCATAAATCCAACACTTCCTTGCAAAATAAAAGTCATATTGTAAATGAATAATTCTAAGAAAAATTGAACCAATTTAGTAAGAGGAGAGATTATTCACCCAATTCCCAATTAAGCAACTATAAAAAAAACGAAGAATTCATATAAAGGAGACCTTCCTCACTTGTGAATGATGAATATTCAGCCACTCCTTAAATTAACAGATTTATAGCAAAATCTCCAACACCATCCGAAATATAAGAAAGCGTAGCTTCTCTACTCTAAAACCATTAAAGTAATAAATTCTTATGTAATTTCAAGCTATTTCATCTCCAAAAGGTTCAAATTCACAAAAACCAAAGACTAATCCATTGCAACTGGGACCCTATTTGTCAATCCAATAGTAGCAACCTAAATCAAACCATAAATTGAAAGGGCATAGTTCAGCCAATTCAGTTTCATATAATTTGAAACCACATATTCTAAAGAAATGCGATTTCGGAATGAATCACACACCAACGAAAGTTACGACTACAACATTAAACACAGAACATAGCAAGAGTAAATCAGTTTTGGATGAGCAGTGTATTAGAATGATATATTATGACAGAGAGAAAGAGAATGACATGAATTTGTTAAACATTGGTACTCCAAGTACTTATTTGCATTCTAAAATATCAATAGAATAACAAAGTGTAAGATAGTAACATTGATAATAGGTTGGTGAAAGTTTAAATAGCAAATTCCATTAAGCCAAAATGTTAACTTAATAATCGCCATATCAAAATACAAGTGGATCCAATGATCACCTACAGGAATCATTTCCTGTTAGAACATGCATAAATCATAGAACCAAGAAGGCTAAATACTTTGTTGATGAACATCAAAAGCAGTAATTCTATTGTTCACAATGTGCTATTGTTGTTGCTAGTCAAGGCAAGATTGTGTAAGATTTAAGCCAATTGATTATCAAGTCTTAAGAATCCTAAATATTATCATTTTAATCAAGTTCAGTAGATTCAAATAGACATTCAAATTCTTCAGATGTTAATTTCAAGGAAAGAGAATTAAGTGGGTTTTTAACCAAATTGGAATACTCACATTCTCAAAGAGGTGATATGTTAAATTAAATGCAAAATCAAATTGAGAAAATTAATGCATGGTATGAATCTTAAATTGGAAAATGTCAATAGTCCAAACAAGTAATGCAGCAGATAATTAATGATGCTTGTAATAACAGTATTCAGATACTGTAGAATTAACGATAAGAATCTTTAAAATAATTATCTAACTTATACTACGTATTATAGTAGCATTAACTGGATGCCTAAAATATCAAATAGGATATTGAAAAGAATTGGACTGAAGTCTTAGAAGATATAAGAATGGAACCTTTCAGAAAGATCATGGATTATTATTAGTCTGAATTTGTAAAAATGAATGAATTCCAAATTCAGTTACTATCATCAACAATTCAAATGAAGTCTTTGGCGAAGACAGATATGCAGTCTACCTTAGCTTTGATTGTGTCGAAGTATTGACTTTCTCTAAATATTAGTTTTTAATTAAATGAATCTGAACAACAATTAATTCTACATAACAATTCAATTTTCAATCAAACCATTAGAACATAGCCTACTCCTCCAAAGAAACGAACTGATACTGTAGATTCTTAAATCAACTAATCAAATTAGTAATAGAGAGTTAAAACCGATTACAGTGGATCCAAAACTCAACCATAAAACAATGAAACTCCATCTAATTTTTACTAATATTTTAATGATACAAATATTTATTAACTCAGTGCTTCCAAACTATAATCATAATAATAACAATCACAATAACACCCAAATAAAAACAATCTTTATATTTCTTTTGAAAATAAAGATATATTTATGAATATTTTGGAATCTGAAAAGAATTCCAAATAAAGCATACACGAAGACAAATAATCTGTCACTTCTAATCCTATTATGATTTTAGAGAGTTACAGAGAATCCAAAAAGAACATACCTGAAGAAGAGCAACAATTAAGTGATCATGAATCACCCAAATCCACTCCTCACAGTCCTGCCAGTGGATAAACTAAACAATCAGTCTAAAGGACAGCCACCAAATTAGAAGAGCATGCTCAAATACCAAAGGATGCCTTCTAAAAATCAAAAAGCACTTTCAGAACTCTATTTGATAATACTGAAGATCAATAAAATAGTGAAGTACTCCAAAACGATTCGAGCGTCAGTCCTGCTAAAAGTGAGAAATTCAGAACTATTCTAAACAAAATCTCGAATAATCAATCCAAAACATAATAGTAAATAATCCCATTTATTCCTATTTAGATTTTATCAATAGATGATTCAGTCTAGTCAAAAGTTTGTATTAGAAACACCTGACATTAAGAAATACGAACTATAAGGAGTTTAATGTTTATAATATCTACAAGATACTGAAACCTGTAAGAAGGCTATTTTGTCAAATAAATAATCTTAATTGATGGATTCAGTTCAATAAATGAATCTGTGTGATGATCAATAAGATCCAAGTGAATTTGAGAATGACGAAGACAAGGAAGTGTAATAGATGTTTAGTTCCAAAGAGATGAAACATTTCAGTGATTAAAAGTAAATGACATATCCCAGCGAGTCAAGTCAAAATAATAGTCATGTAGAAATACGAAAAGACTAATATCAAAAAACATTGTTTTGTTCCCCACAATTCAAGGATTAAGACATTTTGAATGTATCTGAAAGCAGTGGTGATTCAAATTGATTTTTTAATTAAAATATAAATCAATTAAATTTATATCCTAAAATATTATAAATCAATAATTATCAATAAATTATTTGCGAAATCATAATAAATAAAATGAATTATTCTCACTGGATTAAAAAAACTATACCAAACAAATAACAAATGAAAAAAGCATCCCCAAATACCTCAAGTACCACTAAGAAAAAAATCATTAAAGAAGAATTAGTAGGCATACGAGAATTGTATAAGGAGGAAAAATGGTCGCAACTTATTGCAATTTCAAAACGAAATAGAGGGTTGTTCTAAGAGTACGACTAAATTAGAGTGCAAGGGAGAGACATCAATGTTGGAGAGGCAGTTTTAATCAACAGTGGCGATAATCATGAGGAAGATTATGTTGGGATTATCAAATAAATTGTATCTGTAATGGTCCCTAGAACAAACAAATACATTTGCTTATGCAATGTTGAATGGTACATGAGAAAGAGTGAGGTTATTAAAAACCACCCAAAAAGTAATGAATGGGCCTCGGAACAGGAAATCTTTAAAACCAAACTTTCTGAGTATATTTTGGCTTAGACGATAATAGACAAATGCAATATTGTGACATGTAAAGAATATGCTGAATTGAATGAAATAGAGTCAAATGTTTACTTTAATAGATTGTCATGGGATTTGGAAAAAAGTAAATTTAGGGGGTATGATAAACTACAAAAATTTTGCTTGTGTCATCAACCTTTAAATCCAGATAGAAAATACATTTAGGTAAATAAAACGATATATAATAGTGTGATTCATGTAAGGAATGGTATCATTTTGAATGTGTTGGAATTCGTTAGGAGAAGATGGGGAGTGGTCATTATTTTTGTTCAATTTGTAAGTGAGTTAATTAACATTTATCTATATAATATTTTTACAAATAAGTTATCAGATAAGTTCTCAATCCTTTTCTTCTTCTTCTTCCTCTTCTTCAATATCAAAGCATTCCTGTTCTATTTTATTATCACGAAATAGATTGATCATATTCTTTTTTTCAATCAATTCATCAAAAATGAGTTCGAATTTGTTGTTTTCAATAACATTGTCTGGTATGAATAGTTTCTTATTTTGAGGCCATTCTTCAAAAAAAGGAGGAGGGAAAATTGGGTCTACTGCAATCCTAAATAGATTTTCAACCATAGTAGGTATGATCCTGCTGAGAAGTGGACAAGAGAGTTCTAAACAAGGGTTTGTATTTGCTTCAATCAACCACAATTTAAAATTGTCATCAATCATAAAGTCTAATCCATAGAGCTTCACATAAATTATAATTATTATACCTCAAAACTATTAATTCTACGATGTGGATCTATTTTACCATAAGTAGCCTTCATCATTTCAAGAGCAGCAGACTTCATCTTTGGATAAATGTCTATGAAGAAATTAAATTTTGAATTCGGATGATTGGCTTCAACGTATCTTTAAAATTCAAGATAAGATATTTTATTTCCAGGCTCATGTTTTCCATAGTCTTGATCCTTAGATTAGACAGCATCATTGGTCAAATGAACAAATCTATCCAAACATTTCGTAGTGAACTCCTTTGATGATGTTCTAATGTATCCCTCCTGATACCAGTACCCCTTGAAGATCCCATTTTAAGAAGTCAATAGCATATAACATCTGATATCAAATTTCCTCTTATTATATAAAAGAGGATTGTCTATATATTATTATACAATATATGTTCTTGGTCTGCCCTCTTGAATTTCCTCATTGATGATCTTGTTGATTTCATTAAGATCATTACAAACTGTAATTCCATTACCTCTATTTGTTAATTCACCTGGTTTGATAATCCATAAATTAATTGGAAGTTTCTTTTTATCCTTCCTCTCTCTAGTTCTTTCAATTTCTTTAATTTCCTCAGTCCTCCTATTAAAGTATTCTAAAAACCTCTGATATTCTATGTCATTAACCCCTTTTTATACATGAAAAGTGACTGGAAGTAACTTATTATAATCCTCCTTTGTAATCTAATAGTAATGTTTCATATTGTAGAACAATGCTTTTTTGTTACCCAAATGCCAATTATCCTCCATATGATTGTGCATTCTAAAGGTTTTGCTATCCTGCCTTTGATTAGTGCAGAGAGATTTAATGTCTTTGAGCAACTTTTCAGTGCAATCGCTAAAAATTAATTAAGTGTCTTAACATCCAGTTTCCTCCATATAATTTAAGATTTTTTAGAGATCTTATTGATTAAAGATTCTTCTTAAAGAATAGTAATTTTAGGGTCTCTTTTATTACTGTTAAGGAGTCGACTTTAATTGGCCTGCAGTACTATTTAATTATTTAGGTCTAGCTTCCATGTCTGAGTCACTGGTGTCTCCTATTGTTTCTTCATGACTCAAAAGGAATGACTCAGAACTCTATGGTCCTGAATCCACAATGCAGGGATGCAATTAGGTTATGCACATGTTTTATTTTAATTATGTCCAAGACATATTCACTTTGGTAATATCCAAAGTCTCTACCTCTTACCACCACCATCTTTAACGGAACATGTTTTTGATGAGACTACCATTATTTCCCTTGCCCACATAATAAAAGTAGGAGGGAACTTCCAACTTGGTGGGACAACAAATACATTAATTATTTGAGAAATTGATTTTATTGATAAAGCATCTATATGAAGTGTGACGTTATGTTAACTTTTCTTTTTATTGATTCTATTATTAAATTGCAATTCCTTGATTCACTTTCTTTTTTTTCTTGGGTACTACTTTTTTTTCATTTTAAATGTCTGTGCCTTTAATTTATTACTATTATGAGGAGGAAGAATAGAAAGCATTCGATTACTTCTTTTCTTTTACTCCTTTGGATTATGGGGTTTGAATTACAGCCTACTTATTTTACAGTTTTTGTCTATTTCTTAGAGGACTTGCATGAAACAACTCTTTTTGCGGTGTACCAGATCTGCTTGTTAGATGATCCTCCTTGTCCTCTTTTGACTTTTACATAAAAGGAGTTGAAGAAGTTCTTCCCATCTTATGCACACTGGTTTCATTTTCTATCGTTGACTTCTGTTCACCCTATCCGAATGCTCTATGCTTTCTGGCTAAAGTTTTTTGCATTGTAGGTCTACAATATAAATATGGCATACGTCTCGATGAGGGAACTTTTAAAGGTTTCAGTACGTTCTTTTGATTGGTTCTGTCTCTCCTTTTGTTTCAGTTTATTTGTAATCAACTTAAGAGGAGGCAATAACTTCTTTGCTATCGATGTATAATATGATTTCTTACATTTCTCTTATTCCCCTTGAGTTTGCAGAATCTGTGGAGTTGTTTACTCTTCTTTACTAATTCTGTCATCATCATTCTGCTTAATCATCATCGTTGAAGAATTGTCGTAAGTCTAAAGATTGATCTCCTTCTATTCACTATGCAGCATCCCTCTATTAATGAAACTTGTAAATATATCTGAACTTGTCCGGTCTTTCAAAGTCGTCATTTTCGTTCGCTAAGAGATTGATAAATGTTCTAAGAGTTAGGGATGCACCTTCGTTCCAATCAGTTATTTTTAGTGAAAAGAATAAAAGTCTTTGCTGTTTGAGAAGGTGTCAGCCATTTTCTACGAGTATCTAGGTTGTGCAATCATTATTAATAAAATAACTATTAAATTATCATCAATTCAACTATATGACAGTTCTTCACTTCAGAATGACATTAAATACTATTCTCCCTTTTAAAGCAACTCATAGCGCTCTTTCTTTATGGTTAATCTTAAACTATTTCTAAGTGTAAACAACATATGACTACTTTTAAAGTTGATAGTGCTTCTTTAAATATTATTTTATATTCAATATTACTCTTTTTATTAATCAAAATTCAAATTCAAATTATATGCTTTAAACACTCTCGAATTATGTCGATATTGAGGATGAATCCATTAGAAATATGATCAAAGAATTGAAAATTCTAGAAATATAAATTCCCCAAGATTAACAAATAGAATTAGTAAAGCAAATATTTGAAGATCAAAAAGCTAAACCTGTACAAAATTAGAAATATTAAGTTCAAATAGGAAATCAATATGATTTGAATTTGATTGAAGAACATTTCAATAAACCCCTCTTGTGCGAATACTTAGAAAGTTAATATACTGCATTAATCGAATTAATTAGTGACATCTCCAAATCTATATCAGAGATCTCCTTGAGAATTGATTAAAAATAGTCTGCAAGTAATAAGCAATAGGTTTATAAATTTCAAGAGGAAGCATAAACACAAATATTATCCTTAAATCAACCTTTAGATCATTCATCATTAACTTCAAACAACAAAGATATTTATAAAAATGAAATGGTCTAATTCATTAAGGATTAGAAGAATAACATTGTATATCAACAATAAGTTTCTCAATTAGAATTAAAAGTAAAATAAACCAGAAAGATTATATTTGAGAAAATAGAAGAACAAAACAATTTATCTGATCAAGTAGTGCAAAAAATGGAGATGAACATTGATAACGAATTGAAGCTCTTGGAAAAAACTATTGAATTGAAATTTGTTGCTAAAGTTGAAAGTGATTTACAATAAGAAGTTCTTAAGATGGAAAAGTCAAATGCCAATATTACATTCAATAAAGATGCACCATAATTCCAGGATTCCGATTAAATAGACAAATAAGTGAATTAACTGTTTAATCAAATTTGTTAAACATTTTAAGATATCAAAGAATAGAAAGTCAAAAATAATGATTTAATCTATGATCAAATCCTGAATAACATTGAATCCTAATCGAAGAATTTGAATAAAGTATGCTAACAACATGAATCCAATACATATCAACTTTAAGATTATATCAATAATTACTCTGATTCATAACAATAGATAAGACATCATTAAATCGAGAAGATTAAAGAGTAAAAAAGAGACTACGAATTTTGTCAAAGCTTTTTAGTTGAATAACAAAGTGACGAAGGAGCTGAAATTGATGAATTTTTAAAATAGGCTTAAAACTATAATTCAGTCCTAAAAGTCACTGAATAGATGGCAAATGATGTATAATATTAATTAATTTTAATAGTACAATGTGTAAATAGAAGGGCAGAAACAACAATTGGAATTGATTAAATAGTATTTATTGAGATTGTAGAAATTACTATGAATATTTAAATTTCTTAAATTATATTATTACCATCATTCCTATTTTATCAAGTTTATTCAGTATTGATTAGATAAGAGATGAATAATTGGGGAGTTCATTGAATCACAAAAATAATGATTATTTTGGATTTTCAAAAAATGATTAAATTTTATTAAAAAAATAATAAATGGTGAACGTCCCCAAAAACAGAAAGACCTATTGCAGAAAATGTGGAAGTCATTAAAGTTGCAAAGTGTCCCAATACAAAAAGAGCAAGGAAAGTCCTTTTGCCTAAGGCAGAAGAAGGTACGACATGAAGCAAGCTGGTTATGGTGGACAAACTAAACCCATCTTCAGAAAGAAGGCAAAGACAACAAAGAAAGTTGCCTTAAAGTATTACTTTTGTTAATCGTTTTAGACTTGAATGTGTTAAGTGTAAATTGAAGTGGTTAAAGGTCATCAAGAGATGCAAGACTATAGTATTCGTTGATGCCAATCAACTTAAAAAACAATAAGAAGCTAAGAAAAATGCCAAATGAGATTTACAATAGTATAAGATACATTAGTATTTAATAATCATAAACATATTCTTTGAAATCTTTAAAATCAAGTGCCAATTCTGTCTTATTATTCTAAATACTCACATCAAAATAGATACAATTCAATTTCTCTGTGGGGTATTTCAAATTGAATATGAGACAAATAAAATATTCAAAAATATATAGCTTCTGCATTATATATATATTTTTTTTAAATAATGAAAATTTTGGATTAAATAGTGCAGAGCGTTTCAGAATATATGAGCGTTGATATGGCATATTCTCTTTTAATAATATGAACTTGATCTGTTTAATATTTTTAGTAGAAGGATTGAAGATTAGATTAAAATTATTAGGCTAGAAACAGTTTTGATTATAAAATGAAAATAGTTCCAATCTAAATAACTAAATAAGTAGTATCAAACTAATTGGAAACCAACCTGTATTAAGAATAGTTTCCTATTCAAAATCTATTTTAAATTATGCTTTTTTAGTTAATTGTTCTTATTGTTTACCTCAACTATTGTGAAGAATACTTTCGTTACCGTATAATCTTTTAGATTTGGAATAGAGTAGGATTATAGTTTTTTCAATTTTGCATCTACCTATTTGATGATTTGATGAAATAAACAAGTAGCAATGTTTTCGGTTGATATTAATATATTTATTCTTTTATCATCTCTATTTGATATAATTTAGTACTTAAGTATAGAAGCATGTACTTAAGCTTTGCAATCTTCTAAGCTGTTTGCAGAATTGGGATATCAAGTCGAATCAGAATAATGTATTAATCCTTATGAAGTATTCAGTTCCATTTTCATAAATACTGAAAATCTCTTGATTATTAATATAAGAATATAAGTTCACTAAAGAAAATAAGATTTTAATCTGGAAAAATTATCAAACCAAAAATTGACAAAAAATGATAATATTTTTTATTTTAAATTAATGGGATAGTGTTGTGCTCCATCCACAAGTATTCAGTATTAAAATCCAGCCCAACTTAAACCTAAGGCAGAGGAGGAATATGATTTTAAGGGAGTCGTAACCAAAATTGATGGCTATTATCGAGGATAAGTTATTCGTTAAAATATTGATTACGAATTTTTTCATTTAAATACAGCATTATGATTCATAACAATATACATTATTATATATATTTTATTCATCATGAATTTTTTTGGATCTAAAAAAGCACAAGCTCCTCCTCCTGAACCAAAATTATAATCAATGACTAAAGAAGAACTACGAGATAAATAAAGATCAATGAATAAAGAATTGTAGAAGGAAATGAGGGAAATTGAAAGGTACTTAATTATTCTATGTTTTAAAAGACAAAATTTTTAAATTGAATAGGCAAGGAAGAAGGCTGAAGACTTACTTCAAAAAGAAATAAAGAAAGGAGATAAGGCTGACAAATTTATTAAATAGACTTATGCAAAATAGGTCATTACTTGTTAAAAACAAAAGGAGAGAAATCTTTTAAATAAAGGAAAGATTTAAAATGTTATGTACGGCATAGATAATATGTTTGCCAACATAAAAATGGCTCAAGCTATGGGATGCATCTCTAATGTTATGAAAGACATTAACAAGCTGATGAATATTAAGGAAATTTCAGCAACTATGCAAGATTTGTAAAAAGAAATGATGAAAATGGGTATCGTCCAAGAATAAATGGATGATGCAATGGAGAACATGAATGATGATGTTGATCTTGGAGACATGTAATCATAAGTATTCTATTACATGTATCTTAGGCTGACGACTTAATATATTAGATTGAATCATAACAAGCAGGACCAAATAAGTAATTGCCTCAACAACAATAGATGAAACAGTAAGAAGCTAATTAGGATTTGGATGATTTTGAAAAGAAATTATAGTAATTGTGATATTAACTATAAAATATAAGATTTAAACATTAAAACTTATTATTCTCATACATAATTCAATCGAGTTTCATCAAACACCCTATTTTTTGTTCTATTCTATTTTGTTAAATAAATCCATCCTAACTATTTGATATTAATTTAAGCTAGAACAAAATAAATATTCAAGAGAGTTTCAAATCCATCATATTTCCTCTTCTTATTGCATGCTATCCTTTAAATATTATTTCTATTAGTGATTAGAAATGAATTAATTTTTATAATATAATAAAAGACAACCAGCTAATTTGATAAAAATTTATATAAGAATATTTGCTAAAAAAATGAAGTTAGCTTTATTGAATCTATATGCAGATGTAGTCATTATTTATATAATGATTATAGCTTTTAAAAATGGATATTTATAAATTAATTAATCAAATTTAATTATATATGAATTATTAAATAAAATTCCTAATATATAGTATATAAAATTGTATCTGTATATTTTCTTGAATAGTATTTTTTATAAGAAATAAATTGTATCTAATGAGATTTTCTTCAATTATTATTTTTTTAATATTTTAGAGATCATTAAATTATAATCCATATATATTTTAGATTAACATTGATGATAAGTTTATGTACATAAAAATTCATAATTCATCTTTTGATTTTTTATTCTTTTTCTTTCCTTTTTTTAACTCTTTCTCTAATTCTTTCTTTCTTTACTTCTCTTCCTCCAATATCTCTTTTAAGATTTCTTCATCAAAATCAGAAAGTCCAGATTTTTGACTTGCTTCTTTCCTCTTTTAAAATACTTCCTCACAATCTCTTTCTAAGATTTCAAGTTCATGTATTTAGATATTGTTTGACTAACCTTTATACTGTCTCTCTATGAATTTATTAATAGATTCATAATCAAATCGTCCTATTAATTTTGAATAACTAAAATAATAATTTAAGTTACATTTTCTTAGCGTTCGAATATGCTACAAAATTAGGTAAAGAGTCATCAGAGATGTCAAATTTTAATAATACTTCATCATGACATGAAGCATCAATATAAACAAAAGAAGCTTGCTTATCTCCGTGTGCATTTTTAATTCTATCTAGAACTTCTAATTGATATTCCCATTTTGTCAATATCTCATCATGTTTTTATTATTTGTGTTCTCCATTCAAAAGTGCAATATAACACAACTTTTACTTTTTGTTGCATTGTTCTAATAACTATTCTTAAGTAGAAATCTCGATGACTTTTTTATGAGAGGTCTTCTTGGTCTCATCAAACTAAAATAATTATTTGTTTATACTGAATCGATGAAACTCTTTATTTCCTCATAAGAATGTTTGCCAGTGAATAATGCCTATCTCACTTATTCAGGTTTAAGTTCCTCTTCTAATTCCTTTTTATCAGCGACTTCTCTGAAAATGATTGTAATTGCAGGTTGAGAAGGAATTTAAAATTATTTAATTACCATTTCTGGAGCATTTTTGAAAGACAAAAACTTATATTTTCCATAATATTCTTGCAATTAACTAAGAACTCTATAGGTAAGACCTACAATAGGAGTTTAATAGAAATAGATAACAACGATGTTGTTGTCAGCTATGAATTAACTTAATTACATTTGAAGGGTTTATTCATTGATATTAATAGTCTTATCATCAATTAAGTCTTGAATGTCCTTATTGATTTCTTCTATTTTATATTCTTTAGTGAATGAGATTTTATTGGATTTCTTTTTTCCAGCATTACCAACCTAATAGAATCTGATACTAGGGTAACTCTTAATGAATAATTCTTTAGCTAATTCTTCATCTTGTTGTGTATCTACTTGTAATTCATAATAATCAAATAGGGATTTATATTTCTTGAGAGAGTCATCCCAGGCTTTATGCATTTGATCTTTGTACACATGAACAAGAGCAGGTTTATCATTCCTTAACAACTACTTATTCAAAACACTTAAATCTAATTTAGTGGGAGTAATGACTACTGGTTTTTACGTGTCTTCTTCTTGATCATTTTGTTTATTTCTTCTGTTTCTTCTATTGTCCTCCTTTGGTTTTTCATTAACTTACTCATATGGAACTCTATCTTTTGAGGCCAAACTTCTAACAAACTTTTTAATAGGTTTGAATAGTAAATCTCCATCAAATATATCATGATTATAAGTGTTATCACCATTATTTTCTAATCCAATAATTTAGGGAAGATCTTTGATATCAAATTAATCCAAAAGTGATTGAGTTTCTGGTGATGCAATAATCTCACCAAATTTGACTCTTTCAAAATAATGTAAATTCAAAGATTTCAAAATAGGTGATGTTTCCTTCTTCTTAGTAAATAAGAGAACTTTATTTAGTTTTGGATCTGTAGTTTCAAATTGTTTCAATTCTTCTAATGTGTTGATTCTAATAACATGGTTGGGTATGAACTTGTGGCCAAAGGTTCCCAAGGATTGTGGAGATGCTTCTCCTTAAAATCTATGTTCAGTTGCTATCATGGGTTCTTTAGTATAGGGATTGATTTTAAATTGAGGAGGTTCAAAAAAGGAGATTTGAGGCAATTATTCTAGCATATCCTCAGAGCAGTATGGTAATTTATTACTAAGGTAATTTATGAAGATTACACAGAATTTGGATCCTTGTTGATTTGATCGCAATTGGCTCCAAAAACATTGATTATTCCTTCTTAATCCTCTGCCACCTTTTCTACTAATGAGGCTGCCATTTAACAATTCTCGCACTCTTCTGTGTAAAAGTAAACCAGAGATACAAAATCTGACTCCAAAATTGCTCTAAAGTCTTACATTTTGTTGGCACTCTTTATGGTGTATGAATTTTCGAATAAAGCCTACGTAGACAGAGTCAACAAGGCAATTAGTATGAACTTATTCATTAATAATAATAAATAAATATGTCGTATAAACTATTGACGTGTGAATCAGATATATATTAAATTTTATTTAATTGTCATAACATTTATCAATTTCAGAGTTTGTGAACATTTTTTTTCAAGATCTCCTAATATTAAGTGAAATTTGCATTCCAGTTTTGTAACAATTGTGGAGCTGACACCTTTGAAATCTCACCAACGTGTTCTGGGTTCAATTCTTTAACATCTTTGTAGGTTGATTCCATTAGGTAAGCTAAGAGCACATCCTTTACTGAAATGCCACTCACATCTTAGGTCGTTATTTCCACGCTTAATTTATTGTAGACATTGATCCATTTGGGGTAATCTAATTAAACACTCAAAGTTACGACTCATCTGATCTGCCAAGTGGGAAACTGTGTTCATGAACACGAATGCTTGTTTGAATGTTTCGAATTTGTACTCTTTGGCCAAAGACTTTGAATTCTAAACCTATAATTATAGTTTCATACGATTTTCCAATTCTTCTCCAGCGCATGGATTTAGAGAGAGAGCTACACTTCAGTTTCGTCCAACTTGGAAGGAACAATTGAGGCTACATCCTTAAGATCTTTAATGAACACTTTGATGGAATCCAAGTTGGCGACTTTGTTAAGAGTGAATCTATATTTTGAGAAATGATGAAGCATACTAAATGTTAACTTAAATAATAAGATTTATAAACAGTTTAATGACATCTATACTAATTAACTTACATATTATAATTGATTTCCATTTTGAATTGACATATTATTGATTTTTATATTAAATCCTCGTATAGTATTTAATGACTTCCTTTTAAATTAACGAGATAATTTGCTAATACTCAAATAAAAATTATTTAAACAATATGCACTAAACCGACCCCAGATAATAACAGCCTTTCCAAATGAACAACATCTACTAAGGTTCACCCATTTAGAGTCAATACGTATGATGAAGATTCAAATTCCTATCTTAGCTTTAATCTCCAGGCATCCCATAGCAATATTAGCAATCTCCTCAAAATCCAATAATTCAATCCCCACAAACCTATTAGCCCCAATAATAGTTTGTATTGCTAATTCATTTATTTAAAGAGCTCCCCCTACTAGATCCCCCAATCATAGCAATTTCTTTAGCAACCCCAAATAAGACAACCTCAACTACCTGTATAATAGAACCCAATTCTGCCTGTTACTTCTCAACCCTTCATTCCTGCTCGATAACAAAGTCCCATCAACATCAGACCCTCCTATCAACCAGTTACTGTCCAAGTTGCCCCTCCCGTTCAACAAGTGATCTTGCAATAACCAGTAGTACCCTGTTCTAACAATAATTTCCCTAGGCTGTTCAACCCTAAACCCAGGTCCAAGAGTTCAGACATGTCGAAAGACCACTCTAAGTCATCACAGTAGATGGTAAATATTTAGTTGAATATTTATATCAGAAATCGAAGCTCCCTGGAGACTGAAATGTGCCACTCTAGAGAGACAGATCTTGGAATTATAGATATAAATAAGAAAGAACAATGGAACTATTGTTGAAGAGACAGTTTAAGAAATATAAGATGATACTAAAGTGAAAAACCTAGAACTCTAAAAATTGGAGTTAGAATAAAAAATTCATGAAGATGAACAATTGATGGATGAATTGAGAAATAGACTTGAGGAATTGAGACAGGAATATGAAATAATCATCACTGAAAAAGTTACTTATGCATCAAATGAAGTTGAAACTTGGATGAAGAAGTATGGCAATTTAGAGAAGAACTACGCTGAAAGCACACAAAAAATAGCAGACTTAAAGAGACAATTGGCACAGGTTGAAGCTGCTGACAAAGCCATGCAAGAGTAAAAGAAATCTGAAGTTCGCACAGAAGTCCGTAGAAGTTCTAAACTCTATTGAATATAACAATTTCATTAAACAAGTTAAGACATAAGAATTAAATAAAATCATTTTCTATTACACATCAAGTAATTAACAGCTTGCTATATTGAACTACTATTTTATATCTGCTACAATCGAAAATTCTTCTCATTCTCAATTCTTACATCATCAACATTTAGTAATTCCATCAAGTAATTTTCCAATTCCATTAATTCCTATTGAAACATATTATAAAAATATTACATCATCTTTTTTGTTATCAAGATATGGAATTATTGGGATTCCATTGTTCAATTGGTAAGCAAAAGAATAAGCAGAATTATCAATTAAGATTATATCCTTTAAATTTCTGTTCAAAGTCCTTAAATCTTTTATATGACATCCTTCTGAGAGATTTATGCAATCATTTCGATAGAGACGATACTTCACCAACGATTTGGTTGGATCTAAATATTCTATAATCTAATTCGCATAATCTTCATTTGAAGCAGTGTATATCATAATTTCAAAGTGTTTAGCCATTTTTTATAGAAATTGCTGAGCATAAGGTCGAACACTAATTTCGGCCTAATTTGAATATGCTTCAAATAATTACTTTTACTGTTAACGTATCGTGTAATTTAATGTTTATCACTAGATCTTTTGGCATAAGTTTTGATTCATTACAATGGACTAAGGTTTCATCCAAATCTATAACCAATGTCTTTTATCGATCTTATGAAATTAATATTATGATTACTTATTTAGGGGTTGATTTTTTATAATATTTCATAACTTTCAGGTTAATTTAATAACTTTGATTTTTTGAGAATTCCATAGGTTTAAATAAAATGATTGAGATACATTTACGCCATAAATGTATCGACGTAATCTCCTTTGATCAAGCTTATTAATTTATCAGTGTAATAAGTTCTTTTATTTTTGGGTTAATTAAAATCTTCAGTTTGAATTTATTTAAATAATTCCCCCTCTTTCGACTCATCATTAGATTCGTGAACTGGTTATTGATTATTTGAAAATGATTTATTGTCTGGTTCATTCTTTTCTAAAAATTGACTCTCGAATTGTAAATCCACTGCTGTTGGCAAAGAAGTATTACTGTCCATTGCGAGTAATGACTTTTAGTGAGACTTAAATCTTTTGAGCAGGACTTTTCTTTTTGTCGCTTTCTATTTACTGAAGAAGTTATTTGAAAAATAATACTTTTTAGAATTGTACTCTGGAAAGAGATTGTGTTCAAGACTTGGAATTTATTCGAGATCCTAAACCTCTGGAACAGCTAGAGGTGTGACAGTCTAGATGAGTTTATTAAAAGCACTTTACTTATGAATCATTTTAAGCATCATGTCCTCTCGAGAAAGTCTCCTCCGGACCAGAAATTTAAGCCTCATTTTCTTAAAGGTGTCTCGAAGTCAAGTTTTTTTTTGTTTCTACCTTGTCCTAACTTAACTTTGGAGAGTCTTCGTTGACTTATAAAAACCTATCGGACTATACACAAATCAATTTGAATGATACCTATTCAACAAATTTCATCTTCTTTTTTGATTATTTTTATGCTTGGACTGTTCGTGAGAAATGTCTCTCGATCTTTTGAGCTATCATATTTTATATTAATTATTTATTTGTAGAGTAATATTATAGATTCTAAATACTGACCCTCAGAAAAGGTTCCAGTGCATGTATTTCTCTCCACTCCATTCATAATTCAATGAGAATATATAAACATAAATAATTATTCGTTCAATTTACATTTTAATTTTGCAATATCGTTTTGAAAAAAAACAATAATATTGAATAGAGAATTTAATTAAAATAGAAATTTCGTTATTTCACTTGTAATTTTGCTAATCAACACCTCTCCAATCTTTCACATTCTTCTTTATTCCCATCTAAAATTCAACTTTTTCATTATTGACTATCGATACCACTGTAGTATGCATCTATCCTAAATTAAACAAACTTTAATTCTTCTCCTTTCAAACTATAGTAATCAACAAGCTCTGCAATTCCCCTTCAAGATAATCAAGTATTGCTTCTCTTGTCAACGCAAATTTTATATGTACTTATCAAATTATTTAAAATTCATCACATCCTCTAATGTCAAATATCTCAATTCAGCTTTTAACATACAATTACTATACTCAAAAATTAAACTATTTTAAAAACATAAAATTCATTAATTTATTTCAATACTAGGCAATTAGTTACTTTTTATCCCGCTTTTTATTTCATATATATATAGCTTACCTAATTTCTAATGTTAACAATATTAATACAAATAACTTGATCTTTTGTTTCACCCTTATATTATAATCTCCTAAAAACTGATAAATACTTTCCATTCCTAAAAAGCCATTATCCAAAATATTTTGAGCAATTAAAATCAAAAATCCAAATTATTTTAACTCCCAATTTTTAGTTACTAAAATATAATAGATAAATTATTGATTCCTCTATTCTTAATTGTATCTTCTAATAGTATTGCAATAGATATAACAAGTTGAAATTAGAATTTGCGATCGAGTCTAATGTCTAAAATTTAATTTCTTTAAAGACTTTCCTTATTTTACACAAATTCTTGTCTTAATCGAAACTTACATCATATTTCTTTTTTATTTAAACTCTTTTTGACTAAAATCCCGATAATTACTATATATCCCTGTACTACGCATCACCTATTCTTATTAGAGCAATTCTAATATCTTGTGCTGTGAAATTGAGAACTTTATAAGTATTTTCTAACATTCTTAAAATATCTCTAAAATTTTCATAAAATTATAATCATTTCTGAATTACTTTAGGAGTTCAATTGAGATTTAAAGTTTCGGATCTTTTGATGCATAAAAGGTTATCAATTCTTGAAAGTTGCAACTAATTCCTATTAAATTATTAATATATAAGATTTTTGATATAAAATTTAATTCATATTCAATAACCACATCCATCTTTTATTAGCCTTTTTATTTCTATTATAAGTCTATAAAATAAAAAGTAAAAGGGGAAGATAATGATCACCAGTATCACAATCCAAAACTCACCCCATATGAAATATAATTTTCTGCCACATCTAAGAACAAATAATAAAAAGCATGTACCTAGATCTTGGTTTTCTTGTACGACTGAATTTCTTATTCAATTTCATAAAAGGTTGAGATATAGATTTTTTAAATGCTTTAAATAACAGTTTAAGAAGTAGCCAGGGTCCTCTCAAAAGAAAAAGGATTAGACGAGGAAAAAAAAAAACCCTCCTCATTAGATCAGGGTGCTCTATTACTTTTCTTGTTTTGAATATTCCATTGGCCCATACTTTAGATAATGCTGTATATTTACTTGCACATCCTCTGATAGACCAATATTTGTAATGATACGCATGATACTTTTACATACAAACCCAACAATACTAATAGCCGCATCTACATGTCATATGATTGCACCCTTAATTTTTTTCAACAGGAGAGCTACAGTCAGGACACTGTTTAATATTGTAGATATTTTATGCATATTAAAACTGCAAATCTGAGTAATTCTACTTTTAATTTAATAAAATTACCTCACATCGCCTATTCAAATGAGCAAGCCTGCCACAATTAAAACAAATTTAAGCCCCACATTTACAGATAGTAATGTTTGAACGCGGATTTCTTTCAACATAATATTAACAATCTGGTACTGGACACCATTTTTTGTTTGGATCCTTTTGAATCTCATTTTTATATTTAAAATTCAAATATTTTCTAAAGGTTTCTTAAGTAACAATGTTTTATATTACAGAATCTTGAAATGTTTCTCTACAACCTTATTGAGGACAAAGAATATTCATAACTTGGGCATTTCTAATTTTGTCATTTAAATAATTGAAATAGCAATATCTAAGAGGTTAAATTAATATTACAAACAAAATCGATGCTCGCATCTAAGTTTTTTTACTAGATTTTCATCGTCACATCCACAGATTAGACAAGTAGTGTTTTCATTTTATTTTTGCTCATTCACTTCAATATGAGGTGACTGTTAATTTCCCCGAGATTGGTCGCCTTCATTAATATGTTTATAAAAGTCTTAATGTAGTTTTCGTTGGGCTTCAAGTTTCAGATCTATTTCATCTAATTAATTCCTAAATTTTTCATTTTAATTACATAATCCCCTTTAATTCCTCTTGTTGATCATCAAATTTAATAATAGAAATTTACTCATCATTTTAATATTTCTATTGACCCTTCGAATCTGCTTAAGCATTTTATCCAGAATTCGATCCCAAATTTTGTAAGTTATTCTAATGATACTTACATTATCTTGGGGCAACAGATTTAAGTTAATTTCTTCTCAAATCATAAGTCATATCACTTTATTATTTTTTTAATCCAGGAGCCTCATAACAATTTATATGAATGTCTGAATCATCACCACCACTTTTATATAAGTTTGTTTCTATATCGGGTGATTTTTTTTATACTTGAGTATTGGGTGCACTTAATTTATAATATAATCTTACATGCTGTTTAAATTCTAGATCATTTGTGTAAATTGATTTTAGGTATCACTTTAGCATTTATGAAGTACGATTTAGTCAAATTCTTCAGAGGGTATCATTAAGCCTGACAGAAATAATTTATTAATATTATTACTATATACGCGGATATCAAACTTAATAACAACTCTTCTTTGTATAAGATTTTGACAGAGCAACAGAAAAAACAGTATATTTTCTATTGAAATATCTGAATGAATTCATTTAAACATATTATTCTACATATCAATGAGTAACCATTTAAATTTATTGATCAAACTCAATCAACATATAATTTAGATTCTACCATCCATATCAAACATTTTAAGATATAAGTTTTGAATTAGAAGAGCAATTTAATTATGTAAATTCTATTCTATCGATAGGATTCACATCGAATTATGTTTTTATGTTGAACAGATCCAATTTCATATGGATTGACTATCTCATAATTATACAATATCTTACTTATAATTCTATTTATTCTCAATTCCATTATAATTTTGCTTCTATTGTTTCTATTGTATGTATAACACAGCTTTATTTTAAAAAATTTAAAGATTTTTTTTTAATTTATGGGCAAAAAAGAAAAAGGAAAGCCAAATCCATTGGGTGAAGTGAGCAGAGATTATACTATTAATCTTCACAAAGCTGTTCACAAGGAGACATTCAAAAGAAAGGCTCCACGTGCTGTTAGTCACATAGTCAGATTTGGTATTTCATTAGATTAATGGGATAGCTCAAAAGAATATGTTGACAGATGATGTTAGAGTTGATCCATAATTGAATGAAGCAATATGGGCTAGAGGAATTAGAAATTTACCAAGAAGAATCAGAGTTAGGTAGTGCTATTAACATTATTGTTTGCAGACTTTAAAGAAAGAAGAAGGAAGAAGATGATGGAAAAGGAAAGTACTATACTCTTGCTTAGTACGTGCCAGTTGATTCATTTGCTAACCTCAAGACAGAAATCACAAAAGCATAATGATTCCAATATTGTACAATACAATATATAAATACATTATAATTATTTTCAATTTAAGTTGTTCTTAGATTAATAATTCAAAGGCATAACTTATATGTTATAATTTGTCTTATTGAATTTTAATAATAATCATACGAGATTCAATACAATAAATTGTTTTTCTTTTTATATCAACATAATGAATTCTCTGTTTTAGATTCATGCATGGAATATGAATTAAGGATTTCCTAAGAATGCGCGCTTAGGAGTGATGCTAAACAAACAAATATTTCTATTTTTAAGTGATAATAGAATGACACTTGTGTTAATTAATTAAAAGAATATATAATAGTGAACTAACAATGAGTTTAGTTTTATTACGAACAAATTTAATTTTATAATGAGATTTTATAATGCATATAAGATACACAATTTAAATTATAGTGGGATGGATGTAATTTAACTACGTGTTAAACATCCTTGTCCCAGCAATGTAAGGAATGTAATTCAACTCAAGAATGTGCTTAAAAAAAATGTAGGATGGTAATTTGATGTTCTATATTAATTTTATAATTTTCATGCGTCAAGATTGAATAATTTAACAGCAGAAGGGTCGTTGATCACAAATGCTGCCTTCTAAGATTGGCGTACGAATTCTCGTACTGTGTTTTCACTCCTTCCCAATTTAAACAATTACTATTATAAATCAAATGAATGAACATACTTTCAAATAGGAATCAAGTTATTTTCCTCTTTATGCTATGAAATCGTTGTCAAGGTTTCCAAAAAGCCTTTTATCTGGAAATTTTGGTAAATGGGATTTGAGATTCTTTGATATTTTTGAACTCAAACTCTCTAATAGACTGTATCTAGTTTGAAAAATCCAGAAAAGGTTGCCTTTCTTGATTCTAATCTCATAGACTACAAAACTATTCTGTACAACTTTAGTGTTGATTATCTCGATTTCAAAGTCGTTATTCTAGAAAAATATTTAAAAATAATAGGCTTACCTCTACTGTCAATTGAGCTTTGGCTTTGATAGGTTTTCTTTTTTTTAGGAAGGAGAGGATAGGTAATTCTGCCATCTATTCATCAGTCAAGGATTATTGAGATGATTATAATTAAGCAAACTATTGATTTTGATTAGACATTGTTGTTTTTGATTAAACAAAAGGGGTTAGGGAAAGTTAAACAGGTCTTAACTTATTTTAATTAATGTAATTTAGTCCCTGAAATTGCTTTTTTATTTATAAAAATATAATGAACCAAAAGAAAAAAAAGAGAGTACTTTCTTTTTAAATTTAAAACTTGACAGGCACATTATCAGAAATGTTTGATAGTTAATAGTCAACCAATAGAAAACTAAATGATAAACCTAGCATCAATACACTTCAAAAGATATTGCCTTTCAATGAGATTGACTAATTCTTTTCACCCAAGGAATCAGGTTCAACTACAATGAGATCCATTCCTAAGCTCCGCAAAAGTTCCATTAGTCCCAAACACTCATACATATACTCAAGAAAGACAATTCAAACACCTTTAAGAATTAGGTCATCAATAGTTATGTTAAATCAATTTGAATAACAGTTTGCTGAAAGTATACAATGTAATGACCAAATTGGAGCTATAGAAAGTATCTAACATGTTTGATAAGGTTTGCTAAATATGATGGTAATTGCAGTTGAATAGGATAACATTGCTTTACTAATAACGTTTATGCGTCTTAGTGCATTAACATTTATCTCATTTTAGGAATGGACCAAGGCTCTTCTATTTTTATCACATTGCAAGTTTCTTAGTGAATTCACAAGATAATTTAATGTCATTCAATGGACATTTCTTCAAATTGGAATTTTGTGTAAATATGTTAAGAAATACGAATAGGGCAAAATATTCATAAAGAAAGTAATATATCATTTTAATAAGCAGTCTTTGGAATATGCATGGCATTTGAAGGATATAGATTAAGAAATAATCTGTTATGAAGAACTTGGTAAATTGTGCTTTCTCAATTATGAATTAAAAATAGCTAAATCCTTACATGAAAAAAGCATGAAAGGTACTGTAGAAAAAGAAAAGTCCCCCATGAAGATGGTTTCATCGAAGGGGATGCAGTAAATCATGAAGATGTTACCTTAAGAAGAGATGAGTTTGGGATTACACATATTTTCTAAAGCTGTAAATTTCCCAATCAAGTTGATTCAATGTTAGAACCCTCTTTATTATTAACGAAGATAAGTGAAAAATCAATACATGATATCACATAATTTGGAATGTATACCAAATTAAAGAGTGATTGATATCGATATTTCATTAGATGAAATGCTACAATAATTTTTGAGAGGAAAGAATTTTGCTTTTGAAATTCCAATTCCGATTTCTGTAGCTGATGAATATGAAAGTATGAAACCAACGAATCAAATACCCAAGGTATAACAACTAAAATAAACATAAACAGCAACATTAATAAAATTATAATCCTTGAAGTTACATCCCTTATCAAATAAATAGCCTACAATAATCCTAAACGACTTTTAAAAGAAGCTTCCTTTGGAGGAAATGGTTAGATAACGTTTGGAGATGAAGTTTTAATCTCCTTCTTTTACGGAAACATTGAGGAGCAAGAAATTTTCCAGCAATTTAGAATAAATAAGATTAACTCATGAAAGAGTCGGAATTGCTTTGAGTGTGGAACACTCAAAGAGAGGGTTAGTTAGATATGCATAGAAGTTACTTAGTTAATAATAAATTACTTTCATTTGATTTATAGTATGTTTTACAGATATTACGTTGAAAATTTAATATGATTTAAATAAATAATCATTCAATTTTAGTTTTTGCAGCATGAGCTATAATATTTGAGAATTTCTCATAATTTTCTTACTCTTGAGCAAACTCTTCGAATCCACAACCATTTTACCCTACTAACATTCTCATTATCATCTATTTTTGATTCTTTTTAACTTAATCCTTATCTTCTGGTTTCTTCTAATCTTTATTGTTATTATTATTTTCTGTATTTTCAGCTTATTTATTGGTGGCTGCCTTGTTACCCATTTTAAAGACAGATTTTATTTAAATTTTTTTAATAAAATTCATTTAATTAATCATAAGAAGATATTTTAATTTAGATCAAGTACTTAATAATTATATCAATATTTATAACTATGCATAAATGACTTAATATGTCCTTCTCCAACTCCTGAACCATATTCATTTGGATAAATCCCACTCATTTCTTTATATTATTCATCGTTAGTTTAGGCATTCATGATTTCTAATAATTATTTCTTAGGAATCCATTTAAAATCATCGACTTCAGTCTCTTGAATTTTGACTTAAATGTTGTTGCATGTCTCATTTAATTTAACTTCATAAAATATACATAGAGTTTGCTTTTATGGAAGTTAACCAGCTTATAATTTAGTCGGATACACTGATTCATATAAGACTTTAAGCTCCATTTTATTTAAAATTGGCGAAACATCAATTCCAGTTTCTTCTTAAACCTCTCTTAAGCATTCAGACTCTAAGTCCTATAATCTTTCTACCATTCCACCAGGAAACACCCATGTTTTGGGAAATGTTTTCATTTAAGAATGCCTTCTTGTTATTAAAAAATTATCATCTTTGTCACACAACATAGCCACAGTAGCTAATCTAATTTTGCTTTACTTAGTGTCTTTATTCTAATAATCTTGGTTGACACAAGGACAATTAGTACCATGTAACAATTCTGCCTATGGCCATCCTTATTGATTTACTCCCAAGAGAAATCTGGCCTAATCTTATTCGTACTTATAGGAGAGGAGTGGAGTGTTGAGAAGTTATAACAAACATTTGCCGGCGTAGAGAGTGTCATCAATGTGAACCTCAACACCATAATCGATTTTTTACATTATAAAGATTAAATGTACATGATTTTATTATATTATTTCAATAGCCCAACTTCTCTAACTCTGAATTGATTGTAGCAAGTTCCTTAGCTCCGATGGCTTTTCTTCTGAGATTTTCTCTGGCAATCTTTCTCTTGTAATAGGCAGCACCTCTAAATGAAACGTTAAAAATGCACGATACCTTTGCTTTCTCTTCTCTTCGAGTCTGTTAACAACAGCTTATGAATTCCATCCGACTGAGGCACATAAATCACCTAAAGTGCAGAAGGGTCTGTGATTCTTGAGTCTGATCAATTTGATGGCATCTGGAATAACCTATCTCTTTCTTGTGTCATAGGGAGGGGGGACTCCTTCAAAGACCTTTAATCTCTCTAAAGCAGCTGCTCCTCTTTTTGATTTATATTGAAGCATTCCTCTGACTACCTTCCAAAAACATCGTGATGGAGTTCTGTAATGCTTGTATCCTCTTCTTGGATTGAAGGCCATTCTCTTATTGAGATATTCTTCAAAAATGACTCTGTTTCTGAAGAGGGAACCTGCTTTAGCAACAACTTCATACCTGATTGTTAAATCAACTCAGTTCTGACTACAACAATCCTTTAGCCTCTTTACAACTCCTTGGCAATATAAGAAGCCAATCGACCCAACAAATGGCCCTTACCATCAATCACGATTTCTTTCTCAAACATTAAATTTTAAATAAATTTTCAAATCATTTCATCTATTCCATTTTATTATGAGCCTATATATTTAATATCATCCAAATATATATATTCACATATTCTCGAGGTAGACTCACGCCAAATCAGACCCTCCTCTCAAAGAATCCTGTATTGTAATTAAAATAAATAAAATTATCATTAAATTTGAGTCGAATTAGTGCTCCCAGTCACTCCACGATCATTGTACTCATAATCCTTGAACATATCTTGAATAGAATTCCTCCTCAAAGCACCCGCATTCTCCTAGATCAGAGAGTCTTCAGAGTCATGGTCCGAAGAAATCTACCTTTTAAAGTCCTTATCTTCAGAATAGGCCAGTTCACTAAAAGGAGAAGGCATGGTCTTATCAATCAGACTCTGCCAGTTAACATGCTAAAACCAAGAGTGTTTCTTAATGGATTAAACCCCATCAAACCCTAATCTGTGTTATTGTTTTCTCTGTAATAACTACACTTAACTAATTCTATTTACTTGATTACAAATATCTGCACTGTCGCTACTCCAGCCATCCTGCCTTTTGATATTCACTTACTTAGTTAACATCATCTCTTTGATTTCCTTTCGAGATCTCCCAACGTAAGGTCTTTTTCCAAGCATGAATTCGTGGATCATAACTCCCAAAGCGAAATGATCAACCCCTATTCCATGATTCTGTCTACACATCACCTCTGGGGCTATCTGACTTAAAATAATTACTAACCCATATATCCTGGAGTGCCACTTGTTTCTTAACTGTTCTCTGGCTTCAGAACTCTAGCTATGCCAAAATCTGTTAATCTTGGATATCCCTTCTTGTCAAACACTACATTCTCAGGTTTAATATCTCTATGAATAATGTTATTGTTTTGCAGATACTCTAAACTCAATAATAAACAAGCTATGACGAATTCTACAATTATCTAATTTTGTACTTGTTTGCCATTCTGTAAAACGGCGATTCACTCCTATATGGTACCTCAAATCGCCTCCTGTTAATAAATCCATCACCAAGTGAAGGTGATCTCGATCTTAAAATGCAAAGTGAATATTGGCAATAAACGAATGTCTAAGTTTGCTAAGAAGAATCTTTTCATTCAAGACTGAATGGACAGATTTTTTTGACAAGATTCTCAATAATATATTTGAAATACCTCGCCTTACTCATCTCTTTCATTGCGTATTACTTTCTAGTTTTGCAGAGTTCCACTCTCCACACTTTTCCAAATCCTCCTTTTCCAAGTACAAATAAGAATTTAAAACTAGCTTTATTTAGATCTTCTCTAATTAAGGATTGTTAATGAAGCATTTTCTAAGGCGTTTACACAAGTTATTTTATCATTCCAGTTTCATTGTTCTTTCTCTGTAATGCTTTTTACTAACTAAGTTACATAAACTCACTAATAAATTTTCATTAAAGATTGACATCTAGATCACATATTTTGGACTTTAAAGTACTTGAGGCGGACTTACATTGAGCATTCTTGATTCTGCACGACTCATATTGCGAGTCCTCCATTAAGGAGATACGGGTGGTGATACAGCAATTGAGACCTATTATCCACTAGGCATTTTGAATGAAGGCAATTTGGATGGTCTTTGTTATCTTGAACGAGTGCTCACAGGACTTTTGAATAATGGTTAGTAATTATGAGGTTCAATGAAGTTTTAGTGGATTGGGAGCCTTTCCTTAACATTTCTGCGAGGTTCGATATTCATTATTTAATAATTTTATCAAAATATAGGGAAGTTTTTCGGTTTTACTCGCTCTATGTAAGTAAGTTTCTTGAGTAGCGAGAATGTTCAACAAAAACATCATATAATTGACCAATATTATCAATATAAAAATAATTAGAAAATGGACTTTACTGCTGCTAATCGATCTCCATTAAACACTAGCAAAACTAAATAAATGTATACGTTCTCAAAGGCCAAACGATGGGTTGATCCCAAAGACAACGTGTATTTACACACATAACTCAAATTAGTTGTCCTCCAATTTATCAGCTGCCAACTACATTGAGCAAGAGAGCAGCTGGGATCGGCTATGGAAAGAAGATGAACATAACCCAAGAAACCATTTCGCCTGCTCCCAATTCCTATTAGGTTCAGACTGTCAGAGAACATGGATGGACCATGGGATTGGGTAGAGATGTAACTCTATTGTTCCAATTCTAAAGCGAGCCAATAAATTTGAGAGCATTTTCTTGGGATTAGTTCAAAAGACACCAGGACCTGGATCATACAATTTTAAAGATCCCTAGTCAGCAGTTCGTTACAGCATAAGACAACGATTGCAAAGCAGAAGAAACAAGGACAGAAAACCCGGACCGTATTCCTATGAACCTATTCTAGAGGCGAATATGATTTACCAAGCAGCATAAACAGTCGAGGCAAGTATGCCCTCAGTTAATATCGAGAGTAATTATATATGACGCTATCAAATAAAAAGTTCAGGAGCTGTGATACTCTCACCTCCCAGAGTCCATTCGGACAGAAAACTAAGAGATAGCACTCCAGGACCAGGGTCATACAAAGAGACTGGTAACATGGACCCTCTGGGTACTTACTTTTGCTCCAAATTTGGGGCAAGCAGATGCAACAAATTCCCCAGAGCTTAACGCATACTCTCAGAAAATAGAGAGGGATCACCTGGACCAGGACAATATAAATTGCCATCAGATTTCGGATTATGATATATAATTGTTGTTATTTTAGTTCAACTACATTTATCTTTTTATAATAATTTATTTCTGGGAGTCGAAAATTCAATACTTAAGAACAAAGTAGTCAAGCAAATACTTAAGCTTGGAAGAGATCAAATATTATGTAATCTGATATAATATCACTGGTAATATATCGATATGAACTTTTGAAAAGAATTTAATAGATAAATAAATATACATTATAAAGCAATGATTCCATTAATTTTTTAGATACCTTCATATATAGTAGAAGCTAAATGATTTATAAATTATGCAATCAACAATAGATACGAAATTAGTGAATATCATTATAAATTCATTCACATTCTAGTAGAGTCTTTATTTTTAGTTTATCTTATTCACTCAATGCACTAACATACTCTGAAGGTCTCCCTGGAGAGATCAAGGATTATTAATGTGTAAGTTAGGTAATTTGGACTTATTATAGTTAGATTTGCAATTTCAATTTTTGATTTTCTTATAAAAGTTTATCGTACTCCTTTTCAATGTTTTGATATTTTTTCTAAAATACATAATTATCTCAATTACATTTGATTCTTTAATTTATTTGAGTTCTTTCTATAATTGCATGATTTATAAATCTTTGTCAAGAAGTTGTTTTTAATAAATTATTGAAGGTTCTAATAAGACAATAATGAATACTTTGCTTGGAAGACTTTTCGTCATCCTAACTTTCCCCCGTAGTAGTTTTGGTGTAGTTTGACTTTTCATTAATTTTCTCTTGAATGTACGAAGAGACCTTGTTTGAATTATACTGGGAATCGGTATTGGTTTTGGCTGAGTAAATCTTGAGTGCCTCTTGAATGGGGATGCTTTAACCCTAGATTACAAGGGAAGGACTTACTTAAGTAGGTATTCTGGTTTTCAATTCTGTGGACTGTATAATTTTTGGATAGACATGTGAGGTAGTTAGAATCTTGGATGGTGAAATGGATCTGCCATCAAATTAGTGACTTCTTCTTGGATTATGTGTAACAACAACATGGGTGACAGGAGATTGTTTTCTGGATTCATATTACCTAAACAAAACAGAAGCTGACTAACGATGATTGAAGTTCTAAGATGTAAATGATAATTTGACTTATAAAGGAATCATTTCTTTACTAAGTTCAGATGGTGTGAGGTTTGAATATTAAATTTAAAATACTCACAATAATATTATATTAAACATCTCTAAAAAGAAATTCAAACTATTTTAGTTCAAGAGAAATCGAGAAACTATTTAAGCACATTTCAAATGGACTTCTTTCAAATTGTAATTCTAAAAAAAGATCAGATAATTGTCTTTAGTAATTCCACAACCAGCTAAAATTGTTAGCTCTAAAAAGGGTTCAACAATTATTTAATTGAATCCTTCCCCTCCAAGGTCAATCTATACTTTCCTCCTTTAGTAAGAACTCTCCTCTTTTGATTTTAAACTAATGAGTTACTGCAGACTTTCATGATAATTATGCCAAATTATCAATGGCCAGATGTTATACTACATTTAACAACCCTATTGCTTGGAGTGATTTGCAAATCTTGATATCTTGATATCTACATAATTTCCAATTCCTCAGCTGTATATTTGAAATCACCTCCCCTTAGTCTAATCACAACAACAATTGGATGTTGGAATATTATCACACAACTCTATTCTATTAGCTCTATTGTTGATTGCAATAATTAATTCAGAGTAATTATTAAAGAAGGCTTCTTTAATAATTTTTCCGTTTTTGTTATTATATATATAATTTCTTAAAATGAGATTCGTTGTCTTATTTTGTATGCTCGGATTCGCGATCTGCGATTTACCTGTCCATTGCTTGAAGCACCAGGTTGCAGGAAAGTGGAGACTATATTTGGAAAAACCAACTTAAAAGGGTGTTGGTCTGTTGCCATGTGGTCATGAAATTCCTGACAGAGCTAAGACATCATATATGGCTTATTCTAGCAACTTTTAACCATCATAAGATTTTGAGGTTACTTTGGGAGATGATTATAAAGTTAAATCCAGTTCAAAATCAGGTGAATGGACTATGGTTTATGATGAAGGTTTTGAAATCAAACTAGGTAATATGAAATATTTTGCATTCTCAAAATATGAGCCAAAGGGCAGAGAGGGAGTGTCATATTGTGATTAAACCCTCGTTGGATGGTACACAAATCAAGACACTCAAGAGAGAGGATGTTATAGAGCTGAAAAAACGGAAAAAGTAGAGTCATCTGAATCCATCAAAACAGTCAGCATTGTCCAACCTGAATTTATGGATGATGACGATATGAAATCTTTGTCATTCTTACAAGTTCAAGAAAAAACACCAGAAGTGAATCACGAGGAAGTCGTCGAGAAATTGAATCAGAAGGAAGGAACATGGAAAGCTAAGGTCTATGATAATATGAAGGGTAAGAGCTTTGCTGAAGTGGCCAAGTCTTTGGGAAAGAAGCTCGGATTCAAGAAGGACAAGTCATACAAATAGTAGGATTAAACAGCAAATAAAGTGTTCGTTCAAACTGGTGACTATTCAGATTTACCAAAGTCTTTCAATTGGAAAGAGTATATATATTGTTGTTTATGAAATTAGGAAACTTGCACCACCTAGACAATAAGGATAATGCGGATCTTGTTATGCAATAGCCACAATGTCTATGTTATCAGCAAGATTGAAAATAAAGGGTGAAAATGTCGATCTCTCACCTTAATGGTCCTTAAATTGCAACTATTACAACCAAGGATGTGATGGTGGTTATCCTTACTTAGTGAATAAATTTGCTGAAGAACAAGTACTCGTATCTGAAGGAGCAGAACCATATCAAGGATTTGACGGATCTTGCAATTTCCAGAAGGCCAAGTCTTAATCTAAAGTTTATTCAACCAAGTTTATTATTCTTTCTAACTTCTTATAGAAACTATAAATATTTGGGAGGTTCATATGGCAGAGTCTCAGAATAAATCATCATGGCAGAAGTAATGAAGAATGGCCCTGTTGTTTTGAGTTTCGAGCCATCCTACGATTTCATGTATTATGAATCTGGTATCTATCATTCCAAGGCTTAAACCAACGATTATGCAGAATGGGTATTCAAATCTTATTTATAGATAGGAAAAAGTTGATCATTCAGTCTTATGTTATGGATGGGGAGAAGAAGATGGCGTTAAGTTCTGGATGTTGTAAAACAGTTGGGGAAATCAATGGGGAGAAGGAGGAAACTTTAGAATGAAAAGAGGAGTTGACGAATCAGCTATTGAAAGTATGGCTGAAGCTTCAGATCCATATGTCATAACTCAGAATTCAAGTACAAGCTTTTCAGAAACAAAATCAAATGAATCTGATTTCGATTATGAGGATGATGACAGCATCTTTTCCTTCAACTAGATTAGATAAAACCTTAAATGAATTATATCAGCATTAATCATAATTACAATAATTTATGATAATATATATCATTTCATAAATACATTTTTCCTCCTTTTGTAAGTGATTAGATCTTAAGTTGTTTTTGTCGAATGGAATTTCCGCATGATGACAGCAGGAAACAAACAGTACCGTTGGAACTCATTCAGAATTCTCATCTTACTCTTGTCTATCTTTAATTTGACATTATTGAAGTTGAACTTTGGATTGTAATGAATGAAATTCTTTGGAGTTTCGAATTCTTAGTTTTAACATATATCATATTCTGAATTTATTCTTATTACATCATCAATATCATTGAGTAATTGAGGATCCACTTTCGTTAATTGCTTAATATGATCATATCTTATCTTCAATTACTTCAACTGCGACTATTGACTAAAATAATTCTGATTGTGTCTGAATTTCTTTAAAATAGTCATCATAAACTGTGGATAGTATTTGTCTATTAGAGTAATCTTCTTCACTAAGTTCTTGAACCTAGCCATTATTTATTTCCTTGTCTCATCATTGTGCTTAGGTTTATTCTTGATACTTTGGTAGGAATTCAAACTATGGATTTTTGCTTCTTCCTCAACAACGTAAGGGATATCGTACAATTTAACAATGTTCTAATTTTCCTATTGCACAATAAACGAAGCCCTAATGAGAGACTACTGGGAATGTTTCCGCGAAGGATACCTAGCTCTCCTATTTTCTTAACGCGGTATCCGTTTTCTTTATTATGTGGTAGAAATCGTGTGTTTTTTTATTATTTTTTCTCTATCAGGTACATAATGCACAACTGGACACTCATGCGAGTAATGTTTATAACTTTAGCAAGCATAGCATTTGCGTGGGAAGATTGTGGTTTCATTTCCGTTGAATAGTAAATAGTCCTTCATTTGACAATAGATTTCATAGTCATTTGGGAAGTCTTTCAGAGTTTTCTTGAATTTCCTATGTGACAATGTCATGAGCAAGCAAAAGCCTTAACTTTTATAGGTTTCAGGTTGTAATTTGCCTGTTACGAATGGAATAAGACCGATAGTTTGATTGGCATTGAATGATTGTAATTTTAGATTGCACTATTAATCTCCATACATGTCAATGGTGCCAGATTCTATGTACACTAACTCTTTTTTGTCTCCAACTATTGTTTCAGGTGCCAGAATCTTGGTTTTTAAGGATTTGATGAGTTCTCTTTTGAAAGCAGGTGTAAAGCGATACCGAAATAAGGCACATTGATTCAAAATAACCGAATTTGATTCTTAAGTCAATCTTTCTTTTAAGTTCTCAGATAATTGATTGATCATCTATGCAGCCTCATCCGCATCCTTTTCCTTATTCAATTGCCAATAGTAATTTAGATATTACCGAATTTCGCTCTGTAATGGGAATGGGATTCTCTTCTTTTGCATGTACGAATTGATGATTCTCAATTTGCGTTTCTTATCCTCCCCATATTCACTAATCTTGGAAATGATGGCTCCCACAGTGTTGATACTGTAAGGCAATTGTAAACTTGCCATAATAATGAATAAGCAGCATACAATCCTTTCCAAATTGCTTTGTGGCAGAACATCACCATATCCAATAGTGAACATGGTAACTGTCGAGTAGTAAACCGAGGATAAATATTAGATTTCCCATTCCTTGTCCACAATATTCTCCAGCCAACTTACTCCATAATTGTTATGACTATAGTCACCCACCTAGAATGATTTATTTTTTTACCCAAAACCAAAAGCATGAGAACATGTGAATGATAAAAAATAACACTGCGATCAATTTAACAAGCTCTATTATGGATGAGGCTTTTTTGCTAAGGTTCAATCCTTCTTCATAATACTCCAAGCATTCCTGTATGGTACTGTAATGAACTAAGAAGGTCACAAGAGTCAGATAGATTTTATAGTCTTTTATATATTGTGTTATCGTGGGATCCTACGTGAGTATCTAATAGACCAGTAATTGTATTGTTGAAGTCCATTCTAGTCCAAAACATTTCAAAAAATTATGATAAACTATCTATTTCCGATCTGTAACCAATTGTCCTTGATTATAAAATGCTGTATTCAAGCCTACGATTAAATCTCCCAGAAGAACCATTTGAAAAATAAAGGATGTCAAATTATACATGTCAAACATGAATGAATATTTACTCCATGCAATATCCAAGGGGATGAGGAATAAAAAATATAATCTTGAAACCAACGACGCTGAGTCCCATATCAATTTGACAGAGGATTCTGGCTGAAATAACTCAATTCGTTTCAGACATTAAATCAACTTATTCAAATATCGCGAAAAAAATTGTCTGATCTTCTCGAAAAACTTCAACTCTAATTGCAATGAAAAGTTTTTATGCATTAATCGAATATTAAAAGTAGAGGAGTTTCGATATGAGGTTTTGTCTCCAATAAACGATACATATTCCTCAGGAATAACTCCGAATCTATTCGTTTGCGATTTCAAATTACTACAAAACTATTGTACGTAGTGAGTTTTGCGTTCCGACTTTTGAGTAAGCATTCTTTAGTACCTCATCAAGGATTCACCTCCTGAAGATTATTACCCTTAGATTTACTATCGAAAAGGCTATGTCTCTGTTTGATTCCCCTCAGTAAACAGCTTAGCACCTGTGGTACTAACACGCATTTTATCTTACATATTAAATAAATTATTGAAATCAAAATCACATACTTCCTTCTTCTATAATTAATGATATTTCGATATCATCCAAACCTTTATTTATGACTTTATAGAGTATAATAAACAAATCATAAATTCACATTTTATCGAATCTCCAGCCGACTCTGCTTTCTATGGACCTTTCGAAGACATTCAAACTTTAATAAATTCATATTCATCATGGATTTAAAAATTCCTGTAGATTGAACTTTTTTAATTTAATAGAGCTTTAACATTCTGAATCTTTCGAATTTAATTGAAGAAGTCTTCCATTCTTATTCACTTATGCTATCCAATAACCAAACTAATAGATCTATTCATTTTTTTATTCTGTTTCTGGGAATCAATACCCATCAATTCAAACGATCATTAGAACGAATAAATTAACCTAAATTAGAATTTAGATAGGTCAGTATTTTACCTTATTAAAAACGACTCTTCTTATCGCTCAGATCTACAAATGAATTGAAAAATATTGATTTAAATTATATTGACGTAAAGAATATTAAATTGGTTGTAATTGCTTCTCCAATTAAAAATCAAGAATATAATTCTTAGTAAATTTGATTAACTCATCTGAGCTATTTACCATTAAGAATAAACTATTAATCATTACAACACATCTAGTATTCAAATGAAATTATTTTTGATTTCTAGAAATTTCTCTTCTCTCCTTCTTATCCATCAATTCTGCAACCATTATAATCGCAATATTTCAAAGTCTCACTCTTTTAAATCTTAAATCCCTGTCAATTATGCATCCTTATTAATACTACTCCACTATTAACCTATTTATCTGACGTTTATCAAAAGTCTGCTGATAATCTTGTTCCACTCTTTAAAATTATATAAATTTTACATATATGAATAGTAATTGAAATATACTTTTATTTCAAAGCTAAAAATAAAAAGAAGCATCTCCTATCCTCTTATAAGAGTTAAATCCGCTCGATTTCATAAGTTATACATTATTCATTTCTTAAATTCTAGTACTTCCTTGATGAATCTTAAATAATAGTGTTAAAGCATAATTTTCATCTACTTAATTTCTTCATGATGTAAATTGTAGAACCCTGCATATAATGGAGGATATCCAACCAAAAATACAAGATAATTCCTTATTTATATTATATCAAAAAATTGCTTTTAACTTTCTCTTAATATCAACCTTTTAAAGAGTCTTTTAATTTTTATTTAAAAAGATTCACTATAAAATTAGAGATCTATTATATGTTATTAATCCATAAGATCATCGAATTATGATGAATTATAAAAATTATAAATAAACTAATTTGAATTTTGGCCAAAAATCAATAAACTTTAGTAAAAATATAAGAAGTACAATAATATAAATATTGAAATATTAATAATATTGTTCAAGGTTTTTTAATTGACGAATGTTATTACATAATGAATGCCAGAGATATTCTATTGTTTCTTTTAAATAATTATGTTTTCTTAATTTCTCCCACCTAATCTAACTTCTTATATTTGTATAGATATTTTTGGATATATAAATGTGGATAAAATAGATACTTTATTAATTGCTAAGACTTTTCCTAAAAAAACATCTGCACTTCATTAGTACTTGATAACATCGATATTTTTGTTCTGCTTAAGACTTAATAAATGTTATCCCTTGGTTTGAAATATTTATAGGATTTCTATACTTCTAGAAGTGTGTCAAATTCTGTTTATAGGAGCATTTTTAGTTTGAGTTCAAAAAATTCTAATTCATGAATTGTTTTATTCGAGTATATATTTTTAACGTGCTATATCCTGGCTTTTCGATATTAGATAATTTTCAAATAGTCTCTGTATTAGTAAAGTAGTTTTTGTTAAGAATCTTCAACTTGTTTTTCGAAAAAGTCATTCATAAGATTAACCTTCTTAACAATAGACCTAAACTTTTCTTTAGTTTCCTTCAACTTTTTATTGTTCTACATAATATCCCCAATATCTTGTAATGTCTACTTTTTCCTTAAAAACTATTTCTTCTATTGATTCTGAGGCTTTAAGGATTCCTCCTTAAAATCAAACACTTATATTTTTGAATCATGGTTGTTGTTTCTAAAGTGAGATTTTTCATCTGAATTATCAACAAACTAGACTTTCGGGGTGGCTGATTTGTCTTCATCAAGTTCTTCATATAGATATGTTAATTGCTGATTATCTGATTAGACTTGCTTAGCCACATCGTCTAAAATACTTTAACCTAGAATAGCCTTAATGTAGCATATATCCTTTCGTTTCTTTGTATTATCTCTTTATTATTCTCTACTAAATTAGGCTGATTTTATAATCTTCTCCCGATCTGGCTTAAAATGAAGAAGGGGACATGAGATTGCTTTATGAGTTTTTGATTTACAAGAGAAACATTCCATAGTAAGCAATTCGCTTTCACTATTAAATGTGAGTTCTTCAAAAAAAGTATAGAACATTTCATAGTCGTCAGGATAATCCTTTATCACATCCAAAAAGTCTTTCCTTGTTATTATTAATAGTTTTGTAAATCCAATAGTCTTATACTTTTCAACACTAGGATTCCCTGTTATGAAACTTACGAATCCGAAACTTTCGCCTTCTTTTAATTTATAAACTCTTGATAATTCACTCAATTGCTCATTTTCTATAAAAACTTCAATCTACCCCTGCTCTATGAAAAATATCGATAGACTATGCTCATCCTGTGATTATTTAGTATAATCAAGAACATTCTCTGGTGCAATTGAGATTGAAGTGATTTTACTTACCAAATCTTTTTTAAAATTTAATGAAAAATTCTTCTTAAAAAAAGGACTATTGTAAAGAATCCTTGAATTGGCTTCAAATATCAATCTCTATTTTAGTCTACTTGACAATTCATCAATGATTTCTTTCTCCTCATTTGATTCTTCATTTCTTTTCATTGCCCAAAAATAATTTAAATACTCTCTTATCTAAAATTGCAATTCATAACTAATATTCTTTTGTTGCATATAATTATTGATAATGTTAAACTTTCTTTTTTTCTCCTTTTTGAATCCACTTATCTATTCAATAATAGAGCTGACTGTGCTAACACTGTAAGATAACTAAACACTGCAAACAGACATAAATATAATTGAAACTATCATTTCTGGATTAGTTTATGGAGTTATATCACCATATCCTACTGTGAACATGGTTACTGTTGAATAATAAAATGAGTACAAGTATTGATCAGCAAAAGATTTATCTAAAACCTGCTTAGCCTCCAGCCAACTACTACCCAAGTACGTTTCGCTGTAAAGTCCAACCCAAAACCATAAACAAGCAAATACATGTATAACGAAAAATAGCAAAACAAACAATTTTGAAAGTTCCATTAAGGAGGCTGCTTCCCTTGATAAATTCAATGCATCTTCTAGTTGTTATCTTAGTTAGGTGATATTATTATATTGAACAAATTAGAGAAATAGAAATAGGTAATAAGGATTGTCAAACACATTAAATCCGTAGTCATATTAATTGGAGATATTGTAAAACACAATAAGTAAAATGTTGGCTATCAATTCAAAGCCATATGCCTTACTTATCTAATGTTTTAATATACTCATCCTATCCGTTACCAACTGTCCTTGGTGATAATATGATTGGAATAAACATACAAAAAAGTCCATTATCAAAAGAGTTATACAAATTACTGTTGGAACTTCTAAAGCACTAAATAAAAATTAAATAGATGGCCAAGCTAAATCTATTGGGATTGTAAATAGCAAATAGAATCTGCAAATAAATAGAATACTGTCCCAAACCACTTTCAGCTTTGAGTCTGGTTTGATTAATGGAATTTTTTGGATTAGATTGTAAAATCTCTACACTTAGCTTCCTATAAATATTTTTGTTCTCTACATGAGAAACTACTTACTTCTAAATTAATATAACTTTAATTCTTTACCTTTGATTCCCTAATTGAGCTTAGGTGTTTTCTTGCAAGCTTTAAATCAATGGTTTAATTTTAATAGCGAATTTTCTAAAGCCAACATCATCTAGAGAGGATGCTTTATCATTAATCACTTACAAATGATATTTAGTGATTTTTGAGATCAATCTTCTTTTGGCAAGAATTTAATGGATAAATTATCTGATGTGTAAGAGTTGAACCAATTTGGCAAAACCTTTCTTAGGTTCTGATCTTCTCATGAATTCTTGTTACTTTAACTTTTCTTATTCATGATGTTCAATCAAAACCTAAGGTATTTCAAAAACTCTTTTTGAATCATCCTTGCTTTCACTTGCTTCACTTATACTTACACTCACATTTGGGACTTCTTATTCAACCTGATACGGCTGTATAAATAACAGATCTTCATCAGGAGGCTCCTCCGTACAAAGAATTGGTCTATTTTTTAACATAATTTATGGTATTTTGGCAAATTTTATTTCTTCTTTTCAACATAATATAAATTAACTGAATATAATATTTGCAACTCATTCTGTAAAAGTTGGCACCAAAGGATCGAATCCAAGTTCTTCAACAGGAATAACAAACTCAGCCAATTTGCCATCATAAGCCTTAACCATATGAGAATGAGCCTTCCTTATTTAAGTTAGTTATTATTGCAATTCAGCTATTTGTGCTGACTTTTAGACATCAATTTCCTAATACTACCTTGTGATGACATCTAAATTAATATAATGAAACTACTAATAGTATTTTGATCAATATTTGCTCCTTGTAAGACTTGATTCAATTGCAATTCCTTAATTTCAAGTTCTTCTTAGATGGCAGATGTCTTCTTTTCCAAAATCAGATTCTATTGTATAATGTAATATAAGATATACTTGTAATCCAGTTTTTTATTAGATTGATTGAATTGTTTAATTGAATTTGTCTTCAAGAGATCTCTTTTCCCTCTCCATGTATTGGAAATGCTATAACTTAACTTCATATTCATATTCCAAATTTCTAAACTTCTTCTCAAGTTCATCTATTTTTAGTTTCAATTGTTCCTTCTATTGGACAACTTGGGCTTGCTCTTCCTTCTCTTTGATCAAGAACTTAATTTCCTCTTTAATGGCTTTGAGGGGCTCATTCAAATTCTTAGACTCATTTTCAATTGATTACAAGAGTTTCTTATCCTTCTCTTCCTTCTTTTGATGGTCTGTAATCTCATTCTTTAAACTCTTGATCATATCCAAATTAGTAGCAGTGATATCAGAGTAGTAATTCTTAATTTCTGTGTATTTTTTTGAATGTTCTTTTGTTAATTATTATATTCTTAAATCCTTTTTTTCTTAAAGAATTTTGATGAGATTATTTCTTGCTTCTTCCATCTCTCTTCTTAATTTCTCCATCTTTAAATGATATTTCTCTTTTAAATCATTCGCCTGTCTTTCAAAATTCTATCTCAATTAAGTGGCTTAGCGATCATATTCAGTTTTAAGTGCAAACATATAATCATTTTATGCCAAATCAGCCTCTTTCTGTTGGACTTTCAAAGATCTTATATCAGTCTTCAATTCTCTGTCCTTCATTCTGTGATCGTCTTCTAATTGTTTTAGAGTGACTTCTACATCCTTTCTTAAATCACTTTACTAATCCTAATTTTAAAATAACAGATGTTTAATTCTAATTATATAATGAAACCTTACTTTTATTTGTAAAGATTCAATTGCATAAAGTGATTCTCCTTTAGATCCTGAATTTCTCTTTCTTTGTTAATGAAATCACTTTTTTTATCATCCAATTCCTTCTTTGCAATGATCCAGTTGTAATTTATCTTTTCTCTTTCCTATTGATATTAGGAAAGTAATTTCTCTTCTGCATCTATGTCCGTTTTAAGTAATCTTATTTCTTCTCTCATTTATTTCTAGAGGAGTTTCAAAATTATAATACCTTGTAAGCCTCATTCTCAACATCGTTAACTTATTTAGCCTTATTTTAAGCCTCCAATTCTGCTTCTATGGATGATAAATGAGGGAAGAATACTTGATAACTACGGCTTAGAATCTGTTGGTTTGGGTTTATTCTTGCTCATCGAAATAATTATTTATATTTATAATGCTCATTAAGATTATATTATTATAAGCAATAAAGAGAAATTTCAATACAAAAATACTAATTATACATAGATTATAATATGAACTTCTAAAAAATCAAACAAGCAACGTAGCATTTATACATCCATCCAATTCAGGATTATTTGTTACTTGAGCATACTTACTCCAAATAACTTTACCAGTTTGAGTAACTAGACCTAATTCACTCACATTGACTTCAAGAACTGTTCCTTTAGTGATGACACCAAGTGTAGTATATAAGGCAGATTATGGATTTTTCTTAACACCCAATAAAGGCAAGCTAAAAGTAGTTTTGAAGTTCAGGATGAGTCACATTAGCCTTCTTAAAACGAAGTCCTGTTGGTCTAATATACCTTTCAAATTTGGGTGGTTTACGAGTAAAGGTCTCTGGAACAAAACATACCTTGTTTATTCTCCTTTTCCAAGACTTTTATTTTCTCTTTCCACTCTCAATTACTTAAAACATTTCTCCCTCAGACATCTATTTCACCTTTGCAATAGGAACATCCCATTTGCCTGCTTTCTCTTATCTAATCATTAAATAAAAGACTCTACCTTTTTTGTTTAAGCATGTTTGTCAACACCTTCGATTATTGTTATTATTCTCTATCTAATAAATATGTGGGGACAGCTCCATCTTTTACGTCTTCCACATTGACTTCAATATCTTTCTCTTCGTGAGCTAACATCTATTTCTTCATGAGTGCCTTCTCCTTAAATCTTTCCTTGTTAAACATTTTGGCCTTAAATTATTATCATTTTTGTGTACTTTAAGACCCTTAAGATTTTATGCTTTCTCTGCCAATTCATGAGGTTGTCTGGCTGCCTTCTTTCTTGCTCTTTCTTCTGTATCAAGTCTTTTTCCAAACCTTTTCTGATGAAGTTCAATGTAATCGTGTTGTGGCATTATAAATCACAAGTTTTTATATTTAAAATTTATTAAAATTTTATCATTCATGTTTTTACATCTACTATTTTTAATCAATTCTAATAAACTTATAATAAGAAGATTAAAATAAACAATCTCTCTAAATCAATTACATCAATTCTAATCATATTTGTATCTCTCTTCAACCTATAATTTAGTAAAATCTTACAACATAAAAATAATAACTTTATTTATATTACTCATATATCTTAAACTTTTGGCAACGAAATCCCTACTTCAAAATAACATTCTTCTCCTGAAATAACCTCTGATACTATGTTAATATATACCTCTTCAAACTTTAGAGTTTATTAATCTCTTTTGAAAATTGAGTAATACTTATTCTTCTCAAGAATTTACCAGACAATTGTGAAATTTTAGATGTCTTCATATAGACGTAGAAACAACCATTTATGGCTTGTTGTTATAAGGTTTCATTTTCCAATAATCTTGAATCACATCCAATATCTTTCACATAAAGACTAACAAGTTATTAAGAGTTGTAATAAAAGAGATAAGCAGTAAATTTTACGCAAAATACAACTGCCTTGATGCTTAGCTTATATGACATACGATTTATTTCAATTTTGATAAACAACATTGATTCATTAACTTTAATACTCATTAATCATTAGGTATTTATTCAAAGCATTTGTAAACCACTCTTGATTCAATAAAACTCTTGATAGGTAATACGCTGCAAAATGTCCTACGCCAATAAACAATCCTGCAATGGCTGGGTATAAAATCCAATATTTTAAAAACATTAATTTTTATAATTATACTTTATTATCATAATTTTCTCAGTTTTCTTCTGGTGAGCAGTTTTCAACTTTTTGTATAGAAACTATTGAGATTTACATTGTGAAAGTTCACCAAAATAAGTTAGAAAATTTAATGAAATTTATTATAATTATTATCAACTGATATTTTGCATTCTACGCTTAGTTTTCAAACAGATATCAATGTTATAATAATTTAAAGTTTAAGAAATATAGAGAATTTTATGAGTACCGTCTGATAATTTTTATGTTGAAGATTCAAGAATATTGAAGGAACAAATTGCTTCCTAATGCTATTTTTTGTGCGAAAAAGAAATTTGGTGAAATTGATATGTTTTCCCGGTTTTTAGTTATGCATGTAAATAAATAGAATACAAATCCAAGTGTGTTAATATATATATAAAAAAGTTTGAAATTTACGAAAAATATGATTGCGAAATGCTTCTCTGTCTTAAAATAACAAAAATCTGAATAAAAACAACGTTTGATTGTAAATAACTAAATTAGTAACCAAGAACTTGAAAGCCTGTAACCGGTAAATTTATATTCTATCTCAATTAGATTCATACCTTATTATCTCCATTATGCGGGAATTCTCAATGTTCGACTGAGAATAGTTCCAGCATCAAACTATAAGAGAAAATGATAGAAGAACTTCTATTAGATGAGTAATTTGAATTGATCTTCTCCGATATAGACAATGCTGAGTACTACAGATAAACTCTTGTATTTAAAACTAGTATAACCTTAATAGATATTTTTAGTATAAGAATTAAAACAAGCCATACCAAGGATTAAACGATCATTTGACGGGTTGGTGATGCCTATAAATGAAATGCAAATTGATAAATAGCTCGATGAGTCATACAAACTAAGGATTATTGTAATTTGAATTAGTAAAATTAGACCAAAAAATTTATTCATCACAATTTTACAATTAACATAAGAGCACTGTGTAGATTTATAGAGAAAATCATTGAATTTGACCTAGCCTTCTAAAGCAGTAAAAAATAATAATTATAAATATAGGTGACATTATTTAATATCATGATGAATCAATTCACATCAATCCAATATCTTTAGTGAGATGCTCAGATTAAAAGTAGACTTGTTATGAGTCTCTTAAAGAATTGTTGTCGAGTCAATTTGATTTTTGTAGCAATATACAATTGATCCTTGAAATATTGAAAGATTTTGAAAATCAAGATTTAGCAAAACTCTCAAGATACCATGTCACGGATAAAGATATCTATAGGCTGAAGTTGTAGCTTACAAGTAAAATTTATAAAAGAACGTAAATATGAATCAATTATTATCAATTTTGAAATTTTGTTATTAATACATATAAAAATGATTTACTTTCTTTATGAATACTGATAATTGCTATTTAGATACCGAAATTTAAATCGGAATATTTAAATGATAATAAAGCATTTAGTCAATTAATATTTAATTTATGTAAGTAGGCAATAATGCAGAAGAAGAAAAAAAGAAAAAAGAGAATGAGGAGGAATCAAAAGGAGTTGTGACAATTAAACGGAGATTGATAGCTTCTTTTGATCTTTTCTAATTTATGCCTGTTCCCAAAACTGAATAGGTATCTTCTAGAAGAAGTTTATATGGAAGTCTTTTGATGATAGGATGTTTTTTAGCCTATTTTATTTATACTCTCGTCGGTACTTATAAAGATTGAGGTTTTAGCATTCATTACAAACAACAGTCCAACAGTAAATCAGTACGAAGAAATCTTGGACGCCGTAAATGTAACATTACCAGACATAGCTTTTGGATACTTTTTTGGAGATCCGTATATATTATTTTGAAATCTATGTTAGGTTTACAAAAACCATAAATGACCCTTCAATCTTCTATTTTGAGATGTTCTAAGTAACTAAATTCTAAGACGTCTCAAAAAAAGATGTAAAAACATAAATCCCGTTACAATCTTGCAATCCTGATTGGGTCCCAGCTTCTAATTTCACTATTCTTTGCCCAAAGTACATTTTATTATATACATGTTAGTGTGTCTGGAAATATGTCAGGAGCTCTATATCAGACTCCGGAGTTTACTTATCCAAGAGTTTAAGTCAATTACTGCAGTTAAGGAGGCAACACATCCTGTATAAGTTAGTAAGAAATTGCATAGATTGCTGCTGGGTATAGATTATCATTCTAATTTACAAAGTGGAAGAATTTTATTGTATGTTCGGGACAATTCTCCAAATTTCGATCTTACAACCGGACAATCTGTAGAGAGTGTGCCCTATTCTACTTATTAATACTTTCTAATGCCTGGATTATATCCTAGAACTGAAATTTTCTTCTAGCTTGAAAAGTACACAATTAAACCGGATTTCTTGAGAAGATGGCAAGATGATGTTAGAACTTTTTTGAGCACACAAAAAATTAACAGTTGGATTACTAATGTAAGTGTGTATAATACTTACAATGCGTATCAAATAGGATTTCGGACAGAATTGGTATCAAAAATTATTATAATTTTAGACATAATAAATCTCTGTTTTAACTTATTAAACATCCTTTGATATGATTTCGATAGTGGGTGCATTTTGGGGAGTTTTGTATTTAAATAATTTCTATATTAGATTCTCAACTTTTGCAGCATATTTTTTAGTTTATAATTAAAATACTTTTTATAGAGAGAATAAATAATGGGAAGATTTTGGTAAAAAGATAGGTGTCAGAAAAGCAGCCGATGTCTTTAATTTAACCGAAGAAGCTCCACATTCTAAAGTAAACGATTCTATTGTCTTTGAAATGACAGAAATTCATCAAGAGAATAACCATTCTTAAAATGAACAGAATGGAGTTTGATTTTTTTAATTGTTGAATAGATAACTAAACATCATCTTAAAATAAAATAATCCATTTAATAATGAATAAAATTTTCTAAATAATATAATTTTATCACAAATAATATAGATTTATTATTAAAATTTAATATCATTATTTTTTGCTATACATAATATAGAAAATAGGATGGGCAACCTAGGAGATCAAGAATAGTTTTAGATAATCAAGAATTGACTTATTTTACGATTATTATTCTTTGGGTATCTAGGTTTATTCCAAGATTGTTATTTTCTACTCATAAGTGCTTATCAAGGCTTAGGTATCTCTTTAGGCAGTTTCTGTTATCGATTTATATTCTTTTTCTTATTATTAAATTTATAAATCTCTATTCTCTAATTTAGTGGCTAATTTTTTGTATTCCTCTTTAAGTTTTGCATATTTCTTCTCCAATTCATCATATTTTTTCTCGTTTTGTTTCTTGGATCTGATTTAATCAGTCACCATTTCATTTAATTGTTGAATTTCTTCTGATTGATGTTAATCTTTTTTTTTTAAGTTAGTAATTTCCTAAATCTATTCATTTAATTATTGGACTAGTTGCAAATTTTAACTCTCCAATTATTGAACCTTCGAACAACTTTATTTCCATTATTCTTCTAGTTCTTCATACTTTTTTTCCAACTCTTGAAATTCCATTTGATTTTATAAAAATTAATATTATAAATATCTGACAAAAAATACTGATAAAGTGTAATAAATTAGTACAGATGTATCTAATTAAAGGTATATAATCTCAAATTTAATAAGTATTTTATTTTGACATAAATAATTAAATATTTACATATCATTTACTTTAAAAATGAATTCAAAACACCATTACAATACTCAAAAATTAACTTTAACTAAGCCTAATAAGAAATCTTTATTTGGTTCTGATGACGGAGAGAGCACCACACCACATTCCACCAATTCCACTAAACACAAATAGGAGTTTTAAACTGATGATTCTGATTGTGGTACTCCAAACACACCTTCGAACAAGTCGCCCTCAAAACCATAATAGTCCAAATTCAAGCCAAAACCTACCACCATCTAATAACTCTTTACAAGTACAGCTAGGAATGTTCTATCAAACAAGTAAGCACATTCTGATGCTGAATCAAAGCCTTAGAAATAACATGAAGTTTCCATCAAAAATCATACTTTTAGACATCTCATATTTGGCGAATCAGTATCAGAAACTAGTTTTCAAAAACATCTCTTACTAACTCAAAGAGGTCTAATTTATGCAACCAAATGTTTAAAAGGACCCAGCGATTAATTTATTAAATTACGTCAAGTAGAAGTCCCAAAAGAAGAAAATAAATCGAAAATTCTTCTTTTAGATTTAGATGAAACATTAATTCATTCTTGCAACAGTAAAGAGTAAGCTTAAGTTAACATTAATTAAATCAGTTTCAATGTAAGACCATATACAAATTATTTTATAAATAAATTATCGTAGATATATTCAATTTTCATCTTCACAGCTTCGTCATCCTCATATGCAAGTGCTATTGTGGATTATTTGGATCCAGATTAAACTAAAATTATTGGAATATTTTCTAGAAATCATTGTATGGAGACAAAAAATGGATTCTTTATTAAAGATTTACGAACTCTAAAAGATATAGATTTAAGTTCTACATTAATTGTGGACAATTTGGCTCATTCTTTTGGTTTGTAGATTGACAATGGAATACCAATATTGGAATGGAAATCTGATGAAAAAGATTAAGAACTTAAATACTTAACAGAATATCTCATAAAAGCCAGCCAAGTTGAAGATGTTAGACAATTTAATCGAGAAAACCTTCGTTTAAGAGAATTAATAAACTACTAATTATGAATAAATTTATGTTTGTTATTCAATTATGATTCATATTAAAAGTTAATACAGTGTTTGGATTGAATACCAGTTTTGCTTTTTTTTATTTTAAGATAGAAATCCAATACAAATATTGATTAAATTCTTCTTAACTAAGTTCTAGATTTTTTTGAATCAGTTCATATCCTTTAGTTTCAGCTTCCAATAATAATTTATTAGCTGTTGCTTAGGCTGCTTAAGTGATTGTAAAGGCATCTGCCTGGGCTTACGCATGAATGGCAAAGATCTCTTAATCATTTTCAGCCCTCATAACAAGTATGTCATTTAGAATCATTTGTGCCTTTTATTCAAATTATTTCATAGTTTTCTTTTAGACCTCGATTTAAGTTTGGACTATTGAATCTTCGTATTAATCGGGTAATTCAATGTCTAGAATTTGAAGTGATACACAATTGGCATGAGCCTTTTTCAGTTCTTCTTCCAATTATTTTTGCATAACTTCTGTTATGTTTCTCCTATTGGTCCAATATCTGGGAGCTTCAAATCTACCGGCTGCTTATAAAATGGTATCTCTTGCCATCCTAATAAATGTTGCTTCATAATTAAGTCCCCCCATAGCATAGAGTTAAGCGATTTCGTTTTTGATGAGTTGATATTGAAAAGACACATGCAAACTCAGGGTAAGACCTTCAGCAGTTCTGGTTTTGAGAGGTTGACTTTAGGCTCGTTTGTCATCTGAGAATTCTATGCTTTATTAGCTACCAGGAAAATTAAAAAAGGAGTTGAAAGGGCCCACCAAATATCTGCCTGGAGCATAAATTTGTTTATCGCATTGTTTGCTAATGGAATTGCACTTCAACCCCCAGTTTGTGATTTCTACAACATCCCATCCGATGATTAAAATAATCAAGAGGAAGGCAGCAAAACAAACAATGGAACCTAATATTATTTATTATTACATTATTTTATTTAATATATATTGTAGTTATTATTACTATTTAGTCAATCAAGTCTGTTCGAATATTTTTATCTAAAATATTCTCACGATGATTTATAAATTAGGAAATATTGGAATTAATTTATTACATCCCTATATAATTGATTTCATAAATTTCTTTGATAAATTAGAAATATTTCTTTTTTATATATAAATCTTATTTAATTATGAGCGAAAATCCATTTGAGGTGCTAAAGGAAGACATGGAGAATGAGGAAGTTTATTTAAAAGTCAATGCTATGCATAGAGTGAAAGTTGTTGCCACTTTATTGGGTAGTGATAAAATAAAGTCATAATTAATACCATATTTTGAAAGTAATAGCAATAATTTAAAGTAGCTCTATTAAAGAAAGAGGACGACGAAGTACTGTTTGCATTGGCTGAAGAATTGGGAAATATAGCGTAATTGAAATTTGATTATAATTAGTTAAATCATCCCGAATTAATCAATCTGCCTTTTGACACTCTTAGAATAATTGGCGGGGTTTGATGAAACCGTGGTAAGAGAACAAGCTGTAAGATCCATTACTATAGTATGTGGATTTTTGGCGGACAATGAAATAGCTAACACAATAGTGCCTATGGTAATTATTTCTTTTACAATTTTTATAGATTATTAGATTAGCTTCAAATGATAGTAATTTCACATGTCGAGTATCAGCAGTCAGCTTGATGTGTCCATTGTATGCCAGAGCAGGCAATCAGAAGGAGAAAATCAGACAGTAATTCAAATTTGAATATAAATTAGAAAGTTTACTGAGTTGTGCAGTGAAGAAACACCAATGGTGAGAAGGGCTGTAGCTACTAAAATTGGTGAAATCGCTTAGTTTATGGATAAGATCCATGTGATTCAGGATTTGATCCCTGTTTTAAAGCAACTTTGTCAAGATGAATAGGATTAAGTCAGATTATTATGCATGGAAAGTTTAATGAATATCGCAAAAATATTGAATAGTGGTGAGAATAAGACCAATATTCTACCTCTTATCATTTAATCAGCTGAAGATAAATCTTGGAGAGTGAGATTAGCATTGTCTAAAATATTCGCAGATGTAAAATAATTATAAATATCAAATTAGTTAGCTGAGGCTGTTGGCAAGGAAATTGCTGATTCTTCACTTATATAAATATTCTCTAATTTATTAAAAGATACAGAATGTGATGTCAGAGTCATTGCTGTCAAAAGTCTCGCAAGATTCATTAAATTTGTGTCCCCAGAAAAATTAAATTTAATTGTTCCACTTCTATAATTACTATCAAAAGATCCTTTTTCCTAAGTGAAATGTAATCAGTATAGTCATTTTTAGAGAATGCATGTGAAGTTATTGGTTAAATTGCTACACTTTTACCAAAGGAGTATAGTCAAAGCAAATTATAACAACAGTTGATTGATTTAATGGCTGATGACAATTAAGATGTAAGAAGAAATGCTGCCAAATCAGCAGGTCAATTTGCAGCTGCTATTGGTCCAGAAGCTTTGAATCAATTTGTTCCTTTTCTCAAAAAATGTATGGACGATCCTAAATGGAGAGTAAGAAAAGAAACTATGCAAACTATCATTCAATTAGCATTGTACTATTTCCATAATTTATAATTTAAGGACTGTCAAGAATCCAGATGTTTTCAACAAATAATTGGAATCTGTGTTTGTAATGTTTTTAAAAGATAGAGCAGCTGAAGTTAGATCCATGGGATTAAGCTAATTGCCTGCATTGATTGCTGCTTATAAATAGGAATGGGCTGTTGGCAACTTCTTATCCAAATGTGTTGAAACTCTATCCAAGGACGTTGGTTCATTGTATAGAATCAATGCACTTTATGCAATCTAATAAATTTCTTTTGCTGTTGATGGCCCTGTTGCTTAGGACAGATTATGGCCTATTGTTTAGAAGTGCTTAAAAGATACTGTTCCCAATATTAGATTTGTTAGCATTAGAGTTGCTAAATCTTTGTCGAAAAAAATTGATAACTAATAAACTTTGAATCAAATTAAATAGTATTTTCAAATTTAATTATTTCATAGAGCAATTAATGAATTAATAGATGATCCAGATAGAGATGTCAAATTTTATGCATAAGAAGCATTATAAAATTGAATGTCCAAAATAATATATATATAATTATATAATTATAACCAAATGCAGAAATTAAAAGAATAATGTTAAGAAGCCTTATAGTTCTCTTCAGATTGTAAAATTATGTATGTTATCATTTTAGTGTAATAACAACTCATCCAAATGAAAAAGGATCTTCTTGAGAAGACTTAACAAATTGTCAAATTGTAAACTTCAATTTCAATGATTGATTGCGAGGCTTCTGATATCCAAGACCTATTTTGGAATGTTCAAAAATAAACATTGCTTATAAAGTAAACTGTTAGAGAAGCAGAACAAAATCCAGACAACTAATAAATTATTCAAAAGCAATTTGAAGAGCTTCAAGAAAAAATTATAAATCTTGAAGAGCTAGTTTTCAATTACCTTTTCAATAATAAAATGAACCTGAAGAAGAACAATAAAAAAAAAAGTGTTTAGAATAAAGAAAACAACGAAGATAACTTCAATCAAAAAGAACTTCAAAATAAGAAGAAGAAATATGTCAGTACTATAAAAAAAACTTAAAATCCCTTTAATAGTAATTTCATCAATGAGGAATCGGATGAAGATGATAAAAAGCAATAAAAGAAATGTAGGAAGAGGTTAAGGAGTAGCATTGCAGACTAATCTAATAACCTCATAAATGATATGTTTAATTTTAATTGATTTTCCTATTACTATTCAATGAGTTGCTGATTGATTATTGGGGGCTACGAAGGGTCTTCTTTATTCTAAGAAATCATCAAATTCCCCATCTGCTCGTCTATAATTATTTGATTCAACAATTTACCTATTATTCAAATTCGGCCTTTGCTATGCTGCTCTTAATTGTCTCATGACATTCATCACTATTTCAGCTGTCCTTTCAATACTTAATTATTTTCCAGGACCCAATTTACTCTTCTCATCCTTTACTAATTCACTATTGTCCTTTTAAGATATATTTACCTAATGTGATCAATTACTTAATCTTCAATAGCCTTATCCCCATTCTTTCTTTACTCGTAGGCTTCTTATTGATTTGCCAAATACTGATTCCATATAGTGTATGTGAATAATTAATAAGGGTGTGAGTTATAAGACACTAGTTCGAAGTCTCTATCTATTTAATCAACCATTCTTCTTTCACCACCATGCTTAATTTATGTGACTTGACATTCAGCTATATGTGGAACAATGAAAAAAGTCCTCAAACCCATTTGAAATAATTCTTCTAATTCTCTATTTCCAAAGAAATACTATTTGCAATGTCTAGAGATCTTCCTATACGAGTGGTAAGCTATTAAATTTAACAAAATTGCAAACCTCTTAAAAATGAATTATGGTCATATCTGCATCTAATACCGATTGTAAATTCTGAGCTGGAAGGACGAGGAGCATTGAAATTTTTAGGATGCCAATTATTCTTCCATCCTGCTCTAGTCCAAAAGAATGATTTATTTCTAATTTTATAAACCATAGTTTATTAATAATAATATAATCAATTGAATTTATCAATACCAAGAGTATAGATTCTAGACATTCAATTAAACTCTTACATTTTCTATTTTATTCTTTTAAAAGGTTAATAAAGTATAACTCACTGAAGTTTTTCAACAAGAATCGTAATAACACTGATGTTAAATACTCTAAAGATAATAGCTATTAAACGTTAAACTGAAAAATAAGTTGATTATCAAGATACCAACAGTAAAATATAAGATCTCTTAATAATGTATTTTGAATTTTTTAGAATTTTATCATATAATTTTGATTAAACTTATCTCATAATCCAGACAGATATATTTTTGAGATTATTGATCCTGTATGATTTCATTTGAATTTTTTTTATAAGTTAAACACATTAGTTATTGTAAACAAAGTATCTCTTGCCCCTCCTGAGATATGTATGAACTCAAGTGAATATCTTATCAAAAACTAGTCAAATAAATGTAATGGATAAATCATAGAATCAGTTGGATTATATTTGAACAATCTTGTATTTGCAAGAGAATGAGGTATTTTTGATTTAAAGCTCTATATAAATGTTTATCTTGGCATCGTTAACGAAAATAAGAATTGCTAAGGTACTTTAATGGATTTTGCTAAATATGATGAATCTCTTAATGAACAAAATTTGCCAATTTAGTGAACCTGAAATGGTCTAAGGCCTTATTCATTTTACAGATATATTTAGAGGGCAAGAAAATTTCTTTTCTCGGAATACTATACAGAAATTACAAAATTATAGGAGAGGCTTAAAAATAAAGCTAAATTGTAAATCTATATGAAAACAGAAACTAAACAGCCTATTTCAATCATATTGATGATAAATCACTTTTCTTTTTAAATTAGCAAACATCACCTCTTAAAAAATTTACTTTTCAAGGATAGAAAGAAAATGTATATTATTTGGGATGGCTTTTATCGACCTAGATTGTATTTCGTTGCTAGTTGTTGATTATAAGATGATTTCGATTTAATATTTAAGATGGATGGTTTTATTAGGTTTAAGTCAGTGTTTATTCGGATTTGGTAGGATTCAAAAATTCAAGAAAACGAATGTCATTATCAAAGCAGATGTGAAAACTTTAGCAATTTAGTCCACTTAAATAGTAAAATATCAGATGGAATTAGAGACGAAAAACACTTTATTCAATTAAGAAATAAAAGAAAATATTATCTACTAAATTATTATCAATTACAAAATTAATTATCAATACCTAATAGGGTTTGTTTCTGATGTTACTCTTCAAAATGATATGATTGAGAGATTGTAGAAAAGATTGTGAATATAATAATTTATTTGATCAATTATTTATTAGTGATGTAGATAAAACGAGGTTCTGACAACTTGAATAAAATAAACAGCTATCATGGCGAGAATGAAGATGAAGAAGATTGCTAATACTAATTCTTTGTGATTTCGGAATTCCCTGGTTTTGAGGCTGATGAAAATTTTAATCTTATGTAAAATTAGGACGATTAAGACTTTTTTTTATTGAATGATTCGAACCTAATTAATTAGGATATAGGCAGAAAAATTAATTAAGATGACTATCCTTTAAAGATTAATGAATTTTCTCAACAAAAAATACATAAGAATTTTGATCTCTATAGGCATCCCAAAATATATAATGCCTTCAAAAATGCCCCAAAAATCAAAAGTAAAATTTGGAAATAGAAAATATCTCGTAGAACTAAAATGAAGACAGAATGAACTTTGAATTACAAATATTTTGTATAATTACTTTTTATTTAAATATCTTACTTAATATATAATTTATATTTTTTTTCATCTTTTAAGAAGATTTTTTGATTAAATAGATAGCAATTGATAGGCTATCAAGGAATGGATCCAATCATGAAAAAGGAGGGTTCAAAATTAAAATATATGATATCCATCATTATATATATATATATAAAATTATGAATTATATTGATTAAGGCTCTGCTCTTTCAAGAAAGGTTCCCAATCGAAAATTGTCTAAGAAGAATTCTTTGTTTTATCAAGTATTGAAGTTATGTGAACAATTCTAGCAATCGGTTTTTGAGAATGAGGAATTTATGTAAAAGTATGAAAAGAATGTGGATCAATTAATCACAGTGATTGAAGAGCCAGAATTGAAAGAAGTGATCCAAAATAGAAATGAGAGGTTTTTTTAGGTTTTGGAGCAAATAATCAAGGTGGAATCATCAATTAAGGAGTTTGCTAAAGGGTAATCCAAGATGTTAATTTAGGTATTAAAAGTATGGATTTATTGTATCTGATACAGGAATAACTTATAGAGAATGGGCACCAAATGCAAAAGAATTAAAATTGAATGAATTTGGCTGCACTACTGACAATGGAGGAAATTGGGAAGTATTTATACCAAAGGATGATGATGATAATCATTAAATCTAACATGGAAGCACTCTTATCACGTACTGTGACTAACTCGAAAGAGCTTCAGTATGGAGTAGTGTAAAGAAGGGAGAGTAAGCAATATTTTGGAATCCAGACAACAAGTACGAATTTCAATAATAACAATTGCAACAAAAGCAGCAAAGCAAAGGGTTAAAGGTCATCAAGTAGAAGGCAACAGAATTATAAGGAGTGAATGGATACAATACAATAATGATTACACAATAATTACTAATGCAAGTGGATGTAAATTAAATAACACCAGACGACTTGAAAAGAAACATAGATACTCTTCATCAAAAGGGTTTTTCTGTAATAATGGAGATTGACCATGATTTGATAGGAAAACACTTGAATAATTGGGATGGATCTGGATATCAATACTTAAGAGAGGGAGTAGAACAGTTGGATTATGGAAAATGGGAAGTGTTGAGATTATTGTTGTCAAACATATCATTTTGGATCACTGAATATCAAATAGACGGATTTAAATTTACTAATATAGAAATATAGGATGATATTGACGCAACAGTATACTTGATGCTTGCTAATGATCTGATTCACGACTTGTTACCCTATGGCATTAGCATCATCTAAGAGTTGGATTATCCAGTTCTCTGTAGAACAATTAAAGAGGGAGGCTTGGGTTTTGATTTTCGACTATCTAAGTTACATCATAAATAATACAAACCTAAGACACTTTTTGAGAATACTGGAATGTATACTTAAGCTTAAATCTTGAATGCTCTTGTCATTGGTTCAGTAATAATTTCATTAATTGTAGGGATTGATATAAGAGATTGCAGATGATAAATTTGTATAATTTGAACAATAATTTGGGTGGTTGCATGAGGATTTTGCAGAAGTCAATGAAGTAGATTCTGTGTTGCAAATTAAAAGGGGGAACTTTACATTTTTGATAAATCATACGAATGAAGTAAAATTATTTATATAAGATAGAACAGAGAAATTGTATTGAATTTAAAGATAAACAAGATCTTAAATAAGGAAGATCAAAAGTGGGAATAGTTGGATGAAAATACAATAAAATTAACAATTGAGTCAGAATAGGGATTGATAATTGAGTGATAACTGAAAACTAATCTGAATTTACAGAATTTATAACAAGTATATATTTTTATTGTTATTAATAATGTAATTTCATTTTTATAAATTAATGAATTAATCTAATAATGAAGTTGCTATTATCAAATAATTGAATTATTAATAGTAATATTCGCTTGAGGATGCAGATTTTTTTAATTTATTTGGATATAGAAATATAGTAGTTACACTCTTTTGATGTTGCAATATTTCTGAATTCTTTCTTTAGGAAGATGATGGCAATGAATATCAATAATATCATAATATTCAAGATGAAAAGGTAAAATTAAGTTGACTCATATCAAAAGCTTGATAGATCTATTCCATCCTCAATTATTATAATAAAAAATGAAGCATTCTTATTGCTCTCGTAGATAATGGTAACGCATATTTATAAGTCAAAATTGATTTAGCCAAAACTCATCAGGAGAGACTTAGTAATTCCTTATGTATTTCTGCTCTTTTACTCCTATCATTCATTGATATATATTCAAATAGGAATAAATAAAATCTATGCTTAAGATATATACAATAGCTATTTTTATTGTTACTCATTTATGGTTACACCTGATTCATTGATATTTACATAAGACTGCAATGATTTGAGAGTGCATTTGAAGTGTATTTGCATTAATATTATTGTCTTTTGGATTATGTTTCTCATTTTATTCAACCATCCTTTTTCTAGGCTGCTAAAACGATTATTATTGATCTTATTATTGTACTACACTAAAGGAACTGATTTTTGCCTTTATGCTTTATTCAAAAATAGTATTTTGGCTCCCTTTCGACTCATTACTGAGAAGATTAAAATGGATATGTGATTCATGAATATTAGACCCATTTGAAGGGTAATATTTATCATCTTAATTATATTTACTATCTACTACTTTGTTTTGAACTGTATGATTGTTATTAATTTATATATAAGAATGGAATTTAGCCAAAAGGTTAGAAAACTCAGAAATATGATGGTATGTTTCAATATGTTTATATTTAACTTATATTAGTAAAATATACATAGAAATATCACATGAAATAAGGTTGTCCTTGAATAAACTATAAGTCTACTGCTTTTCTGCTTTTGTTGTACTTTCCAAAGTATTCAAGAATAAGAAATGAAAACCTAATGATATTACCATGTTTGGCAGTTCTTAAGAAATCCTTAGTCATGCCTGCTTTAGTGAGATCATCACAATGAACAAACAAATCACTTCCATCCATGTCCATAATTATGAAGCCATAAGATCTTGCTTCGTCATAAAACTTTAAGGTTCCAAAATATCTTATCTACACATGATATTAATACATTTACATTCGACAATATGTTAGTACCTTCTTGCAAATTTAAATTGAGTGATTGTAAAAGGTCATTCTAAGGATTTGGGGAATTAATCAATGAGTTGCATTCCTTAAGAAGAGAGTCACTCTCTTGATTTATTTCATCCAACAATTGCATTTGTAAACTGGTGCGAGATATATTGGAGGGTGATAATGGCACATTTTTAATGTTCAATTTATTGGTTCGATTGTCCTTTTGATCAGAGAAGTACTTAAAAGCATCTGAGTAAGATCTTTTATGTCTTCTGATAGGTAACCCTATAATTTCATTGATAACATCCATTAAAATATCCTTGATAAGTTTATGCTTTTCAGATGTGCCCTTTTTGCCCACCACATAAAAGTAATTTAAATATCGAGCCAAATATATGCGTTTCTTGTATCCAAAATTAATCACTTGACATTTCAAATCTTCAATTTCACAAATATCATAAATAATGATTTTTCTCTCCAATTGTTAACTTATTATGTTGAGATCATCGCCTTTACAAATTTCAGTCAATACTTTCCAATAAAACCATGTGCCGTAAAGTGAATATGAAATTGCTTTCATGAGATCCTAACTTTTTGATTAAGCACTATACCATAGCTGATGTGAGTATTTCCTTATCGTCCTAAATTAATAGTTGTCTGAATGACTCTATCATTCGAGCACTTTCGAAATCAGAATTAAACTTATTCAGAGATGGAGTTAATTGTAAATCATACAATTTACTAGGGAACATTAATTATTTTATGAATTAAATTAATTCTTTAAATAAAATAGTAATAATATAATTCAATTAACAAAATTGCTCTTTTTCTTGTTTTTATTATTGTTGTTATTGCTTTAGCTCTTAATTATGTGATGACATTAATCATCATTATTCGTTGAATACCCATTCACCAAAATTGGAGTCAGAGTAGTAATATCTTTGGATATCTTTCTAGTTTTGAACATCAATCTACTGGTGTCTGATGTTTCTAGAGTGATATTACATTTTTATGATAACCGAGCACAATCCAATAAATAGGATTAATATGCCTATTATACAATATCGAGTGAACACATTCAATTAATAGATCTATCTCTCAAGATTAATATTGATATTTTGTTATTGAGAGAATTCGAATAACAATTACTATTAGATGTCATCATTTTATTTCTAATTTTACATTTCCTTCAATTTATTATTATTAATTGATTATAATTACTCCTTCAATAATTGAAGATTATGAGATAGTATAACTATATTTTAAGCGGTGACTTTAAATAGGGATTAATTGGACTCGAAAGGAATCACATCTAAAAATTCATTTTGACTCTTGATTTCATCAATATTTGACTATTGCACATCAAATAAATAATTGAAATAACTGCATGTAGAATTATTAGAATTCGCATAATTAGTTATTATCTCATTGCATGGCATTTTAATTCGTTATGGTTTTTTCACTTCCTCTCTTATGGGTTCTATTTTAGGCAATTACAACTTATATCTTTTGTGAGATTGAATTAGATCTCCAATAACTGTTTATCCAAAAACTCTAAAACATTTATAATTCTTAAACCTTATTTATGTTAATGTGCAATGATATTCTGCTTGATGGAAGTCAATGATCTCAATTTTCAAATATCTGAGGAAATGAGATTCAAATTCAAAGTTTTACCATTCATTTATATCCTCTGATTCGAATGCTTACAAAAAATCCCACGATTCAGTAGGATACACAACACTCCCAAAAACCTTAAAAAATAGTTATTCTAAAATGATACCCTGAAATTTTTCATTGTCGAGGAATAAAACTCTTTATTAATAAAGTAGATTGATTCCAATTGGATCTCTTCTTTTAAACAAATTATAATGTACAGTTTTTATTGATTGCACTCTGTAATCATATAACTAAATTCAAATTAGAACAATGTACGTTTCTTGATTATCCACCAAAATATTGTCTACACCGACTAATTATTTGCTTTTTGTAAGAATGGTGGCCCCACCAAAATAATTGGCAAAGTTTATTTGAGATGGAATACTTTTCACTTAAACTCTAGATTCCCTTGTAATCCTATTAAAAAGCAAGACTGATAATTTTTAAAGTGAGGACACTGTTTCCTCCAATGTATTATAAGCTGCTTAAAGATTAGAGTCAATCATTTTCACTGCATAGAAGAGAATCAAATCATGGATCTATCTACCATTAATAAATTCTGCCAATTGTTTATTCTTTTCTGCTGTATCCTCTATATGATCTATGTGTGAAAGCTTTTGTATATCTTCCCTTTTGAAGTATACAAAAACCAAAACTATAAAGAAAGCATAGTAGTATTTCATTAATTAAATTAGTTAAATTTAGTGAACTTCACAAAACTTATTATTTTAATCAAAATTTAGTTTCAATTACACTATATATATAAATACAATCATTATCCTAAATCATAAATTTAACAAAGCCATAAACTCTTTTAAAGATATTTATCCATTTCCATCCTCATCAAACAAATTAAAAAGGTCCCAAATATCACATTTGTTCAATTTATCTAATTTGCTTAGTAAATACTCGAAATCCTTGAAATTGATGTATCCCTTCCTTTCCTTGTCCACCTAAGAAAACAATGTACTTACAGACACTGACTTTTTCATCAGTGTTTCACGAATTCTATTCAAAATGATTTTTAATTTTTGGTAATTCTTACTTTAGAGAACAAATTGTAATTCTATCTCCAACCTAATTTTACCATCATTATCTTGATCATAATTTTTGAATATCTCTACAATGTTTTCCTAGGATAATTTTGGAGCAATCTTCTTAATAAGGAATTCGAACTCCTTTACATCAAGGTACCCATTTTTATCCTAATCCAACTGTTCGAATAGTTATCGCAAAGGTATTTTATATATTTTGATAATGGCCTACAATTCGTATATGATTTAAACGGCTATGGACTTTAGAGGTGCAAAATCGTATTCACTGAATAAATATTCAAATTCTTATGCACTAATCAAACCGTCCTTTGAATAATCAAATTTTTCAAATAACTTCCTACCAACCTCTTCGTTCTCAGAATTCATAATCTTCCTCAACATATTCTAAAATTCCTATTAATTAATATGAGTCTTGGCACATTATTTCATCAAGTCCTTCGCTTAGATATTATGCTCAGAGCATACGAATTATATGTTGTATAAATATTCTCTTTCTAAAATTGTAAAATCCAATCTTTCTTAAGTAGCTTATCTTTTCAATCTCCCTTAATTTTATAACAAGGGATGCTTTAATAATTCAGACCAACTCATCCTATGAGATTCTTCAATCCTTAAGCATCTTTTGATGAAATCCTTGATTTGAGGTGAAACCTAAATTTCATAAGGGAATTATAAGGGCTTAGTTTTGATTTCAATTAAATAAGTATCAAAACTCCTACACAACCAGGGAGTTCTCCCAAAGAGGAGTTCATACAAGACTAATCCCAAGGACCAAATGTCGCATTTATTTGTGTACTCTTTGTATTCTAAAACTTGTGGTGACATGTACAAAGGAGTGCCAACCTGGGCTAGAGTAAGCATAAATGAAAGTAGTACATCTTAAGACCTATTTAGGAGGTATTTTTGCAGCTAAGCCAAAGTCAGCAACTTTATAGGTATTTTACTTAAGTAGAATATTATCAGGCTGAATTTATGTTGAAATGATACTTTGATATCACGATGCATATAATTTTTATGCAATAATTCGGTTAATCCTTAAATGGTTTGAGAGATGATAGCAACAGCTGCAGACTCTTGAAATCTTTAGTTTGGTTGATGAGACAAAAGGCGACGTAGATCACCTCCTTCGCAATATTCAATAATTAAAAACAGTTCATTGTCTTGTTTATCGCATAATGCCTATAATTAGTGATCAGCTTTTACATCTAAAATTCTGACAACATTGGGATTTTGGAGTTCCATCATGAGGACGATTTCATTTTTGAGTGCTTGTCTATAGGCTGGATTGTTGTAAAGTTTGAGATTGAGAATCTTGATGGCTACATAGGAATTCCCTTAGGTTCCTCGATAGACACTAATGGTCTTAAGAATTATAACCTACCGAAAGATCCCTCACCAAGAAGATCTCTGCTGTAGTTAAAGGTATATCGATCAAATTGACAATTTTGATAGGGATCAACATATTTTTGAGTGTACCTGATGATGTTTTGCAGGGTCCTGTCCATTAAAAATTTGTGAGGAATAGTGTTGTTTGAATTTTATTATTATATTATTTTATAAATATATAACAAATTCAAAATGAAATGCGATTTTTGTGAAGAGAGTACCCCTTTAATTGGTAATAATGCATGTGTAATAGAGGCAGATATCATGCGTCATTCTTTGTTCTTGAAATACTCGCAATCATAGAATTACCATTACACGAAGGGCATTACGGAGATTCTACACAATTACCGTACAGCAAACAATATACTTTACAAGGATGTGATCACGTATGACTCACCTGAGGAATTACTGTGTAAAATATATAAATGTGACGCAATGTATGAAAAACTGCAAATGTTGGGTGAGTACTACAAGGTACTGTTTCATTGTGATTGGCTAGTTCCATAATGATATCCCTCGGTTATTCATGCTTCCAGCCATAATTCCGTTGAACTACTACCACGACAAGAAGAGGAGATTGGAGTACTTTCGCATTGCCAAGTTGATAGCTCAGGAGAACAAGAACAATCCAGACAAACCTCCGAAAGGGATAGTGGGAGATTCGCCAATGCCGTAATCCAGCCAGTAGATGACTGCTCAAGATCCGAGCTCCTCTGACGAAGTAAGACAGAACACCCTGAACTTAGCCGATGTCTAAATGTGAGAAGATCCTTGAAGGTATCAGCATCATCGAGCCTAAACCGCAATTTGTGAACTTCAAGTAATAGCTGCAGCAATATAAACTTATGCAATCTACCAATCCCAACTTCAAATATGAAAACTACAAGCCTCCTTATAAAGAATAGTAGAATTTACAAAAGAAACCAATGAGATAGCATCGCAAATCAAGTATAACAAGTATACTTAATATGCTCAAGACATCTATTCCAAAAGGAGTTGCAAAAAAGAAAAATCAATCTTAAAAATCTGATTAGTTGCATATTGTAATCTGTTCAGTTTTATTAATTTAGACTCCTCGAGAAGTAGAATATAAATGTCCAAGCAATCATACATTATTACCAAATCAATAAAGAATTGCTACTCTTCTCAAATCACCCAAATGCACTACTCCAAGAGCTCCTTAATAAAGTCCCCATCTTCCAAAAAAAGTGTAATAATTAGAATTAAAAGTCATGTCTGATTTGCAAACTCTTTTAGCCAAAAAACTAATCAGAGATTCGAAACAGTGTTGCACTGTGCATTTTGACAGTCTGTCTCTTGCGTAAGATCCTCGCAGTCTTACTTAGAGATACGAAATTACAAATCGTCTCAAGGGACAGTCATCTAGGAAGAAATTAAACATCAAAGAATTGAATTAGTTTAGGAGAGTTAAAATTCAAGAACCTCTGTCTAATAGGGAAGTGAGTAGGAAGATAAATACAAAATCAAAATCGAATGATAAACCATTATAAATTAATACGAGTGGAGAGCAAAAACTTGTATATTATTAATAAACTCATTCTGCGAGATAAGTGACTAATTCATAGCAATCAACGATGCTTAAATAGAGCAGTGGATAATCGTCTTCTCAGCAAATGCATCATCAGAAATCTAATACGGCTAAGACTATTGGAAAATCCATGAAGTAGACCAACACTTTCGATTCTCAACTTTACAAGGTAGCACTTAATTTGGCAGTCAAATCAGTTAGGAGCAGGAAATAGTGATGGAACAAAATATTTATATGTGTGTTACTTAGATTAATTTAAATCTTAGATATTTAATTAAAATGGAATCACGATCCTACAATTTCTCCACTGCCAAAAAGAGATCAACTCAAATGGAAAGCAAAGTCATTTTGTAATATACTCATCCTATTTCATCGAATAGTTTCCCAAGAGAAGATGAAAATGCCCCAAGAACAATTATTTTGAAGTAAGAATGCCCAGGAGAGCTAGCTGCATTTAAAGAAGTAAAAAGTAATCCAAATATGATTAGTGTGTTGTGAGAACTAAGGATGAATCAAAATGTATGCAATTCAAGGATGGTACCCATTGAAATTAATAAATAGCATTATTGGAATGCGGTAAACCAGCTTTTAGAAAGGCCAACACTACTCCAGATTATCAATTCTGAGCAGTATTAAAGAGCATAACATAAATATAATTTTAATCACAATATCTTACAATACTCCCCTTTAATCTTAATTTTATTGATTTTATATTGATTAATCAATGTTAACCAATTCCTACGCCCAATCTATGTACATAAACCCACAGCAGCAAGTAGCCCCCCTGCCCTTCGGATACACTACCAACACACCCAGTATCTTGCTGATATTTATTCTTAGCCAACCCCGTATATCAACCCTAACCACCAATCGAAACAGAATATTAAAGTAGCTCTATACTCTATTCTTTTAGTGTAGGTGTAACCTGAACCACATAGGGAGCAGATAATTGTGCAATAGCCGATGCCAAACAAAACTATAACTTTAGCTAAACCTAAGAAATATTCATATGTAATCGTTAAATTTGAATTTGTAGTTGATAGATTGGTTACTCTACATATTACCAATAGCATTCTTAATTATAATTCTACTCATTATGGCATTGCTCTTTGCTTCCAAAGTGAAACACTTCAATCCAGAAGGTGCACACAACACCCTCGAAACTTTGAAAAATAACATGCAATTGGCCCCAATAGAAGACATAGTTGTTGCAACCACCTCCTCCTCTGCATCTGCATCAACTCTCAACATGATATCCTACTTCACACATGATGCAGTGGAATGTCCAGATGGTTATGGACGAACTCATCTGGGTTAATGGGATGGAGTTTCATCTGGATGCATATGTGAGAATGGAAACATTAGTCATTCTCTCACTTGTTTCTATAAATCCAATTGTAAACGAGTGAAATCTCACGATCCTGAAATATTTACAACATGGCAATAAAAATAATATTGTACTAAATTATATGCCGAGTGGAAAACATTGGAAGGTGCCGCTTGTGAGACATCTTACAAATAGTGTGGGAATGTTTGTGTTCCATAATCCAAAAACTGTCCACTCTCAGGGTTACTCAAAGACAACTCAAGACAGAATGATAGAAATGCAATTAAAATTGGAACAGATAATTACATTAAACAATTTGAGAACTCCTCTCCAATTGTAAGTCTTGAAGTTGTACCAGGAATTGGAGAAACTGATTCATCTCCATGTTACAATCACAATTTGAATCCAAAATTCTAATCAGCTAAATATTACCCTCTAGCCAAAAGACCTGAAATTGGATGTGATAATTATAAAGATTTGCAATCACATAGAGTCACCTTGAATACTTTCTCTGCTCATCAAACTTATTAACAAAATGGCCTGACTGATGTACTATCACAATTGCCTTTCTATCAAAATTACGAAGACAACTCAGATACGTATGCATTAGAAGCCATCAAGAAAATTCAAATCAATACCAATGAAGTTTGTTAGAAGCTATCGCCTAAAGATATCGACCAAATCTCTAAGAGTGGACAAAGAGTCTATAAATCAGAAAGAGCCATGTCTTTAATTATTATTATAAGTGCAGGAATTGTTCTTTTCCTAGTCCCCATTTTGTATTTGATGAAAAACAGAGTATGGCTAATTTGAATTATTTTAGATTTTCTAATGGATTGATATGACAGATTTCCATTAACCCAAATTCTTATGTGGCATTGCATTGATCATCGCCATTTTATGCATTGGATTAGGAGCTGTCTATTTAAATGAAGTGGATGGAAATGTAATTTTTACAATCCTATTTAGAATGGTCTTAAAGAACATAATGTATAATTCTCTAAATATCTTGAAAAAAACTGTTTCCCTGACGAAGGCTTGAAATTGGTATCCTTATCATATTATCATACTTAGGCTATTTCTCAAGTGAATGATTTCTCCAAAAATACCTACAACAACACTTATTCCTTTGTTATTGCAGCCTTTTATGCCAGTATCGTCTTTATTGTACTTCTAATTATTTTGGTCGCTTACTAATACTATACTCACAAATCGTTGTTTGACAATCCTTGGACTCCCAGATAACAGGAGTATTCAGAGTTTCATTGATACATATTATATAATATTTATTATTTAAAATAGTACACATCATTACTTAAATGTTATAATCACAACATATAATAAATAGCAAATTATTGTGAGAACTACTAATAAGATGAATCCATATAGAATGAATTTTCGTTTGTTTCTTCTTTCGATTCTCTTCTCATCCTGTGGTTCATCTTATATTTCAATTGTAGTAAACCTTTCATTTGTTTAACAAGAAGACCAATATATTTTATCATTCTAACCAAGTCCCTTCTCAAAGGTTTACAAAGAATTTATTAGATCATTAAAGTAGATTTTCATAGACTTGTTTGTCGAAATATGAACAAACAATCTAGTATCAAAAGATCCTATTCTTAGTTCTTTTGTAATCGTTTATAATTCTTACTTTAAATCTTGACTTTAAGTATCTATTATGCTTAAACTACACGGAAATTAGTTAACCAACTGTCTAAGTTCTTTGTTATTTGGTTTGCGGTCGTCATTTTTTAGTATTATAAAGTAAGTTTTTAGATTTAAATTAGTACACTCTTATAGTATTTATTTAACATTCTCTATTTTTTAAGAAGAGTTGTCTTAGTATTCACTTAAAAATATTAGTGAAGCTATTTAATAGCTAGAATTTTCCTTGATTGTCATGTTTCTCATTGTTTCATAGAAATGATAAATTTAGTCTTTCAAGGCAAAGAGAGACCTAGTATTTTGCTCAATGGATTTTTTTAAATCACTCAATATATCACTTTTTCTAAGGCTAATAGGACTCAATGTGTCATTAGTTTATTAATCAGAAGTCACTGATCCTAATTTGCAAGTGAGGTCATCAATTGAATCCATATAAATTTATCTAATAATAATAATATTTTAATTTAATTAAAATTTTAGTTTTCAAGATGATACATTATATTATTTATATATATATATAGAATTTTTAGCATACTCCTAAAATTTCTTAAATCCTGAATACAAATAGATCGCTTATAATCTCTATTTATATCTATTTGATTAAATCATAATACTTAAATTATATTCCTTTTAATATCAGCCATAGATGAATTTTATTCAAAATATAAATTGATTTCTATATTGATTAACTTGTAGATAATGTTGGTAGAACAAATGGGAATGGCACTTGAATCTATGTCATAATTAACTTTGGAGCTGTTCTAGGAGTAACTATATATGATAGGTTGTATTCCCATAACATAAAAACTCTGATTTAATAGTAACTATCAATATTTATTAAAATTCTCAATTAATTTAGTAAACTCAATAATATTTTCATCAGTCCTTTAGCTCATCATCCTGTATAATGCTTTGATTTTTCAGAATGGTATTTCCTACATTGGATTCTGACTTTAATTCTTAAGCAAGATAAACTAATAGTAGTAATTTATTTCCTATAAATTCTTAGGTTATCACAGCTGATTTATGAAGTGAAAACGCGAGTACATAGAAATTATTGTTTTTTAAAAAGGCATTGATAGATGATTAGATTATATATTATACATATTTTGATTTCTCCAGTTTTATTTCACAAAAATATTTTCTATTCTTAATTATAAATAAAATAATAAGTAAAATAAAATCTACTGTTTTGATTCACTTTCTTTGACATGTCACACCTTAGTTGTGCTATTAGTCTGTTTTACTGAATCTCTGATTTCTAATTAAAATTATCATATTTGAAATACTTAATCCTACATTGCTTTGATTATGAAAAAAACTTAATACGATTGCACTACATTATTAATTTTTTTATAATTTGTTACATTAAAACATATTGTATAATCATTCAGTTCATTTGTTACATCATATTAACTAACAACAAAACCCAGTTTCTTTTTCAACTTATTAAGAATAGCTGCTCTATTCTAAAGTTAAGAAACCAGGATTATTCGTTGTTTAAATAGGTTAAATATGTAAAGAATAGCTTACTTATATAGTTTCAACTATTTCTGATTGTCTCTTCTCCTTCACACTCTTTAGATGCTCTTGCCTCTCAATATACTCTGTTGTCTGCAGAAACTCAGATACAGGCTTACGCAATTAAGGCATCATATTTGGAGATATGGGAGCACTGATTGAATATAATGTTTATCGATCATTACTTATCACATTCTAAATGGAATTAATAAGAACCCTTTTGAAAGCTTAGTTTTAATAATCCTTAATTTCTAAATAATGAACATTTTCTGGAAGTGATTCATCGATGAAATCATCAACGCACGCAATAGTTTTCCTTATTTCTTTTAGGGACTATTCATTTTAAGTCTCCTCTAAGTTTGGAGACGATTTGATCATCTTATTCCTAATGAATTTGATGATCTCATTGTAAGAACCACACTGTCTTAATTTACCGCTCTCCGATCCCAAGAATATATATTAAGCACTTTGTTTCTAGGAACTTAGTTGAAACCAAACATGCAAAGCATTCTACAAACTTGTGTTTTAGTCCAAGCTGAACATGATAACATAAATATCACTCTGAGGTATAAATGGCATAGATTTCCGTCTTCCTTATTAATATAAACATACTATTATTCATTTGAATCTAAGGAGACAACCCAGTAATGGATTGTTTAATATTAGCAATCCCCTATCCATATATAGGATATAAAAAAATCAATTGACGCAATATCTCTGTCATTAACCTTAGTTTCAACCTCCAGCATTTTTTCAATCAATTAATGTTTACCAACTCCTTTGTCTCCAACTACAGCAACTCAAGTTATGAAAATTATTTAGTACTTTATTGCTTTTTATTTTGATGTCGAAATGATAGGATGCATATCCATTCTATGTAGATTAAAATAATATTAAATATAAATTTACATTATTCAATCTGACTAAAAGATAAAAAATTTAAGATTCTATTATTCTATTCTCATAAAAGCACTATTTCATAATTTATACTTTTCTATTATAATATTTATTTTTGACTTCTTTTATATAATTAAAAGTGGTTATGCATAAATCATATACTATAATCTCTTTCAAAATATGAAATTACTTCTAATTGTCCAAATCACCTTATTAATCATATTTTTACTAGCTTATTAAATCCATCCAAAATAAGTGTAGTTATTTAATAAAAAAAGTGTGAACTAAAAAAATTCATACTATTTTGGTATACTTACCTTAGATCATTGTATAAATCTTACTTATTATTTAAATCCAAGTTTAATTATAGATTGTTAATTTATAAGTAATCCTATTGATAAATATAAAATAAGGTGACCAAATTTCTGTTAAAATCACTCTCATAATTTCTTATGGATTTAAAATTGACTTCATTTATAAATTCTTTTGCTTTGTCATTTAAATCTTATTTTACAATAGGGATCAGCATCTTGTTTATTGAGTTTTTTTTTTAAATTACTCTAACTTATTTGATTAACAGCCATCATATTCCTCAAGGCTGTTAATATTTTGGTTAATTTACCTTAGATCCAAAAGGAATGACTTTTAATCCTTAATATAATAAACCTTTCTAATTGAAAATCTGTATTATCAATAGGATATTAAATATTAAACTAATAATGAAGTACTTTTAATAAATACTGCTAGAATTCTGTATTGTATTCTGTAATTACTAAATTCAATTCAAACGAGTTATTTGGCACAATAACTAAAAATCTATATCTACTAAATCCAATATCATAATTGCCTCAGTTCGTAAGTTGCTGTTCTCATTCATATTGAATATTCTGACATTATGAATTATTTTATGCTTTTTATAGACTTCCGTATAAGTGAATAGTTTAGATTAAAGATAAATATAATTTATGGTAAATAATTAATTCATCCTATTCTAGATGATTGTTAGATCTTAAATATTATATACATAGTAATGAAACTTTCTGACTCCCATTGTAGAAATATTATTATCTTTCAAATAGGATTATTTTAATAAAACTAAATCTACTTATATTAAATTTCAGAAAGAATTATAGAGACGCAAGTATTTATCAATATCTGGCTACTATTTTATTAAGACATTGGTCTCTAGCCAATTCTAATGTAAATTAACTAATTAGATATCTCTATATTAAGATTTTGTTATAAATATCAAATAGAATTTTTAAATATTATAATATATAAATATCAAATAATTTTATTTGCAGATAGAAATACTATGTTTTAAATAGAATAATATATACTAAATATCATTTTTCACCATATAAATCGCAGCATTATACCTTAAAATCGTTAATATTAGTAACAAAATGTAAAGTACGAAAACAATTCTACTTTTATCCGTTCTCCTGGCAACAACCTTATGTGCTAGATTAGATTTTAATTCAAAAGAATGCAATATCTTTTTGGAGAAGTTTGGTACCGCTGATAATGCTGATGGATCAGGAGCATCCAAAATTGCCTTTGCTGGAGATGTCTCTTTTATCGGAGGAACTGCAAATGTTAAAGTCAATGTTAGATATTCTGATGTTGCTTCCTTTAATGATCCTAAATATTATGGATTAGTCCAACAGGATGGAAATACACCAGAGCAAACTTGTTTGGATATGAAACTATTTAAATATACTTCATCAGCCTATGCTGACAAGAGTGAAGTAACTACACTTACTATAGTCCCTTCCAATAACTTTTAGAAGCAATGGAGATATTATTCTTTCACAATTAAAGGAGAAGAATTAAATCAATATTTGGTCTAGACTACTAACTCAAACCAATTTATCTATAATGGGTACTTTGCTATCGCCTACTATGCAGCTGGAACAGATCAACTTCAATATACCTTCTTTTTTTAATTTTCAGTCACTATTGACAAAGCTACTGGAAGTGCATTGGATACTGCCTTTAAACCTTTGAGCTAAACTTCTACTGCCTAATGCAATCCAGATCAATGCACTGCTCATGCTGATACATCCCTCAAATGGTGTAAAGATTTAACTTGTACTGAATTCGTTACTCCAAATCTTCATTTAAATGATTAGTTTGTTTTGTAATAGGTAATTAATACCAAAGGCATGGAGGGATATTACCTTGTAAATCCTGAAGTTTGGTATACAGGAGAAGGGCTTAACAAAAAGGCCTCTATAGTGAGTTTCAGCAACAGTGTAAAAGGCTAATTGACTCTTTAATTAAAAGCTGAAATTGCTTGGACAAAAGTAGTCATCAAAGTTACTTCAGTACTTTCAACTACTGCCACAGGAAATAGAAGATTATTGGTCTAGACTACTTATGATACTATTTCTGGTGAAACTGATGAAATTACTTGTATCAAAGTTGAAGGAGAAGACAGATGCGCAACTTGTGCAGAATAAAAGGAAGCCAACGGCTATTCAAGTGACGCATGCAATGAAACAGAAGAATCATTGGATTCTAAATAGATATTCATCGGGGCTCTTGTTTTATTGGCAATGATTCTGTGATGATGGTTTTTACATAATATCATTTATTTTTATATAAAAAACAAATGTTTTCTTTTAAATAAACATATTTTGTTTCTATAGATTTCCTAATAAAAATACGTAAAATTTAATAAATATGCAGACCAAACAAATACAATAATTAAATGATAATGCTTCACAAATTCAGTTAACCATAAAAAATATGTAAATAGTCATAACTAGAATAGACTCTGAAAGGATTAAGTTGTAATCGCAATTTTCATAACATGTCATTAATGTTGAATATGCAGTGTTCGAAACTCCTTTACATTCTTCGTAAGGATAGGTGGCATTATGTTAATTGGCCATAAAACACTCATTAAAATCTTTTAAGGCTTGATTACAAGTGCTGTCTTTAGTGCAATTTGAATTTTCCTAAATTGATTTAATTTCGTTTTACATTATCACAATTCTTGGCTACGCAATCCTATACCTCGCTTAAACTTATTTCGTAACAGTTTATCATTGCGAAAGTTAAAAAAATCAAGTATTTCATATATATAATAATTATAATATTCTCATCACTTTAATATTTAGTAAAAATAAAATATGATATAAGAATAGTGATTAGTTAAATTTAGTTTTTTGAGTAATCTTCAATGATTTTTAAAAGAAAGAATCAAATAAATGCTAGATTGTGAATTAACCTTACTCTATAATATTCTACTGCTCTTTAAAGTTACTAAATAATATTTATTTTCCATAAACTCTCAAAACTTGATCAGCAAAACTATTTGATTTGAAAAAATAAGTAATTCATAATAGAATTTCTAACTTATCATAATATTGGTATGATATTTAAAAATAACCATATAATTTTTGAAAATAGATGAAAAATTATTCTTTTAGAAATCCATTATAAATTCATTTTATTCAAACATTATTTTATTATTATTAGTTTCTCCTTTGTAAATCTGGCAGAGATCTTTCTATCATTTATTTTAATTCCTAAAATTGTTATAATATGATTAAATACTGGGAATTTGTTCCTCAAATTCAAATATCTAAGTAACTATTGAGTGTTTGATTATAAAAAATCTCCAATTCCAAATTTATTAGGTCCTTAATGGTTATTTTTTTAAGAGTTATATTCGTTCTAAGCCTCGGTCTAGGCAGCAATATAAACATATCCAAAACACTGAACCACAGAGTACTAACTGAAGTAGATTTATGCAATTTAGAATCTATAATATTAATAATAATATGTACCCAATGATTCCAACAATAAAAGCAGGTATTAAGGGTTAATATAGATTAATCTAAATGCTTTGTTAAAGTATGGGAAATTGTTATTTGATCGAGTTTATTATGAGTAGAATTGCCAAGAACAAAGAAACACAAATAAGGCAAGCAAATACCTTGACGATCAATAAAAAGAAGTCATTAATATTTCTAATGATTTCGAAAGTGTTCAATGCTTCCCCATCTTCATTAATTTCTAATGAATCCTTAATTTTTTAAACAGCAGGACCGATATCATCTTGATTTAGATCGACTTCATAATACAACACTTCTTCAATGGCTTAAGATATAGGGAGAATAGATTACTTGACAATGATTTGAATGGATTGCACCTTACCTTAAATAAATTATCGATGGTATCTTTGATAAAGTCTAAAATAAATTTGACCGGAGAAAACAATAATATGAATGAGATCTTGCTGATAACTTATAGATTTAGATTTTGGACAGCATTAGAGCAGTAGAGTATCAGCATACCTAATTCAAGGGGATCTCCTATTTGAGGTTGATTGGGACTAATCTTATTGTTGACCCAAATTTTAAAATTGCTGAAGATGATTGATAAGTAACAACCATTGATGATATAGATGATCCATATTACAAAAATAATGACTGAACTGGTAGACAGTGTAATAATTGTATTTAATTCGATTTTTTCAAATGGACCCAAATTTGAATCACTCTTTAGTTTGAATGTAGAACCTAGAAACCTAATGTAATGATCAATATTTACAAGCAAGTGAGCAACAAAAGTAATATAAAGGAAATTAAGAATCCCAAGAATACATAATTTAAGGGTAGTAAAAATTGATTATCTGCCATAAACTATTCAACGTATTCAAAAATGTCTGCCAAATCTTACACTCTATCTGAATTTTTGTAGAGCCAATATGTTCCATACAAAAATGTTAACACAAAAATGCATCCAAATACAAAATTCAGGGTCTCATTAGGTTTGTTAGTCATTTTGTATATGTAATCTTCATCGACCTTGAAATTATTAATGATAGCCTATTCAGTTTCATAGTTTCTCGCAAAATTCCATTAGGAAATGAAATAGATGCCAATAATGCCCACAATAAGTAAAGAAAACAAGGAGAATGCCCAGACTACATATGTTGTGTTAGCTTTTAATTGATCCAACAGGATTGTGCAAACAAATATAATGAAACAACTTATTAACGCAATGATATGCCAAGTCTACATGACATCATTGATAATCATCCCTAGCATTCCTGGAGATGAGAAGTCTTTGACTCCTTGATAATATTCCAATGAAGTGGGCATACACACATTCCCTTTGTATTTGAATGACTCATAGTAACTAACCATTTTTTCAGGGTACAACACCGAGGTCAATTTCTTACAGTCAGGTATTTGAGTGTTGGGTGCACAGTCCAACTCTTGGGTGTCAGATGTCGGACATTATTTCACACACACAATTCGATATTTGTATTCTGGAACAGGATTAACGAAGTAAGCGTATGGATAATCCTCCAAACCTGGGTCTACTCCACAAGCATAAGCTAATAGTTTGAATTAATTATTTTCTTACCGTCACTATCGAAGCCTCTTGCAATTTTATTTGGTTTGCCCAAGTAGATACCCGTGAAAGCGGATAAACAAATTACGATCACTGCGAAGTACAGAATTGCTTTACAGACCTTCATTGTTTTTGTATTTTATTAAATTTAATAACAGCTTTCATTAACTCAGGAAAATTTACTCTGTAGGGTCTAACAGATCTCTAAACGAAGATTCATTCAAGACATATAATTAAGATGTGTCTTCTCTTTTAATTGAAATCAATATTATTATAATAATAACTGCTGAATGTATATTGATCCTGCAGATACTAAAGCTTGGGCTGAAGAATTGAAAGAGTATCTCAAGAATCATTTCAATTAGGTATTAAGTCAATCGGAAACAACCCATTGAGTTTACTAAGCCCAAATTCTTTACTCAGAAGGAAATGAAATTGAAATAAACTGAGTTCAATCCAGTGTTGTAAACTTACCAAAGTGCTGAAAGAGACGTGAAAGAAAAGGAGAGGGATTATCAAAAGACATCTACTCTGGCATAAAAGAAAATGGTACTCGCATTAATTGATAGGTCTGTAGGAAATGGTCAAGAAATATTTACATGAATATGATTTAGTTAATCTTGAACAAGTGCAAGGTATAGAAAGACCAGATGAAAGGGAGAAAACCAAATAATGTCTTGTATTTTTGTGTCATCATCCCTAGTTACCTCCCAATTTTAATGATTATAATATTATTACCAATGAGAAAAAAAGCGAAGAACATTACAAAAATATGAAGGTAGTTGTTTAGAAGAAGGTTTATGAAAAGCCTGTGATCAATAGGAATAAGAGAGATTTCAATATTGTTACCAACAAGTAACAACTATTCTATACTTAGATTTCTTGAAAATCATGAAACCAAACAATCAGAGAAGGATCAAGCCACCATCAATGGCATTAATGAAAAATGCAAGAAAGTTCGAAATTATGATATTGTTTAAGGAGCATTCTATGATGAAGAGAAGGAAGAACAATATTAATAGTATAATATCCCATAAAACTGAGGAAATTAAAATAGGATCAATAATAGCATGGCAAACACTTTAATGATAGGTTTCCTCCCTCTTGGAAGTTCAGAGAGTCTGTATACTTGGATCAAACTAAAGACATCCCTGAAGAAATCAAAATGATTGACGAAATCAATAGAAACCACAAAAAACGATTCGAAATTAGACATGTCTTAGAAAATGAATACAGAGAAAAAGATCTTTAAGATCAATTGAGAACTTAAGATAGACTCATCAAAAGACATAAATATGATGATATGATCAAAAATTATGACAAAGGTAATAGTGTTAAATTCATTAAATCTAGAATTTGACATCTTAACCTTATAAAAACCAGAAGTCGATCACATAATTAAAGCCTTGCCTCCAAAACCACCCCTCAATTCCTGGGACAAAGTGTAACTGACTAAATCTCCCTCAGATGCTCCATTAAAAGAAATCAGCATTCCTGATGGCATTGAATTTTAAGATCGCGGAAATTCTCTTTAAGACACTTAGAGTAGAGTACGATTCCCTTAAGTTTTGAGATAACAAAGTGAGAAATCCCAGAAATCTGCTCCAAAATCACAAAAATCTGTTATACAATCTTAAAAGTCTAATCCAGGTCAAACAGAAATTAAGTCAGGAGGTTTTTTCTGAATTACAAGAAATAAATTAAAGTCAGATAATATTCAATAATTCTGATTATTAGAATTAATTATCTAATACTTTAAATTTAATTAAATGTTTCTAATATTTAATTTTTTATATATATTCAATTAATAGTAGAGAGTAATATATATATATGTAGATATATTAATTATTGAGAGATCCATTATAAGTGTATATTCCAATTTCTTAGAATAAATGTTTAATTCATCTAGTCCCCTAACTTAGTTTAGATTCTTTAAAATGTCCTAAAATAGTTGTTTTAAAAATAGAAATTCTCAACTACAAATCTAATATATTGCAGATAACCCATATTTTAATACAGATTTAGTGATTAATAATGATGGCAATTGCTATAAGTGAATCCTGTAGGTTTTTAGCAAATTTCAAGGATATTTTTATTTTAAAGAGAATGTTAAAATATCAATAATTCAGTACTTGAAGTTAATATCAATTAAATCAGATTTAAGAAACTGTGACTATCAAAAGATGTGACAATGGCATGCTTACTTTTTCTCATTTTTCTTCGCTTTAATACAAGATGTTGGTTAACTATTCTCACCAGTATTGATGTTAACTAATATACTGTTTTCGAGGTCATCATGCCCATCTTTTTATATCCAGATGCTTTATTTTCCTTTATTATTCATTAATTATTTTAATAATAATAAACATCAATCACTTCATATTATATCTCAAAAGCCAAGTTAAATTTACTATTCCTCAATAGTAACTAGGGTTCACTTAATAGTTTCTTGTCGCTCAATCTTAGCCAAGTTCCATTTTTTGAATTTTAATCATCTATAATGAATTTAGCCACCCCATCCTTTTAAACATAAGAAATTATGCAATGAATTTAAGATAAGGATTGATGAATAGGGTATCCTATGAATTAGTAGTTAGTTCTCTTCAAATCTCTACCTATACACCAAGTTTCACCAATTTTAAGATTAATTTATTTTGTGTCAATTAATTCCTTATCAAATGCAAGCACTATGGTCCCCTCTTTTTCATTCACTTCCAAAATTTGAAAAGCTTGTTTGTCTCCAATATAAAATACCATAGCCTTCTTTATTCTCATTTTATTGGCATTCACAAAAGTCCCTCTCTTAGATCCTAAATCCTATAAATGAAACCTATCTTTTCTATTTCATAAAAATACCATTTACAACTATGATCCTTGCATGTTTTGAGGAGATCTTGGATTGATCTTATAAAACGTACTGATTATCCTGGCTTCTACCGAATGTTGCTCCAATCAAATTTATTAATAATATCTAATATAATTTAATTTTTAATTTACTTTATGAAATTGTTCGGATTTTATCTTCATTTGATGACTAACATTTAGAATAAATGGATTCATTATAACACTTTACAAAGTTGCTTATTCAATAGATGTAATTAATCGTATTCTTTTCTATCTTGTTGGTGTTCTATTTTATATTTCTTCCTTCTTTGTATCCTTTGACTTTTAGTTAAATTCCTATACTTTCTTATCTTATTAGACTTCATTAATAATGTGTTCAATATTTATCGATTTGTTAAAAGGGTCTTGAACTTTATTATTATTATTACTATTATTGTTATTATTATTATTATTATTATTATTGTTATTATTACTATTGTTATTATTATTATTATTAATAAATATAGATTATCCCATCATTACTGATTGGCCTATCATCTCTGATTATCCTAAATCATTTTTATTTGGATCTTAAAATATAACTGATTATTGCATTTATTGCGTTTAATTTTGAGGAAAGGCTACGGAAGCTTACATTTTATTAGAAAAATAAACAGATCCTTCCAGCTATTTTTCTTGCTTTTCTTATTACGGAAAGTAAACCGACTCTTTCATTTACTATTAGTGAGGAATAAAGTAAACCGAATCTTGCATTTATCTTTGCTCATTTTATGGGAAAATTACAGATTCTTACATAGGCTTAACATCTTGTTATGGAAAATAAACAGACTCTTGCATTTATTGTTATTAGGGCACTTAGAAATAAACACTTTCTTGCATTTCTTAATTTTATGGAAAATATACAGACTCTTACATATTTTTCTAGTTATCAGCTGAACTTTTGGAAGAATCAATTAAAGGAGTAGCTTCAGTAGTAGTAGTTTCAGTAGTAACTGCATCACCAATTGAAATATTTTAAGCCCTCTATTCCAACTCTTTCTAGCAATATATGAGATCCTATCTTTGGCGTACGCTGCTTTCAATTCCAGATGAAGCCTTTTGTATTTTCTAATGATCAACATTTGGTTTAACATGATTGACAGAATTGGATCTAAAAGCATCTATGGCAATTGATTCGTGACGGCCATCTTCTAAATTGAAGACCTTAAAAGTTTCCAAGGAATCTGAGGTTTAGGCTTTTTTATCTGGAGATTTCTTCCAGATTTATGGACATTTTGCTTTAAAATAGAATAAATCATAATAATCAAAGTGGCTAATTTATTATCCCTCTGTTTAAAATTGATCAATTTCTAAGCAATTATAAATAGTTTGATTTAATGTGTTGGCTAAATAAAACAACATTAAAAACACATTTTGAATATAGGTATATTTTTATAGTTAAGTCAGTTTAGAATGCGTCTGCAATCTAACATTTTGAATTTTTGTATTATTTGATAAATTGAAATCAAACAGTTTGAGCAATTGACTAGTTTCTGTGAATGGGCATTTTCCCAAAACTGAAATCACAAATCCATCAATTAAGTTTTATCTAAAAAGTTAATCTAAGCATTCCAATTTAACAATCTTTAGTAGAACACTTACTTAATCAACATCCCAAAAAAGAGGAGATTCTTTAGGTAAATATTATGTATTAGTGAATAAAAGTTTGATGAGATTTGATTTTATATAGATGTCATTATTTCTTCTATGTTCAATTGTTTTGTCCGCTATAAATATTTACTTTGTATAGCAATTGATTTGCTGAAGAATTTCTTATAGCAATTCACAAGTGCATTTTCCTTCTGGTCCAGAACATCGACAGCATTTTCCTCTTGTGCATATTTTACTTCTATGTAATCCTTACAATCTTTTAAGTGATTGCCGATTGGCTTCATACATATTAAGTATGAAAGACCATAACTTTAATTTAATGATTTGATATTGAATGTTTTTATCGCTAAAATTTCGATAAAAGAATTAATTCGCCAAACAAACTTCCCTTATAACATCACTCTGCAACCCTTATGCTTCTAAAATTGATATTTTATCTTGGACTTTATCATGATGTCTTTTCTGTTTAGCACCAAGTACATTATTTAAAAGTAAATGATCGACATTTAATTGTTTATTATTATGAATCTAAAAATCATAAACTTCAATCTAATACTCTTAAAATATCTTTGGCCCATTCTAGTTTGTGATGATCACAAAAATTCCGTATTTGATCTATTGTCCATTAAGAAGGAGGCGTTTTATAAGTGTTAAATGATTGAAAGATGGACTCTAATTATGTTAAATTCATATAAATAAATTCAATAAAATTTTGCTTTTAAATTGTCTTAATGATGCAAATCAGCATGCGGTCAATTAACATAATAATTAATTGTGCGACATTGGACTCAATATATACATTGTGAAAGTATTTCGAAGCCGAAAATCTTCCTGTTATATTAATTTTCCTAGGATTTCTCTAAGTTCTATTATTTTTAATATATTAGTTATTAACAATAAGTAAATGCAACTGAAAATTTTTATATTTAGAAATAGAATGGTTTACATCTTTAACTTTATTAATTGAATATCTGAATTTATAATTGGTTCATAATTCTCAATTAAATTTCTCTAATAAAAGACTTATTCAGCCTTTTTTTTATTAAAGAGCATACATAAATCCCTTTCTAGTAATTGATAAATTATATCAGAGATCTTAAGTTTAATAATCAAATAAATTATGATTAATGAATACCATTTTTAGTTTATCTTTTTCGTCTCAAATTAATCCAATTATTCATGTTATTTACTTTGAAAATTTAGATTTCCTCAAATTCAGACTATAAATATCAACCCTATACTTAAAGAAATAGAAATAATTCATTTCATAAATCAAGATATTAGAAGGGCGACATGATATAATTTTAGCCTAACTTACTTTAAAAATTTAGCTAACCTATCCTCCCAATCAGATCTTTAATAATGTGACATCAACTAAAAATCGATTCGCCTAATAGCGTTCTTCTTTATTTAGATAATTTATAGGATTTTATTAACTCTTCAGAATTATAAAAATTAAGAGAATTAAGAGATAAACTAATTAGTTAATTATTCAACCAAGTAATTTTATTTCTTGAGTATAAGAGCTATTTTAGGGTATTCTGAAATTATAGTAGTGATTTTATCCTTATTCATGATGGATTTTCCATATAATTAGGAATCAATTACCATTCATATAAACCTCACCTTCTATATTTTGAAATTGCTAATATGCTTTAGATTTATGTTCCTCTATATGTAAATATTGTTTTAGATTCATAAGAAATTAATAATATTTTATTTCAGTAAATCTTAAACCGAAGAGGTGACAACATATACACTTTTTATTATTTATTTATATGAATATCATTATTTTATCTCCTCGTTGACTCTCCTTTTTCCATCAGCAGTCACTTTTAGGGTAACAATAATCTTGACTTTGGATCTGTTATCCTCAAATTTCTGAGTGAATGTATTGATTTTCTCAATAGTTACATAATCTAAGAGTTAGTTTATTATAATTACTCTGTCTTTGAAGTTATTCAGCCATTCTCACTGCCTTTGAGATTGTGTCCCCCAATGCATGTACTTCCACAACATCAAATCTCTTCAAATATATTTTGGCAACGAAAACTGATGTTTTTGGATGAGTCTTTCCACTCAAGTTATAAGCATTAGTTTCTGGGTTGACGAGAGTCTTCTTTGGTTAGTCCATTAGTTGTGAGGGATCTGTAATAAAATATAAATATTGGTATTTTTTATAATTTATCGAAAATAATGTCATGTCAATTTCTTATCAGCTGCATCATCTTATTTTAGTGATTCTTATTCCATTCCTTCAGGCTATTTAGCTTAAGGCCTCTTATATCTCCCAATATTAGAAATCTCATATTAACCATAGATGCAGACAACCAATGCAAATAGTAAACAAGGTATTATTGAGGCTACCCACGTGGCAGCCCATTCAACATTATCATCATAATCCTTCATATCATCCTCTCCTGCATAAATGAATCTCTACAAAATTTATAACAGTATCTTACTCCTTTTATGAAATTCAAATAGGTTCCATCCAGATTCATCCTTTATAAGGCATCAACAGCATTTAATTATAATAAAGTCTTTAGTAATTCAAATTTAATGAATTAAGGTTATGTCAACACAAACCAATTTGCATTCCCGCAAGGTCTATGATTTCAATACACTAAATAATTACGGAATGTTAATTGGAGCCTTATAAGATACAAAACTGGTCATGTCGGAAGAATAAGCTCCAAGAATATTTTATTTGAAATTGAATGATCCAATTACATTTAGTTGATTTGTGACATTAATATTTATTGCGTATTTAATATTCTAAGTCTCTGAGATTACATAGACTGGTATTGATAGTACTGCATAAAGAGGTTCGACTTCGCAGTTTTGATAAAATTAATCCTAAACGAAATACACTTGAATTTCAGCATCAGGAGCCTTTGCCCAAAAATCGAAATTATGTTCTGCTGGTCCTATTGTGAGATACTAAGATGAATATCTGGCGATATTGTTAACTCCCCATGATGTCAACTTGATTGTGTTTGTTTTATATTGAACCAATGGTCCTTAAGTCTTATTGATCACTAACTCAATTATTTCTTCAACATCTAAACTTATCTTAGTACTAAGTAAACTCACCTAAGAAATTTCGAAATTTTTAGTATCAGTTGTTATTCCCTATTTACACTATTCAAATGCTAAAATTAGATAATGATTATTACATGTAATAGTTTAATAATTCCATTCATTATTTTCAATATTAGGCTTATCTGAATTAAATATATAGTTAAGGATGGAAGATTATTCAGTGCATTATTGAGCATTCAGGTAGACTACTTCGCAAATAAGAATTAATAACGCGAATTTCATTTAATCTCAGATATTTATTATATTACTAATTATCTGTTATACATAAAATATAAATTCATTTGTTAGCTAACTCTCTTATGAATTTTATTGTTTTATGAATTAACTTTATTAAAAAGGGAACAATTAGAATATATTATTAAATTGCTATTAGCTTATAAAAAAAAGGAGTATTTATTGCAATCTAGTTTATTCTATATTTTCGATCAATCCTGAATATAAGTATCAAATTTAATGAATATCTAATAATTATAAATTTTTTGAATCATTTATAAACAATAATTATATTATTTTATTTGATATTTGAAATCATAATTAAACTAGCAATTCATTGGTAACATCAATAATTTAGGATAGAAATTGTACTTTTTAATGATCAAGGTTCTATTATGAGAATTGTTCAAACATTTTAATCTCTTATTTCATTTATTCTATCATCAAATCCCTATTTCTCATTTGCTGATGAATATTTTATAAATCTGTTTAGTATTGAGCCTTGATCTTTTATAATTCTTTATCTTTTTCATCATTCAATTTTTGTTTTTACCAATCTAAACTAGGAGTTTCTTGGATTACAATTTCTTATTCAGTCTAATTCTCTGATTATGAATTTTTGAGATTTTGCAATTCAATATCTTTTTATTTTGATTCATCTGCTAATAACTATATTTTTGTATTCAAGTAATTAATCTAATACAAAAATAAACTATACTTTCTTTTCATAAATCTATTGCATCAACAGTATTTCTTATTATTTGAGTTACTCAAGCTTCTTTATTTCCTAATCCATAACGTTCAGAATTTAATAAATAAATAAATGGAATGAGTATATTTGATAAATAAATAAATGAATATATTAATCACAGGTTGTAATCGGGGACTAGGAATGTTGTTAGCCAAAGAATTAAAAAACAATCATGTTATTGCAACAGCCAGAGACATACACAAGCTAAAATAAGCATTGCATGATCAAAAGCATTGCAGTTTGGAATACTTGGATGTTAGTAATGACGAAAGCATTAAATAATTTGTCTCTACCATAAAATAACCTATTGATATTCTAGTTAACAATGCAGGCATTATTGAAACTCAATTAACAAATAAAAATAACCTAGCATCGTAAGTGTTTAAGGTGAATTATTATGGAGTATTAAATCTCACAAAAGCAGTCTTGCCCTACATGAAAGAGAATGGAAAGGTTAAAAAATGATAATGATTTTTAGATAATTGTAATATCTTCAGATCTGGGAAAACTAAGAATTCAAAACTCTGTTATCTAAGAATAATTGAATAAATGTAATAAGGATCAACTTGAGATGATAGTTCAAGAATTTATTCAGAATATAGATTAAAGGAATGATTTTGGTGAATGGTATAAGGAATACAAAGGAATTTATTCAGCATCGAAAGCCTTAATTAATGCATATTTTAGACATGTCTTGTCTAAGGAGGTAAAATAGCAGGTATTCTGCATACACCCAGGATGGTTGAAGACTGATATGGGAGGACCAAATGCACCAAAAGAGCCTGAAGAAGGTATAATTACTAGTTTATACGTAATCAATAAAAAGATAAATGGGACAGGTTTGTATTTTAATGACAAATGCAAAATGGAAGAATTTTGAATGAGACTTTTGATTATAAATAATGATAATTTATTATATATTCGGACTTCTGTATTGTATAAATGCATCATTTGATTATCCAACAGCATGTGATTGCAATGAACACATAGATAAGGAGGCTTGTGAGAGTCATAATTGTTATTGGGCATAGTCTGAATGCAAAGTGGCTGAATGTGATTAAAGATCATTATAGAATTGCGTTGGTGCATCTCAATTCTTGAGTTAAAATCCACTTTATTGTTATGTTAAGAATGGAAGATGCGAGAAATTGGCAAGATGTGAAGATCTTCAAATAAGTTAAACTAATGTTGGACAAGCTAGAGAATAATGTTAATTATATTAATGTGCATATGATCTTGTGAGTGGATACTGTTTTAAGCCAGAGAAGTGTGATGATATTTACGATCAATTTACATGTGACAGTTTTTTGATTGCTAAGAGTAAGCCTTTGGAAATAGATTCTATTTGTTATTGGGATAGGAAGTGTAAGGCTAGAAATTCATTTATTGATAATTGCGAATCTATCAAAGACAGGGATGTTTGTTAATAGGGAGGATGCCAATATCAGGATGAGAAGTGCAAGGAGATTGACTGCAAAAGCAGGAGCATCAAGGAATGCAATGGGGAGTATGTGGATCATAAGGGAAAGGTGTTTGTATGTTATGAGAACAATGATGAATGCGAGTAGATTGATACAGAGAAGTTACACAAAGTGGTATGCAATTCTATGATTGGACATACTTATAATGAGAAACAATGTAGAAAATGCATTTCATATGCTGATCATTGGAAATGATTTAATTATAATAAATAATGTTAGTGTAGTTTAAAATGAATTGTTTGCGCAAACATCTATTGAAGAGCAAAACGTACTACTTAGAAGTTCTTTAAGACCAAATGATATTATCGGAAGTAAATCTTTGAGTAAGCATGGTAGCACAAGACTATGCAAAATCCAAAATATGTAGTCCTATTCAACTTTGAGTCTCGTGTGATGTGGAAGAAATCGGAACATGAATAACTCTGTTGCTTTGGTATCCTCTACCAAAAGAGAATCAAATGGTTCTGGGGGGTTCATAAAGAGTTGAATCTTCTCAAAATGTACCTCTCCAACAGGGTTTTCTTTGGGAATATATCAATTTTCTATGAATCTAGTCAGATCATTGGTTCTGGTGCATCCTCGAAGGTAATTCTGCTTTCCCTCACTCTCAGGTGTGTCTCGTGAAGCGGAACACAGATGTATTGTACTACGCAGCTAAATGTATCTCAAAGAAGTATCTGACAGGCAAGAAGTCCAAAGATCGCATAGTAAGTACAACTAACTATTACTGATAAGGCTAGATTGCAATCTGAAATCGAGATTTTATAAAAGATTGACCACCCAATATTTGTCAAATTACTGGAAATTTATGAAGGAGACAACTCCTATTATCTGATAACTGATTATTACGAGGGTGATACTCTCTACAATTTTATTCGAAACACTCAAACCGACAGTTTACCCAGTTACATAGTAAGGGATGGAATTAAAGTTACACTAAATAGTTTATATAATTTTAGACCTTGCTGCTTGGTCTTTAATATTTGGAGCATATGGGTTTGATACACAGAGATATCAAGCTGGAGAATATCCTATTAGCCAAGCAGAATGAAATCAAGTCCCTGAAGATTATAGATTTTGGACTGGCCATCTATGAGAATACATAGACCAAATTGTCTATCTGTGGAACACCAGGTTATATTGCTCCAGAGATTCTAAGAGCTGATATCAAATAGAATGAATATTTCACCACGAAATGTGATGTCTTTAGTGCAGGAGTTATATTTTACAAATTGTAATTACCAAATTTACTTACCTAATAGGCTAACCAAAAGAACCTTATTTAGAGCAGATAACACTGCAGATATCATGAAGGCAAATACTCAATGCGACATTCGATTGGATGAGCTAGAATAGAATGTTTAGAAGGAAGCCCTTAATTTATTGAAATTGATGTTGGAACCTAATCCCAATATTCGACCTACTGCTTCGTAATGTTTAGAACATCCCTATTTCTATTGCTAATTGGAAGACATTAGAATACTACAGGAGATCCTAGATAAAGTGACAGGCTGCTCAGAATTCACAAGTATTATTTGCTTATCTAAATTTATTCAGAGGAGCACTAAGATACTCATTCAGTTCCTGATGAGAGTTAAGCTGCTTAGATCAAAAAATGTCCACCGACTCAATACAGAGTTAGAGTGGAGTAGAGAAAAAGAACTAGGAGTCCGAGAAAATATGCAGATTTTCACTTCTATTTACCATCCTTTTGTCAGATGAACTCTTTTGAAAGTGAAGGGAATTCTTCGAACTCTAGTAAATCTTCAAAAATTGAGAACATCATCATCAATGAGAAGGAAAGTGAAAAAGATTCTGTCATAGAGGAGAACAACAAGTTTCAACAGTGATCAAAACTGCATTTTTCACTTTTCAATTATAATAGATAATCAAAATATAAAATAATTAATAATAAAATGATCTCGAATCCTATGCTTGAATCAGATTAGAACAATCAAACTCGTAGTGGCCAATCACAGGGAACTTATTAAATAGTTAAATCAAATCAAATAGAACTTTCGGTTAAAAATAAACTCATTGAATAAGAAACAGAGTATCCCAAAGTACCACAATCAAGAAAAACAGAAAAACTGTTTTGCACTAAATGTAACCAAGTGGTAGAATCCGATGTTCAATATGAAATGGGAAGGTGTAGTTATATAGTAGTGATTGTGCTCATCGCTGGTATCATCACTGCTATTTTGGCTTTCCTCCCTTGTCTACTTGATAATTGCAAGGATGCCCAACATAGATGTTCCAAATGCACCAAACTTATAGGGACCAAATAATTTATGTGTGGATGATAAGAATTACTAGTAAACTATATATTATTATTAATATTTTATGATGATCAGACCCTTTCATTCTGCTTCCTTCCAACAAATCTCCTACGTACCTCCTTTGCACCAACTTCGTCGAAGCAGCTGCCATTGTTCCCATTGTTCTAGTTCGAATATCAAACAAATCACATTACCTAATCAGCATTATGAAATCCTCATGCATAGAAAAATTAGACTCGCCAATTTAGTTATCGAAAACTTCAAACCCACTGACAAATATTTAAGGTCCAAAAACAAGTACAAGAACTTCAGAATTTTCTCTCATAATCGCCAATAAATGATGTCCCCAGACAATAATCATTCTCCACAAAAATCTCCATCTCTAGACCAACAAGATGAAATCAAAGCCCATTCCTCAAACTAGAAGCCGTCCCCCATGCAATCCCAGTATTTACAATCCAAACAGTCGAACTCCTACTTTTTAAATCATCTTAAAACACAAATGACAAGGATAGATAAAAACTTAAATTAATTAATACAAACTAGCAGGTAATAAATGACTGAACCAGATGAACCCCTTATCACTACAAAAAGAACCAAATAAGCTATTATTAAGACAATTAAGACGCATCACCCTTATCAATCCGCCTATAGCATCGCAATTAACAAAAGGTTCGTTCCTCCCAAGAAAATGCATACCACCCCTTCTAATCTACTCGCAAGAACTTAATAGAGTTTATCTAAATACGCCTTTAATTTTATTGATTGATAATTTATCAAGTAATTTTGTCTTTAAATCATACTCACTTTCTAATATTATTTCTAATATCATAAAAAATATTTCGAAATCTTCCCCTTTTTCTATTATTTTAATAACTTTAAATTTTTATATACTATATCTAATCAAAACCAGTGCATATAAAACATTATTATTGGAGATGAGATTTGCATATTAATTCAGGTTTAATACAAAGATTTAACTATTTTAATATTTTAATAAAATACTTAATTCAAATATTATAATCATAATTATCAGTATAATAAATCAATATCATATTATTTAACTACATATTAATATTACAATTAATCGTAAGTATTTGATCAAAATATTTTTAGTATAATTAGAACTAAATATATTCCTTAGTAGATTTACACCTAATAATAATAACAGTATGTAATGAATTAAAAATAACAATTTATCTATATATATTTAATGTTCATTTGACTTTTACTCTATCAAATAATTTATCTACGACTCCATTCAAATTGGTAATCAAACTAAGGGAATGTTGATATAAATTATCATGCTTAACTGTATCAAATAAGATCAAACAATCGTTTCCTTAATCTAAGGTTCCATCTATTTTCTTATCCAAAATCAATTCAGATAATCTAGTATATTGAATTGATACAATACTTTCTTTAGATAATTTCGACATCAATTTACATTCTTTAAGTGATATAATCGATTTAAACCTTAGAGTATGGTTGGATGACTTGAAACAGATTCATTTCCAATAAGACTTCATATAACTATTTGATGTGTAATCTCATGACTTTATCACCTTCAATTTCTTCCCTATATTCATCTAAGACTTTAGTAAATTCAATAAGAGATTTCTTTTAATTGCTATTAGAAATGGCTTTCATAGCCTCTAAGTGCTAATATTAATTAGATGCACATAATTACTCTGCCTGCATATTTCAAACCATGCTTTCCAGTTAAAATTTATTTGACTTCATCTGTAGCTCCAATCATTATTTTGCATAACAACATATATTTAAGTGTGCCCAAAGCTCTCTTGTCTTCTAGATTATTAAATGCTTCAAAAGCCTCATAAAAATAGGAATAAGAGGTTCTATAGTCTCTTTCTTCTGCATAGAGCACACCAGCCATCATATCGATTTCAGCTTAAACATGCGGGGGACAGTAAATTGTATTTGAGCAGGCTCTGGCTGCAGTTAATGAGGCTTTGGCTTTAGCGAGATTTGTTTATCCAAAATGCAATTTGCTCTCAATTAAGTAGATTTCAAGAAGCAAATGCTTGTCATCAGCCTTTCTTACTTCAACTACGATCTTGTCTATGATTTCGATTCCTTAGGTGAATTTTTCTTATTCATTATACAGTGTTGCCAATCTTATTTGCATCTTGTGTTTTAAGTAATTCTTCTTGTCTCTTGCACATTGATCGATTAAGAATTAGCACATTTCAACTTACAATTCAATTGTGCCTTCCAATTAAGCTACTTGATCAATCATCTGTCTCATTATTTTTGCTGCTCTTGTTTGATTGAATCCAGAGAAATCATGTGTTTTCATAATCTGAAATACCAATTGAGGTTTGTGTTGTTTGCAATACAATTACGACAATTTATTATATGCACTTTCCTTGTGTTTCAAATGCTCCTCAGATTTTGAATCTTTTTTTATCATGATTAAAATGTACCAAATGATAGCAATTTCAATAAGGCTGTTTCCAAATTGTTTGTATCTAATCTAGCATTGTCTACTTCTTATAAAATGGTTTGAAATTCTTCTCCAAGTGTTGCCATTCGTATTTAATTGATTGATTTAAAATTAAAATTAATGATAAAGAATACTAATGTGAACTCTTTTGCTTTGATTTTAATTATTATTATACTATTTCGAGATTTTGAATCAAATATACAAATAATATAATTTACTAATCCTTTTCTCTCTTTTAAATGAATTTCTCTAATGTTTATGAGGGTATTGATAATTTGGATATAAATAAAAAGATTTGTAAAAGAAAATAAAAATCTTGAGGAAGAAATGAATACTTAAAATAATGAAGTGTTAGGCGAGAAATTAGAGAATGTTGAAAAAGAGAACTCATTCACATACTAGGAACCTCATTATCAAGTTGATTAAGAAATGGTAATGATTCTGATTAAAATGAACTAGTTGGAGGAACAATAGGATGATATTCAATTGTAAGTCTATTCACCATAGTAGTTATTACAATTTAAGAAACAAAAGCCTGTTCATTTTGATGAATTCATTTTAGATGAAGATCCAAAAAAGAAAGTCTGCATCTAATGGCAAAACTCTATAGTTGAGTAATCTGAACATCATCCAATTGGAGATTTGGAGAGACTAGCAGAACAATTGCAAAGGGAAAACCATAAGAAATTTTCATATCCTAAGGATTTGCCAGCTCCTTAAAATGAAGATATTCGTTTAGATGATTTGAGCATGCGCTTCAGTCCGTCTATAAAGCAAGATGAGTTTATTTCGAATTATGTTAAAAAAGACGATCTACTCAGAATCAAGGTTGGATTGTGTTATGAAATTTTAAATGATGAAGAGACTTTGAAATTTGAAGATTGGGTTGAACAATTATGCACCTCAACTAATTATGAATCTCTAAAGGAAATGGCAAGGAAATAGAAGGTTAAGAGATATCTAGAAAAAAAGCACAATCGAACATATGAGAAGAAAGTGCATTATCACATAAGACAGAAGGTTGCTGAAGAGAGATTAAGAATCAAAGGTAGATTTGTGACCTGGGGTTAAGTAATATCATTTAAATATTCATTTTTAGGCACTAAAGATGCTGAATGGACAAGATTAGAAGAAACCTTCATGTCAAAGTGATTATATCAAAATCAAGGATATGATGAATGAACGATTTGTGGGACTCAAAAGTAAGAAGTCACTGAAATTTTGATTGTTTACAACTTTTGTGTATTTAATATTATATTAATTAATGGACAAACAGTGTTCCATCTGTAATAAGGAATTCTCCTTTATCAAACAAAACAAATCAAAATGTAAAAGATGTGGACTTGTAGTATGTCTTGATTGCAATAAAAATGAATTTAAAGTAGCCATCTACCTCATTCTACTTCCTAGATCTCTTCCTCCATGTTGAAACCCCTCAAAAAGGAAAAAGTTTGTCTCTAATGCAAAACTGATTGTTTGTATGTGGAACAATAATTAGAATAGTTCCATCAGTCATGGAACAAGGAGTCCTAATTATAAATTGAGCTTTTTCAAGAATCACTCAATCCAGAGCAATATTAATAGCTCATCAAAATTTCCAAAGTCCAGAACAATTTTAAACAGAATCTTGAACAAATTAAATCTGATTTAATCAAAGTAATTGATTACTATAGTTTAGTGCTTCATTACCCAAGAAATGTTTAATTACTCATTTTAGGATTGGATTTGTCATTCGATCAATTAAATGAAAGTCAATCAAATATTTGATGACATAGAAAATCTATTAATTGTATTTTTGTATAGAAATTCATAAGTGGGATATTCCTGCGAATTATTGTAAATTTCAATAGTTCTACTGACCTAAATGAAGGATTATGCTGCTTTACAATTATTAGAATAACTGTATGAATTAATGCCCTATGAATACTGGCCTACTTCTACTTAGGAACCTAATTTGCAAACTTTAGTTTAGGACTTTTAACTTGCTTTCAAAATAGATTCAACCCAAATCTCTTAAATCAAAAAGTTTATGGAATTCTTTTCTACCCCAAATACTTAAAGTTTATTCATAAAAGGATTAAATTTCTCTTGCTTTCATATCATATTTTTGGAGTTTGTTTAGTAGATGAACTTTGAAGTGATTCAAAAATATTTGATTGTAGTTGCTAAATCTTGTTTAAAATCATTTGGATAATTTGGTTTTGATTACAAGTCAATAGGCAAGCAAATCCTAAACAAAACCGATTATAAATGTATCTTATTATTCCATAATATTTGAGCTATCACATAGATTAAATCATTATTGGACTAGAAGCTAGGAAACTCTCAACTAACATTTTCAAGTCCTAAAAGTAGTTTGATTAGAAAACGTAATTCTGTGTGCAGCATCGAAAACAGTAGTTTTATAGATACTCTACCATAATTAATGACATAGTAGAATTCCTAGAGGGAAATAAAAGTTGAAGACAATTTTATTTTTAATTTCTAAAATGATCAAAATTTATAGATAATCCAATTAATGTAGATGATTGAACAAAGGAAAAAAGAACTTTATGAGTTGCAAATCAAAAATACTGCTCTCAAAAATCAAACCCAAAATATTAAATAGATATCCAAATAGGAACATGAAGATTATTTAAATATGGTTGATAAGATGTCACAAGAGATTTAGGAGGAAATAGCTTAAGGAGTATAGATATACTATTAGAAATGATTATGAATTTTATGTATAATTTTTATCTAATTTAAGATACTGTTTTATAAATTATTAGGCATTCATAGAATTATTTGGTAAACTAATATAATTGAATTATATTAATTCAAAATGATTTAACAAGAAAATCAAAAATATAAATTCTCCTCCAAGGATTACATCAATCCCAATTCCTCCTTCAAAAAATATGTAAAGTAAGACAATACAGTTGAAGACGAATAGGAAATCTTAAAAGAGGAAATTCATCGATAATAATTTTCCACAGAAGATTATTATGAATCCTCCTAAATTAACAGCGTAAACAAGAGAGGCAAGATACAAAAGAAAAAGGATAAAAACCACGTTTATAAATCAGAAACAAAAAATATTCCAAAAAATTTTGGAGTACTGTTGAAAAAATATTTAAGTATTCTATTTAAGTTTCAATTTAGGCACTAAATGGAGAGAAAACGAAGCCATCAGACTCTTTTTAAACAATGGGGAGAACAAAAAAAACTTCTCCAGATAAGATTTCACTAAACTCTTCAACGATAAAACAGCAGCAGAGTTATCGAGATAGTACTTCTCCGGATTTCAAATTATCCATGATCTCATGATAAGCGAGAAAATATAAGACGTCAAAAACCATCTTAAATATATCAGCAAATTTTATAATTCTACTTACAATAAAGAGGAGCTTGATGAATTAAAATTATAATGACATATATAATTTTATAATCAAAATTTTTCCTTAATATTAAAATAATGTATATATATATAGTACTGTTTTAAAATATCATATATTATATATTGAATTTTAAAGGATTGGTTTTGTAGGTTAACTTAAGTGAATTGATAAAATTTGAGTGAATCAAACATTTTTAATAACAAAAATTTGACTTTCTTTAAACTTTTCTACAATATTAATAGAATTAGTTTAGACTAATAAGGAGGGAGTAAATCCTGTAAAAGTATTTATTTATAGTATTATAAAATTATACAAAACAAAATTTATGGGGGGATGAAAATTATTATATTATAATACGGCTTATGACGGTAATATTTAGAGGGTAAATATATTATTAATTTTAATACCAATAATGGAGGACAGCTGTGTCTTACACTTGCTACCATAATCATTCCTTCCTCTTGGAAATGAATTTCCCAGATAAAATGAATTAAGTGACTCATCTAGCAGTTAAGGAACTAATAATTAGGGGGAGATGTCATTCACTTAAAACGTAAGAAGTCTACCTACCTTAAATAGGAAGGAAGCAAGAAGTCTTAAGGTACCAAAAAGAAAATCAGCAAAGATCAACCTCAAAATATGAAAAAAAATCAAGGCCATTGGTCTACTCAAGAACATCAAGTTTATGTTGAGTTCCTCAAACAACATCATAATACAACCATGCAAAATCAACAAAACAGAAAAAATAATAAAATCTTCAAACTCATGTCAATGACAATTGGGACTAGATCGCCATCTCAATGCAGGTATAAAAATTAATCGTATAAAAGATCTCATCATCAAAAATTTAATCCATTTACCTTAGCTGGGTAAAAGAGAAACAAGAAAAATAAGAAGAGAATCAGTAATTTTTCATCATAATAAATTTAGACACTGAAAACATCACATTCGCTAGCTAAGCCCAATAGTATTACACACCAGAAATCAAGTCTCAATTAAGTAACGAATTATTATGACCCACAGATCCCTGCCACTTTGAGTACTTCTCCAATTATGAAGACTCCCGTCCTTAGTTATATAACTTTTGTTGTAACTCTAATGATGAGAGCGATTGGTGTTATAGATAAAATTGTAACCAATATTTGGAAGGGCTTCTTGACTGAATTGATTGTATTATATTTATATTGTTTTAAATATTTATATCATACAAAATATTTTCATATCTTAAATTAGAAGTAATCTAATGGATTAGAGGGACTATTGCCAACTTATTAAATTATTTTGATATAAACCTCATTGATGAAGGTTATAATGAAGAACAATCTGGCTAACTTTAATTTTTATATTTTTAACAAATATAAAATTTTTTTATTAAGAATCAAAATTAATAATTTAATGATCTAATAATTTGATTATTGTGTTTGATAATGATTGTTTTTTAGATCCAAGAATTTGTTATATTTAAATAATTTTGATATTATCATTCTCGATATTATTCATTTTAGTTATACTATACATACTTATTTATATACAATTATTAATTATAATAGTAAATTAATGGATTCTTTATCTTTGTTTAAGAAGAAATAACAATAAGAGATATAATAAGCTCTAGCATATGAAAGACACATCCGAGAAAAAGAACTACAAAAAAGTTAACTTGTGTTAAGATCTTGTGAAAGGATGTAATTGATTACTGATAGATAACTACAGAAATTAAAATAGAGCCAAATGTCTGTTGTGAAGCACCAATAAAATGAGCATAGATTTAAATCATAGGAAAGTGATACTATTCGTACAAGGTAAGAGAGAGTCTTGTACATTTAGACCTAAAATAGAGCTAGAGCAGGAAGCATATGAGAGGTGGATTTCCAATCAAAAAAGGCAATTAAAAAGAATAGAAACAGAAAAATTGAAGAAATTTGAGTCAAAGATTGAAAGAGCAGAAAAAATTAAGATCATGAAAGAATAAGAACATAAAGACAAATAAAAATTGCGCATTGAAACAACAATTTAAAAGGAATAGATTCACAATGAATACACACATAGACTTCATGTAATTATTACTATATAGAATTTTATTTTAGAAATTACAAAAAAAAGTGTACGCAAATCAAATAAAGTTTGTTTGACCATTATATAATAATAAAAGTTTGATAATTAATTATATTACTATTTCTTATTATTTTTAAGATTAGTGACTCAAAATAAAAAGAATTATAATTTAACATTATATCTAAAGCCTACCTATAGTTGTAACATTATTAGATAATAAAAGAATCTATCAAATATTTGATATTTTATTTATACTATTTATGATATATTTTAGAATACCTGAAGGAATTGGTATTTAATAATTATATCTTTAATTCTTTATCCTTTCATAGTAACTAAACAAAAAGCAAGACAGAAATTTGCTTATATGAATTTTCTTATTTTAGACAAACACAAATTAAAAAGCATATGATTTACTGATTTATCAATGATGAAAATAAAATTATGGGAACCAACAAGCTAAAGTAGATCAATTGAAATGTCATCGTTTTTCTTTACTCTCTAATATACTTTATAAATATTCATATATGTCAGTATATTCCAAATTCTCCAGCTATTTAATAGTTTCCAGGTCCAGGTGTGATAGTTTTGTTACTTCCAAAACGTTAGACCTTTGAAAACTTAGCTGTTTGGCAATTAGTCCAATTTGAATTTGTATATTTAGGAGACATTTCAGTTCTGGGTCTATATTCTTAAGGTCCAGGAGTATCGTCAGTAGTCTGACCTGATCTTCCAGAACCAAATCCAGCAACGAATGATTTAGAATGTTCTTTCACTTAAATGTCATACTTTCCAGGTCCAGGAGAGCATGTTTCATTCTCTAAAATAATAATTATCATATACTTGGTTATAATTTTAATCCGAAATGTGGAGCCTTATTAACTTAGACTAAATTTTGGGCGACTTCATAAACCCCAACAGGAGGTACTTCACTTTTCTGTTTTGTCTATGTTCTACCAACTCCCATGGTATGTTTTTTTAAATTAGTAACTTGATTAATCTTTTGCTGTTAGACTTGGTATTATCCTGGACCTGGAGTTTTAGTTCCCAATTTGGAGAAATCAACTTTGGTGCCAGATCCAAAAGAGACTCCTTTATTAGGGGAAACGAGATCAGTTTTGATTGAATAAAAGGATGGCGAGTTACTAATTTGCTATTTGCATGTTTTACTCTCTTTATTCCTTGTAATTGAATCTTGGAGATTTGGGGAAGGTGTATAATTGTTTACTTTTTGAATTATTTAAGGGATTCTGCTTCACTTATTTGAATTATTCTTAATGTTATGGACTTTTCATTTATAAATTTTAATATGAATAGAATTATTATTATATGCTTTCATTTTAAATATGCTTCAACGAATTATTGCAAATTAATCTGTGGTGCTTTGTCCTTGTCGTCGTCCTTTTGATTCGATGTATTGGCTGCATATTATAACATACCTTTTAAATCGTCTTCCGAGATGTTCTCACCTAAACTCTTTGCTACCATCATCAATTCCTCCAAACCGATATAGCCATTTGCATCTCTGTCAAATACTTCAAAGGCGTCTCTCAAATCATCCTCACCACTTTTAGCCTTCTCCTCCTGCATCAATAATAGGTTCTTAAAATCATCAAAATCTAATTCCTTATCTTCTGCCCCCTCAGCCTTCTAGTTTTGTCTCAACTCCTTGACCATTGACTAGATTTCATCTTGCGAGAAATTGTAACCCAGAGAACGGAAAACCGAAGTCAATTCCTAAACTATTTGATAATGAATAGGGGGTTTCTTACCAGAAATACTTTTGGATTTATTCTTATCGAATATTTCGAATGCTTCTTTGATTTCAGCCTCTTTTTCTGCCAGGTCTTCCACTGTTTGTTGTTGCATTTAGAAATAATTAATAATTATAATCAATAATCATTTTAACAAATTCTAAATTTTCTATATCAATTACAGATTAACAGAGGATAAAATTTGTTGCTTTACTTATCCCTCAATTTTCAGAAGAGATTTCTACATTCTTTCAACTGAGATAGAGTCCTTCTTATAGTTTTAATCTTGGGCAATTTTTTCATTTCGCTGAATCAAATCCTATTGCAATAACTATTTCTATTTACAAATTCAATCGATTTCAATAAGTCAATTATATATTCTAGAGGCAATGTCGTCAGGATCTGAAAATAATGGGCAAGATCATAATCTGATTATTCAATGACCGATAGACTTTAGATCACATTAACTAATTTTACATTGCTCCCCTTATTCTTCCATTTAATACTCAATTCAAATATTATAGATATATGTTGCTTTGTATTGAACTTGCCCTTCTGCTTTCGCTATTCAATCTAATCTACTAATAACTCATAGAACTGCGATTAATAGGATGGGAAGTGAGTTATTGATAGGGCTAAGGATTGCAAGGAGGAATCATTGAACTTAGAGAAATCATATCTAATCAGGTACTTTATCAAATTATCAATTAGAATGTTGAGTTCCTATGTTAAATACCTGTCTCTGATCTTTATCACACTTGATAATAATATAGTGATTTCCTTTGAATCCAATTTATAAATGAGTTCTGCTTATTGATTGAATTTGCTAGTCATGGCCTTAAACAAGTTTATCAAATCCTCAATAAAGAAGCTCTACGCATCGTCTTTGCCGGCACTTTTGATGATGAAGGCCAGATGTGGAAATTTCTTGACCAACCAATCCTTTTTAGTTTCCAAATGTGGCAGAAGTAATTAAAGGAGTAATTTCCATTAATTAGCGAATTCAGAGTTGTCTAGATTCACTTGATATTTCAAAACAGCCTGGGAAATGATGAATATCATGTCAAATTGTTGAATGTGGTTAAATCTCTTCAAATTGCATTTGAGAAAATGCTAAAAATATAAACTTAATGTCTATTGATCAGCAATGCCTAAAGACAAACTATGGGAGATCATTTGAAGGACTCCGATGTTAATAGTGTTCAAATTTGAATTAATGTATTTCAAGAGAATTTCTTTGTTGGATTTGTTGCAAAAGATGTTAGTTTGATGTAGGGCCACAAGTAATGCCAACAATTATTCAAAGTTAATAGTTTGAGTCGTCAGGTAATCATTGAGACTGGAATTGAAAAGAGACTATTTGCCTTTTTCCAAGGATTCAAGTATTTTTGAAAATTTGAAGTTGCCATTTGTGGGAGTAAATTAAGTATCGGAATCAAATTTATCCATCTCAAATTTTTCGAAGAAGTGATCTAACTTTGAGAATTAGTAGAATTTGGCAAAACAAAATCGATTGCACAATTTTAGCACTAATAATTTTCTTAGCATTTTAATTATGAAATATTAATTGATAAATATAATCATTTTCTTTAAAATAATGAAAGTAATGACTATGTTGAGCTCTATTCTGATAATTGATTCGTCTTAGATTAGAGTAATTTTTGTAATCCTTTACTATTGAAATTAGTCAGCTTTCTGACATCATCATCTGAATTGAATCTGGCTGTTTCAGGGTTGTCTTCCTCTGACAATTCAGTCAACTTAATCATGGTATGTTCTGTTGCTTTTAATAAAGGAGTAGATTTTTTGATTGGCTAAGTATTCTCTTTGTTTTCCTTCAGTTATAGGATGCTGGAATTGGTTTGTTGAGTTGATAAATCCTTTTTTGAACTGTAACACTCCTGATTCTTTTTTAATATGGATTGATTGCAAAAGCTGATTAGATTCTTCAGATGGATTGAAATATCGGTATTTTGATCATTGGGGCCTATAGTGGTATTGAGTGTTTTTTGACTCTGTTAGGATTCCAATAAGGCTTTGATTTGAATGTTGGCCCCTGAAGAAGTGGTTTTTAATTGGTGTTAGCCAGTGGCATATTGGCTGACTTGTCTTTGGATGCTGGTTGTTTCGTTGATTGGTGAACTGCTTGTATTTTTGTGTTTGGTGAAACTGTGAGAACTAACCTTCCTATTTAAATCTTCATGTGATTATAATTGTAATCTTTTCTTGTGTGTTAATGATTTTCCCACTACTTCAGTGTGTTATTTTTTCAATTTGACATTGACTATTTTGGTATTGGGGGATTTAGGCTGAGTCTATTGGGTCAAGGTAGTTGGTAATAATTATTTTTTGATTCTTGTTGTGCTTTGTGGATTTTACAAGCGATCAGTGTTGAATTGATATTATGATGGGGATTTTTGTAGTTTGTTTTATCTCTAAGATGATTGAATCAAATTGCTGGTGGACGAATTGATTTGATTTAGATCCAATTGAGGAATCTTCTTACGTATCTGGATGTCGAGATTGCTTTCTTCGATGAACTAAGGAAGGACGTCCTTCAATTATTGGGCTTGTTGGGATGTAATGGTAATTTAGTCAATTTGATTTTGACACTGCCTTGATCGATAATAGCACAATTTACCTTAAGCAATGGCAGAATCAATTGCAGGGAGGTTGCTTTGACCAGAGTCAAGTCTAGATTTGAGTTCTAATTTGATTCGATGATGGAAATCACGTGGATCAACTCGTAATCTGGCTCCTATTCTTTGGATAGACATTGTTCCAAATAATCCTTCTTGAGTTGGCTTAAGTATAGCATTCTATGAACTATGAAATACATTCCCATAAATACTGTAATCTTTGGTATTCATATAACAAAATACAAATTATTTAATTTTAATACTGTTAGATTGATATAAATATTCATAATTCTTATTTTGAATAGTGTTCTCTGATCCAATTTCCAAATATTTAGGAGATTTCAATCCTAGCCTATTTCAATTGATCGCAATCTTGATCAGTAGGCGTATACAATTCCACACAATGTCCAGCATTAGCACAATTGATGTGATAGACATTGAACTTGCCTTTTTCCTCTATGATACTCACCCATTTCCATGGATCCTCATCTCCATTGGTAAAGATGATATTATCAACCTGCAAATCAAATCCTCCGAAATAAGCATTTCCTAGATCCTCATCTGGCCATAACTTCAATTCCTCTCCGAAAATATCCTTACAATATTATCTATAAAACTCTAAATCTAATCTATCAGACCTTAAAGAGTCCTACTCAGGGGCAGTTTACCACCAGCCAACCTCTGTGCAACATTGATATTTCCACTGTCTCGATGATCTCAGATTATGTTCATCGTAGACGTCATCCTTCAAATAATATGATCCATATGATTCTGGATTTTCCTCAACTAGAGTCCTGCTGATAAAATAGTCCATCTATTCTTCGATCGTCTTCCCCTTCAGATCATTACATAATTTGGTTCTTCCCCCGTATTGAATTTTTAAAATGATAGCATCTGTAAAATAAAATAAGAACTCGTCATCCTTCAACTTTTGTGCATTCAATCTTGCTCTTATTACATCCAGATTGTCTTCTGCATATTAATTCAAAGCCTTTAAATCATCAGCACACTACTATCCTGACTTCAAGGCACTTAAATAAACTTAGGTATCAAATTTAGGAAAATCCGTAAGTATTTATACTACTGCAGATGACGCCAATGCACCCACTACCAAATGAGGGTATTGATATCTGTACCAGGCAGCCATTGCCCCAGGGTATGAACCTCCAATTGCAATCCAAGGATGACTTTCCCTGACTCCAAAAAACTTACCTTACACAATATGCAATTAAAAATAAGCCAAATCATCCAATGCTTGTCTTATACCTAGGTATCTTTCATTAATATTTCAATTTACTTTAAATTCTCTAACCTTAAGGCATCTTCATCGAATGGCATACTCTTACCGTAGTATCTATGCTCTAACACTACAATCAATGCCTTATGAGTCTACGCTAATTCCACTGGAAAGAGTCTCTCCTTTCGAATTCCTGGACCTTTGATTGTCATAAATACTGTAAATTACATGTGTACTCTCCGCAGATCCAAAATAATACTGCCCCTCCTTCCGGCTAGAAGTACTCCTCGACTGTCCAATATCTTTATCTGAAGGTCTATGTGTTAGTTCTATCGTAATGATCGATCAATTAGTGTTCAAACCACCTCTCAGTCTAAATATAACCATTCACTCCCAAAATGGAGATGAATAATATTAAAGACAATTAATTCATCATCATAAAAATGAAATTTATTAATTTTTACTTTATTAACAATTTTTCTGAAAATGAGAAAAATAGGTCCCTATCCTAAATATTAATTTAAATATTCTCAAGATGATTACCCTTATAATTTAGAATATAAGAAATCAGCCCAGGCCCAAAAGTCAATCGACCCCAATTAACTATAAGAGTTTTATATTGACATTACCCCCACAACTGTCTAACAAGTAACGGATGAATTAAGCCTCTCCATTCTCCAAGGCATCGAAGCAGGCAAAGACCTCATTTATGTCCGCTTCGCTGAAACCGGAGGACACTGCATCGACCTGAAAAATTTGAGGTTGATCAACACTCTAAATGGAAAATCCAGACAGATTTATTTGGATGTACCTTTGGGCAGAACACTCCTGAAGCAGCACCACAAAGCCTAGATTTCACAGCAACCGTCTGCCTCCAAGTTAACTTACACCTAATTCCATTGGTTCGAAAGTATAGATGGAAAATATAGACCTTTGCACCTGTCAATCAATGATGCAATTGAAAATTTCTATCAAAATGCGTGTTAGACTGGCATATCCATTTACGAATTCACTTGGCAACAACATAGATTCATTGTAGATCTCAAGGAAAACACACTCGAAAATACCAATACCCTAACCATCAACCACATTCAAAGGAGAAACATAGAGAAACAATATTAGGAGGCACCGAAAAAACCAATTAGTAGAGGAGCCTTGAAAGAGATCGTGTGGCAATACTAAATATAGCCTAAGTCATACGAATGGAATGATTACGACAAGGACAATACGGATGCTCTTGAAAAGGCATATCAAAAATACTGTAAAAACTCAACCAAAACGAGCACTCTGAATGTTATCAGAAACACTTCAAAATACTACATTGATTTTGATAAGATGATTGAATACAACTTATTTAACAAAGAATCGCGATAAATTCGTAGATTTGTATAAGAAGGTTGATTAAATTTTAAATAATATACTTATAAATATTGCTTTAATTATATTAGTTCAATATATTATTAAACATATTCGTTAATCTAATGTCAAAGAATCAAGAGAAACTAAAAAAGGAATTACTGGAATAAGTAAGCAGAGACGTTCAAAGTGCTTAAGACCCTCAGAAGGAAGCATTTAAATTAGTTTAGAATGCCAATGAAACCTTTAAATAATTTGAATCTGCCCTCAAAAAGCCATTAGATGATGAGATGCTAAAACAAAGAGGTTCATCCAAGAAAAATGTCTAGTTTGCAGATACCATTAAATCTTCAGCAGAAATAGATCGATCAAAATCAGTTGAAAATAAAAAGGAAGAAAAGCCCATCCTATAACCATAAATCAAATAAAATGAAATTAAAGCTATTGTGCCTGAACGTTAGAGTAGAGCGACAAAAAAGGAAGGCAAACCAGAGAAGCCAATTTAAAAGACAAATCCTAAGCAGGAGAAGCCAACAACTGCCATTCCAGAAAAGAAGCCATAATAAAAGGAAAATTAGGATTCAAAGAAAAGCAATTAACCAGATTAGTCTCAAAAACAATAAACAATAGTACCTCAATAGCCAATTCAAGAGAAAGAAAGAGCAAACTAATACTAAAAATAAGTGATATCTGAGAGTGAATCCTCAAGTGGGTATGATGATGCCAGAAGGGAGAAAGGCCACACTTGTAGAAAACACTCAAAGGAGAGGGAAATAGCTAATAAATATGAAGAAATAATAGTGAGAAATCAAGAATCCGCTTAATAGTTATAAATGCAATTGAATGAATAGAATATTGAAAAAACCAAATTAATAACTGAAAACACTAAGCTAACTAGTATTAATGATATGCTTTCACAAGAAATAAGAAACTTGAATAAATAGTTGAGTCAGTCAAAAATGTAGATTGAACAATTGGACAAATAATTATACGATTTAAAATAAGCCTCTAGATCTGAGTTGTTGATTGTAAAGGATTAACTTTAGGAATCTAAATTCCAATGTGCAGAATTAGACAACAGAAATAATTATCTCAACAAAGCTAAAGATACATTTGAGTAGAATCTAAAACAGTTTGAAGCTGAAGTCGGAAGATTGCAGAAAATCAATCTTTAACAAACTCAAGCTGCAGCTCAAGACAAGTTGGCTATTTTAGAGAAGGATGGCACAATCGAAAGATTACAGAAATTGAATCATCAATTGAGTGTTGATCTCAACTAAATAAATACTCTGTATAAGGAAGTCAATGAAAAACATAAGAGTTTATTGGCAGCCTACAATAGTTTAGAGAATCAGAAAATTACCATAGAGAATGATCTAGAGTTTAGAAAAAAGGATCAATAGGAGCATTTGAGTACATTAAAAGAAAAGATTTAGAAACTAACCAATCAGAAGAGTGTATATGATGAAGAATTGGCGAAGATGCAACAACTTACTTAAGATGCTAAGGCTGAAAGAGATCAATTTAAATTGCAATATGAATAAATGAAGGTGTTATGTTCTGAATCTGAGGAGTTGAGGAAGAGATTGAAACTCAGGGAAGTAGAAAATGAATAATTACAATGTGAAAATGATAAATTGAAATGGAAAGTAAGAAAAGATCCCAATGGTATATTGTCAGATTTAAAAATAATGAAATTGTAAGCAGAAGATCCCAATGCCAAAGTATCCATGGAACAATTATCGAAGTTGGACAACCAGGTTAGGTAATTATAAGAGGAGAATAACAGGTATATATTAATTACATTTATGTAGATTAACGGCAGAAAATAAGTAGTTACTAAAATAAATCTAATAAACTGAGTTATATGTTTAAGAAGTGAAATCTATGTTTGATAGGGAAAGATCGTTTTTGGAAGAGAAAGTATTTCACAAGGAGAAGGAAATCAATGAGTTGATTATACGACATCGACATGAGATGGCCGAAATTGAAAATAAATATCAAGATCTACATAGGAGATAAGAAAATGAAAACAAATAAAGACAAACACATCAAAACTACCAACAATAATCATATTCCCAATATAATTAAGCTGGTGCAACTTAACAATCAGGTTCTAAGGTATCTCCATACAGTGTGCCTTAACTATAAGCCAAAATTAAATCCTACATTTGATATCTTAAATAATATTAATATGATTTTTTTTGTTATTTTAGTTTCCCTGCTTCTACTAATTTTGGTTTTAATACTTTGGGCAAACTATAACTAATCCAATAATTTTAGTGCTCAGGAACAGAGTTAGAAAATAGAAGAGCAAACATGTTAATTGATAGAGAAAACTAAATTAAATCATGATACCTATAAACTTAAATTTGCTCTTCCGTCAAAAATTAATGATTTAGGAATCAAAGTAGGATAGTATATTAGCTTACAGTAAAAATTTTAAATACTTAGCCATCCAAATAAATATGAATTGAATAATATGTACTTTCCAATCAACCCAATTGATCAGAAAGGCAAATTCGAATTATTAGTTAAGATCTAGAGTGAATTGGAGAAAGATAACCAAAAAGGAAGGGAATTGGAGAAAGATAACCAAAAAGTTAGTGAATTTGAAAAAGATAACTAAAAAGGAAGTAAAATTGAGAAAGATGATCAAAATGGAAGTGAATTTGAAAAAGATAACCAAAATGGAAGTAAAATTGAGAAAGATGACCAAAATGAAAGTAAAATTAAAAAAGATGAACAAAATCGAAGTAGTTTCAATTATTGGATTGAAAAAATGATTGTAAAAAATAATTAATTTTTAAGCCAGGAGATTCTGCTTTAATCAAAAGTCCTTTAGGTTCCTTTTTCTATTTCGGCAGTGGAAACACTTTTAGAATTTAAAAACCACAGAGAATAACCGCAAAATACAAAAGAATAATGATGATTGCTGGTGGATCAGGAATAGCCCCCATGTACTAAATTATTCAAGCTGTGGCAAATAATAGTAGTGATAAAACACAATTGCAATTGCTTTATGCAAATAAAACTTAAGTAATATTTAATATTCTATCACTTAGTAAGATATATTATTATACAACGAATTGAAGGCTTTTGAAGCTTCAAAAAAAATAAAATTGCACCTCACTTTGGACAAGGTACCATTTTATATTAATATTATGCTTAGCCTCTTGCTTCATGGGTTCAATTTTCTGGATTTGTTTCAAGGTCTATGATTGAAAGGGCTTTTGGAACCATCGATAAGCATACTTTGGTCTTGGTCTGTGGTCCTCCTAAGATGAGATAGTTAGTTGGATAGATTTTTCACGAGTTGAATGTGGATAGCAATAACTTTTACATGTTCACTTGAGAAAAAGAAGCAAGAATGAGATTATATAAATATAATTCACATTTATTTGAATTCTTATAGAAATTTGATTGCAGAAGAGAGTGGTTTTTCGATAGTGGGGATGAATAAAAGGATGATGCAATAGACCATTTAAAAATATATATATTGGATATTATAAATTTTAAAGTATTCGTTTTTAAGAGAATTATGGTTAGCATTAATATTAATATTTTATGAAGACAATCATACTTGTATTGTTGAGTGTGTAGATCTTATTAGCATAGGATCCTTGGGTAACCCATTATACAGCATTTACATCAGCTGAAATAAATGACTTGGATGGTAATGATGTGGAAATTAATAATTAGGTTGGGTTGTAAAGAAAGCATTTAAAGGAAACACTTTTAGTAAGTGCGACAAAATTAGTTTGGTTGGTGGATATGGAGCTTTTGGTAAAAGGAGCAACAGCTTTAAAATAATTAGCACTTCCACCACATTATAAATTAAAGATCAATGTTCAGTTATGGAAGTAATATTGATTAAATAACTAAAATAATAGAATTGATAGTTGGGATAACGAAATAATGTTTGTTTTGGTTGATGGTTTCATTTGGCAAGCAAAATGGCACTATTCTGAAGGAGCTAATTTATGTGGAGCTGCAAATGATTGGAAAGAAGCCTTTTATAACATAGAATTTGAAGTTCCTCACAATTCACCAACAGTGAGCATAGTATTGACATCCAATTTGGACGAAGATGCTTTGAATGTAAGGATAATCATATTAATCATAATAGGAATCATGGGCATTCAGAGATTTCAAAATATCATTCTAAAGATGTCATTCAGAATGTGCAGTATGTGGAGATAATAAGCCAGACAATTGTTTCTTTTGGACAAATGTAGCTACTAATTGGAATAAGTAAATTTCATTAGAAGGATGGACATTGGATGGAGAAGGAAAGGCTGAATCAAATGAATGTGCAGGAGTACAACTCTTTGGTGGTTATGGAAAATTAGGAAGAAAAGCCAATTTATGGAAAAGATTCACTAATTTACCACCCCACTTTTAAGTTAAGGTCAAGGTATAAATGTGGAAGATTGATTCTTGGGATAATGAGTTGTTCTTAATGGAAATTGATGATTAGGAGAAATTCAGATAAGCCTTTGCCTATAATGAAGGAGTAGATCTCTGTGGTGTTGATACAGGTGCCAAATAAGGAGAAGGATGGGCTGAAAAGATAGTTAATATCGAAATTAATGTCCCTCACAAATTCCCTGAAGTCAAAGTCTTAATGAAATCCACATTGGATGAACCACCTGAGAATGAATCATGGGGAGTTAGAGATTTCCAATTATTCGCTGCTCAATGTTTCAAAGGATGCACAGGTTGCACTGGACCAGCTAAATCTGATTGTACTTCATGTGGATAAGGTTTTGATCTTGTCAATGGTGAATGCAAAGAAGGAAGTAATTAAATAGATATATAAATTGATTAGTTAAATGGATGACATTGAACAGATTCTTCTTTAATGATGAATAAGATTTCTAAGGATTGTATGATTGGGTTCCATCAAGTGTATTCCAAAATTAAAATCCATTTTCAACTTGCGGATAAAAGAAATTGTTTGGTGGTTATCAAAGATTTGGATCCAAAGCTAAGGCTGAAAGAAATTTCAATCTTCCAAAACATTCTAGACTCAGAGTTCAATTCTAATTCTGGAAGATCGACTCATGGGATGATGAAAAGTTCTAAGTCTTTGTTGATGGCAAAGTTGTCTTTGAAAGATCATTCGGATTCAGTACTCCAGGATAAGCCAAAATCTGTGGAGCTCCTCAAAGCACTTGGATGACTTACTTCTTCAATGTTGATGTCATTATTGAACACTCTAACCCTACTGCCAATATAGTCTTGAGTTCTACACTAGATTAAGCTGCTGATGATGAATCATGGGGTTTCAGAGAATTCCAACTACTTTATGAATTAAAAGAAGATTGCGTTGAATTGTATACTGAATGTGGATTCAAGGGAACTAAATTTGAGGTCTGTAGAGATACTCCATCACTTGCAAGAGTAATACTCTATTATGATATCATTATAGGAAAAGATCAGCCAAGTTAAATCTATCAAGATTCCTCCTGGTGTTGTCGTCTAAGGATTTGATGAGGAAGTTTATAAAGGAAAAACAGTTAAATTCTCATAAAGTTAGGATTGTTTAGAGGAAATCTAATTTTCTTTTATTCAAAAGAAGTTTGAAATTATTCAAGCTGATGACTCTGTTTTGGCTGCAAATTTAAGACGTATCAGATTTGATTGATATAAAATAAACATAATTATTATACAAATCTTTTGTTAATTTAGATGAAGCTTAGGCTTGATTTGTAAATTAAAAAGAAGATAGTAGAAATAATCAGTAAATTCTTTTATAAGTCCATAAAACAAATTATTTTTTTTGAAGATTTCTATTTTATTTATAATCACGTCTGTTTTAAATGCGCAATTTTCAAAACATCAGTGATATTAAATTAACCGATCTATCACTTAGTCTAATATCCATGAATTATGATGGCTCTTAATTCGTAATTCTAAAGTATACCTACTTAACATATTATCGAAAAGTTGGAAAATGTTATTAGATTTAATAAGAATAACGAAATTTTTTATGTTATTGGGATATAGAGGATTTTATGCTTCATCCTTATGAAAACTATTTAGGGGTGGTTTACAGAAAAAATCACAAAATCTACTACACAAATTTTAGATATTCTGAAAAATATAATTAATGGCTTATTTATTACCATAAATCGCTCTTGAATATTGATAATTCACTTCATTTCCCTTTAAAATTTAATTTAAATCCCTCCATAAATTTAATCAACACAAGCTGCAATTAACCATCACTGGAAGACTTAATGGGAATATTTTAATTTTAAGTAAGACAAAATGCCAAAAAATTAAGAAAATATCAAATCTAAGGGGAAAAAATAAAATATTTTGATTAATAAAAACTTATACTATCGATATGCCATAAAAAATTAATAGTTTACAAATACTATCATTTTTAACCCTTACATATATATAACGCAAAATGTAACATTTTTGATATTACATTTAACGATCAAGGTTTAGTCTTCATACTTTGTACTAGTGGTTTAATAGTATGGAATCTAAAAACATTAAAAAAATAATAAATAATCCAATTAGATCCTATTTTAAAAAGTCTAAATAGTTAATTCGAATTATATTTTTTAACAGGAGCAGTAATATTTTCAACCTCTCATAAAACTTATTATTCTCTGAATTTAGATGAGAATAAAGAATACAAAGCAATGAAAAGTTAAAAAGAGCACACAAAATTTATATCGAATGCAAAAGGAAATATTTACTTATCGCTAGATTATAATAAATCGAAAGGCAAATTAAGTAAATTAAGAGTATTTGAATCACAATGACTTTGTATATATATTTTATAATTAAGAACTAATGTTTAATAATATTAACAAATAGAATACAGTTTAATATTGTACAATAAGGACACAAAAGTGATTTAATTAATTTATTAGTTTTTAACACAAAATCCAAATATATACATATTAGGTTTTTAATATCTTAATATAATTTAGCAAAAGGTTAATTCTTATCAAATAAATTAAACTATTTACAAGGTTAAATTAAAATTAATTTTTAGTTTTATTATGATTTAAAACTAATAATAGATGTTATTTGAATTTAGCATTTACCATAAAAAATGAAGTGATTACTATTAAAACGGCGATACAATTTTACTTAATTTATAATTATAAAAAATCTAAAGTAATGAAATAACTAATCAACATATAAAGAGAATTATTACATCTGCAAATACTGAAGATATCCAATAACAAACTTCAGAAAATCCAAAAGCAACTAGATATACTACGAAATCCATTCAAATAGGAGCAACCAATCTGATGAGAAAAGACTAGTTATCAAATGATGACAACTTTGAGAATGATGAAGAATAATCTTATCTAAAAATGTAGTATATGGTTATATTTTATAATAATAATAAAATGGCTCGCTATTTATTTACTTACTTATATTATTAAATATAACAAAAAATTCAAAGGTTATCCTTTGAGAAATCTGTGATGATTTGTACATCTTCATCATCTATAATGATAAAATTTTGTTCTTTTTTCTAAGATTACTTCTGTTTTGATGGACCTTTAATTATATTTGGAAAAAATAATTATTAATTTTAGATTAGCCATGGAGTAGAAATTTGATGAGCATTATTATTATTCGTATACTTAATGGTATGAGTATTATTGTCAACTTTTTTTGCAAAATCTGAATAGTCATATTTTTATTCTTCGTTTAACTTTAGATTCTCAAGAAAATCTTACGTTTTATTTGAATTAGTAAATTACATTTTTTGTTATTCATCACTTTACTGAAATCCCTTTGAGTTTTCATATTAACCTATTTCTTTCACTTTTAATTCAGGTATCAATCGCTACTTTTCTTACGATTTATTCTTTGATTTAAACCTTTGATATTATTTTTATTGTCGGAATCTCCTTTTAAATTTTCTTTTTTTTATCCTCAATTTAAGTGTATTTTTTTTATATGATTTAAACTCAATGCAATTTTTATTTGGTTAATATACAATCTACGAATCAATGAATTTAGCTTACTTCGCTTAATCCCAGATGTTTTTGAAAGATTCCGTAAATTATTTTGCTGTTTTGGTGTCACTAATGATTGAAATGTGCTCAAAGTTGTTTGAAAATGCTTAATAGGTCCAATTCGCACTTCCTACCATAGTGAGTTTGCCATCAATGACGCAAAATTTGCTATGCATTAATCCTTTGGATTCAATCAAAGAAACATTGACTTTGAATCCACTCATAACTAATAGTTTATTGATAATTATTTGCTTTCTTTCTTCAAATTCCTCTGAATTTAAATCCATAATTATGTCAACTCTACACCCTTTAGTAGCTAATGAAATCAGTATGTCAATAATCGTCTAATGAGTCAATTAGTAAATGCAACCTAAAAATGTTGACTTGCATTTTTTCAATCTCCTGCAAAACCTTGAGAAATTATCTTCATTTGGAAAGAACAAATGTAAAAGGTCAGCTCTAGAATGTTTACTTCTTTCGTGATGCATATTATTATGAAAATTAATATTAAGTTCCATATATTTTCGGTTCTAATTACCTAAATTTAACAAGGATTTATGTTAATAATATACATTAAGTATAAAATAATACATACAATATCTAAGGATGAATAAGTTAATTAAATGAAAAATAAAATAAATTCGTTAATCATATCTTACTAAATTTGTTTGGTCTAAATAATTAGGCATTATCGCACGTATCAATTAAATCTTTGAGTTTCCTTTTGAATTCAGATGCATTGTTAATTTTGGTACTTTAAGTACTAGTAACAATTTTCTCTGGGGATAATGGACTTAAATTAAAAGCTTTGTTTTTCTTACTTTTAAAAGGAAGATAATGATTCTATTTTTGGCAAAGTGTAATCCGATATAGTAGTTTTGAGTTTGCTTTTTTCTGAAAAGAAATTGGAATTATAAGGTATTTGATCTGATCTATAAAAATGAAACAATAAAATACGAAATTTGAGTTTTATATTTTTAGGACTTTTGTTATTACTGTCTCTGAATTTCTAGAATTTCACTCACATTGTTTAGTTTGGATACCTTCTGTACAACATGATTATATTTATAACTCCACAATTCACAGATCTAACTATTTGTTATCAATTGTAATTACAATTTTTTAACGTCGATGATGTCATCTTTAGGTTTTTGAAAAGATCTTTTGAATGGAATCTATCCCGGTTTCAATAGGATACTTTGTGGAGCAACTTGTTAGACTGGACTCTCCTCTGCTTGAAGCTTTCTAAATCTCTTTTTATAAAATGTCCTGTAAGTTTCAACCCTTTCCAATTCAGGGACATCTTGAGTATTATAGGGATTGAATTTTGAGATTGTTAGTCTTTTAGACATTGTATTGTGATGCAATATAATATAATTAAATTTACTCAAATTATAAAATATATATTTAACAAAAATAACTATTTGTATTAAATTTTAGTAGTGCATTCAATCATCTACATTTATGTGATTTGAATGAATAAAAAGTATTCCTAAAACAAAATTTATTAATAATAATATAAAACTCATCTTTTACTATAGGAACTAGTGTTAATATGTATTTTATATACTTGTATCTTAAAGTTCCAATGCCTGCTTGTTAGATGATTTAGTTTTTTTTCTCCATCTTCTCCGACTTTTGCTTATTTAATGGGGGCTTAAGTATTTGATCGATGGTGTTCTGTTTTTTGAGGAGAGGCGTCTAATTGTAACTGGGACATTAAGTAGTAATTTAAGGTGATAGTTAAGAGAATCTACCTAAACCAAATAAAATACTCCATTGGCATTTTCTTATCAGGACCGAAGCTCCGAGTTAGTCCGTACTTATCAACACTCATTTATTGGCGAAGTTAACCTAACATCGTTTTTGGAATGGCAACTATTTCGTATTCATCCATATCCAGTTAATTAAAATCCTATTGCATTCTGAATTGATATTGATTTTGCTGTTTCTTGGGATCATCTAGATAATAAGGATGTTCTGTTTTAACATGATTTTATTTAACAACTTAAGAGCCCGCATTAGAAAACTTCTAAGCATAGTTGGTTGAGTTTCCTTGATTAGGTGATGATTGGATATGGGTGAAAATATGAGATTTGGTTTCCCTTATTCCTTCAGTGTAATGTCCGAGTGTCGGGAGGGTTGGAGAGATTTCATCCTACGAAGCCATGTATTGGTTATTTTTAGCAATGGGAATTGAAGGCTTGCTGACCATTCCTATCACTCCATCTTTATTCATCACGGTCATCTTTCCCTTAAAACGCGATTAAAAATCCATTGTATTAATAAAATAATTATAGGATGAAAAAATAATATGGCAATTCATTTATTTTAGACACTTCGATTGTAACTTAATTTACTTATCCTAGGGAATGAACAACACTATTTACTTGAGTCCCAATACAAAAAATACCATGACCAACAGTTTTTCAATGAAAACTGATATATATGATCAAAATTTACAATGCAATCTATTTCTTTTTCTGTCAATAGTACATGGAAATCATCAATTAAATAAGCTTTTTATTCAGAGATGTGGGAACAAAGATAAGTTTTTGCAAATGCTCGACACTTTGTAGTACTCTACTTTGCTAACAAAAGTACTTCAGATAGTTAATTAATATTTTACAGAAACATAATCACAAACTTCTGAGTAGTAACCTAATAGCAATAATAAATCATGGTACTCATCCGATTAAAAACCCACTCAAAAATAAGGAAGCAATGACAAATTCTAATCAATGATAAAGAAAATTGTAACAACCGATGTAGATCCTTTGAAATCCCTTATTAATAGGGTTCAAGAGTAAAACTAAAGCTAGTATTTATCATCTAGTAAACTCACATCTACTTCTCAACTTTCGAATAAGCTGAGTGAGAAATTGATGAAAACTAATATACTCAAAGATCAGTTAAAAGAGAAGATCACTAAATTAGCTATGTAGAATAGTTAAAATTAGTAATATAAAATAATCAAAACTGAATCAGATGCCTAAACTTATCCTACACTTATGAGAGATACTCCAAATTAGACAATCTCCTCAAAAGAACCAAACTTTCACAAACCAAACAGAATCTCCTTTGGATAACAATAAATGTTTAATGTGTTAAATGACGATTAGATTATTGAATAGGAAAATATAGGAACTAATCAATATCCACTTATTGATTCCTCTCCCAAGTTTCTACATCATTAATTTAAAGATCATACCATCCAAACATCAGAAACTAAAGGAAATGTCTATCTCCAAAATGATTTAAGCAATGATCACTCCTTGGATTTAACTCAGGAAAAATCCAGAAGATTTGAAGGGACGTTTGGTAAAGTAAAAAATAGAAATATAAAAAACAGAAAAAAGTCCAATAGTGTTTCAGGTAATCTGTCACCTTAAAGGAGTGACAGGTACAATCATGAAATTGTTTCAATCGATTAAATTTAACATAAAAGGAAAATCAGTATTAATAGTGTAAATAGAAGGTATAATATATTAACTAATGAATAATTGCAATGATTAAATATAATAAATTTTATTACATATTTAAATTTCTATATTATAATTTATTAATCAAAACAAAGGTTTTATATAAACTAACTTTCTATTTTGCTTAAAATCTATGAATCTAATTAATAGAATTATTGTACAATATCAATTGCTGTAAAAGATATTGATTTACAATAACATCAATGATAAATAAATATGCACTTATGGATATACATCAAATAACAATTATTTAAGTAAATCATAATTCTAAAGGATTATTATATTCAGAAATCGAGCTTTATATATAAATTAGACTAAATGAAGGTTTTTTAAGTGGAATGGATACTTAATGTGAACTTATTAGAAATTTATAATTTTTTCCATGTCTATAATAAATGGAGTTATTTTTATATTAAACTACAAATTACATAAGTTGAATGTTCATGGCATTCTCAAAACCCTAATTTGTTTATCTCATTTAAAAGTAATTCAACATAATTGTTTTTTCTTCACCTAATAAAGAATAAGAAAGAGGAAGGCAAACATCTTAGAATTCTGCGATTTTCTAATTCTTATAGCAAAATACAATGACTTTATGAATTAATAAGCAATTAAGCCTACCATCATTATTCTTATGTTATTATCTATTCTTTGAAATTTTATGAGAATCTCATCATTCAAGAGTAAATTCATTGAATAATCAAATCAATGATTAGGGAAAATGGAATTGAGTGCAGGGGGACTTATTGAAAACAAAATGAATTAATAAATGGAAAATGAATTAAAGTTTATGAAATGTTAAGTAAGTATTATCATAACGTTTTCTGTTTAGAAATGTACCTATTCAAATGCTTTAGAATTTAAAGGTTTTGAAATACTATGAAAAAAATTAATTATTTTCAATAAGCATAATTCAATTTTAGAGAGGTCTGCTTTTGATTATATTAAGTCGGTAGCAAGTAATGAAGGATCAGTCAGATGAAAAGCAACAAAATAAATATAATTGTACTTAATGTGAGGACATTAATGGACTCGATTAAAGCATAAGAAAAGTAATAAAAATGGATGGAAGTGCTGAGAATGCTAGTACTAGTATTCAAATTAATTTAGTAATTGATTAGTAATGCAATTCCATCAGAGTTAATGAATAGCAAAAATAAGTCATTTAATAAATTAAACATCTTGCTGGACAAGGCTCTCATATGTATGTAACTATCAATCTATTTCAATTTTTAATGACTACAATTGTAGTTTTCACATTTCACTTATATTTTCATTGCTTCCTTATTATTATTTTAGTACCGGATATCTAGAGCTTCCAACATAATAAATAAATCAATATAAAAAGAAAAGTAATGCAGATGCATTGATTGACGAAGTATTATTAGAGTAAGACCATTTTCAAATCAATCTCAATTCTAACCCATATATCGAACATTTATTTTTTCTTATTATTTTTACATAGTAAGTTTTTACCGCCAAACTCAATCACTCCACTCATATTCACCAAGAAACTGCCACAAGGAGGACAATATAGATTCAAAGGAACTTAACCATTGTGGGTCAACGCATTAGAGAGTCTTCTAAGTGTGGTGGTCCAATTGTATTATAAGAGTGATCAAAAATTGGCAGAGTTTATGAAAGAAAAAGGCCTGATAGATTCAAAGAAAGAACTCAAGCAGGTTCATATACCTTTCTAAATTCAAGGAAAAGAAACCTGGAAGAAAAAAGAAGATCCTCGATAATGATTCACCAAATCAGGAATAAACCGAGCAATAGCAACAACAGTCCACTAATATCAATGTTTATTCTCTGCTTTAATAAGATGTCTTAGATATCCTTATATCTCCATTAAGAAATGATTTTGCATTTGGTATTACAAATATTTCTATATTTAAGAAACCTGGACACCTAAAGAAATCGCTATATTTGAATGCGGACTCTGCAGATATGGCAAATAGTATGAATTCTTATCCCATCTTGTAAAATATTTCCTAATTTAAGATTAAAACTAAAAATGCTCAAGACATCATCTAATTTTATTACTTTTGGAAATTCACAAGCCATTATAAATTATGGAAAATTAATAAGGCATATTATCATCGCAGTAACCTAAATAATTATGTTTGATTCAACTTTGTTCTTGCATTATTCATGCTCAAATTATAATATTATAGTATATAATTTCCTTTATATATAATATATTTTGAAAATGTTATTGTTAAATTTCATATAAATTCTATTTATGCGCCTCCATAAAGCATGACACAAAGGGAAAATTCTAAAGCATTTTTAGCTCCCTCCATTTCATATGGTTTTCCATTTTAATTACTATTAGTTATAATTACAAAATCTGCTTAATAATAGAAAGTTATTTTGTGAAGTACTTTTGTAATAAATAAAATAGAAACAATATAACCTTTATAGCCTGAAATGACAAACCCACCAAATCACGAAAGGTAAATAAAGTGGTTTTCTGATGTATATTGTACTTGCATATCATAAATAAAATCTTTAGGTTATTAACGTGGCGTATATTAACTCTTTGCCCAAATATCACATTTCTTCATAGAATAAACGCCATATTTCTTTTCATAATGAATTCTATTATTTTGCCTTTAGTAAGGAAATTTTATAACACTCAATCCACGCCCTCCTGAAGGATGCAGAAAATTCAAAGTGAAAATACTTTCGTGTTGACTGCTTAAAACCAAGCCTATTTATAACTATAATTAAATTGAGGCTGTTAAAATATCTTTCTGAAATTTTTAATTTTTTACTTTTGTTGTGCAATTTATTATTATTAATTTTAAGAGATTTTTAGTTATACTACAATTTATATCGAAAATATAACCTTATTTATTTTCTTATCAAGGCTAGCATTTTTTATCAGCTTATATAGGATTTCTTTTTATATTTAGTTACAAAATAAAACTGAATTAAGTTTGGTCTTTAGTTCAACTAAAGATTCTATTTGTGTTTTAGTATTTAATTAAGAAATTCCTTTTCTTGTGCACAATTGTGCTCTTAGTTTATTTTCTAATGAAATTATATTTTAAATTTATTATTTTTTTGATTATATAATTCATAAATTTCTCTTTTTTTTAGCAGGCGGGTGTTTTTTCATATATTTTGATTGAACCCTGTTTATTTCATTATCTAAATATAATTAATCTTATTGTTAATCTTCTTCTAATTTTTTCAAAATGTTTTAATGATCCTCTTATTCAAGCTTGATTAAATTAAATTTTTCCCTTGAAAATTCACAAAATTCTTGTATTTATTCTTCAAATTTGACATATAATTGTTTGTCTAATTCAATTTATTATTCAATTATTTAATAATAATAGTTTGAATTTTAGCATAATGGCAATAAAATCTAATTTATTTCCTCCAATTCTAATTAAAAGATATTATGATCCTTGAATTATAGGTTTGTTTCTATTATCTTTTCAAAAGACTTAAAATTTTCTTCCAATTCTTTAATATGTAAATTTATGATTTCAACATATTTATCACATAATTCCTTACAGAATTTAATTATCTCATTTGTATGCTTCTTTCTTAATTTTTAACAATATTTTAATGATTTTTCTGATACTTAATAATAATCTTAAATCGATTTCTACAATTACTAGAGTGTCATATACTTTCCTTAATTCTCTGAAATACATTAAACACAAGAGTATTGTTCAAGCTTCTTATTTTGATGATCAAGTTAGACCATAATAATTTCTTAACCATGATTTTAACATCGAAACTTTAAGGATGGGGTTAGCTTAATTAAAAAATAATAATTACTTTGGCATTTTAAATTCTTTCATCTTCAATCTCTATTTGTAATTTGGATATATCATACACATTTTGAAATAATTTCTATAATCTTTTATTTTGAAAGACTAGATATTTGGCAAAATTAAAATTATTTGAGTAATGACTATATTAACAGTAAATCATTTTCTTAAGTCTTTTATTATAACTAATTAGTTTCTTCATCAGCTAATAATGCTAAATCTGTATCTAAGTTGCCAGGTGTAATTATCTGACTTTCTTACTTCTGTTTTTCATTTTAGATTTTAAATTAATCAATTTCTTCATTGAGTTTTATAAATAGTTATTCGAAAGGACTTTTTATCTCTTAAAGACTATTTTTCAGATTAGTGGCTAAGTTTATTTTTTGTTTGCATTCTTCTTCAATACTTTTTGAAATTTAGTTTTTTTTAATCTGTATTTATCGTTTTGCTTCTCTAATTAGTATCAACTCTTTTGGGTTTATTAATTCAATTAAACATTGAGGACATAAATATTTATTCTAGTCTTAATTATCTAACCCAATTTTAACTGCGATAAATTCTAAATCATGTTAAGAACATTTCTCTTCTAATAAATCATCCATAATTCAATTTATTTGAACAGAAAGATATACATATTTATTTGTTTTTAACCAAATTCTATCATTTAATTATTCTATATTATTAATATTAAATTAAAATATATATTAATAATCTCACTTATATTTTTAATGATGGAAATATCTTAATATTGCTAAATAGTTATGATTAATGGACAATACTCCTTAATCATTGAATAAGTTGATCAATATAGCAATGTTGTCATGAGTTAATTCTGGGACGATAGCTTCATACTTGGAAAGAATATCTGGTTCATTTTATTCTTACATGAAGGATTCTGATTTTTTGAATGCCACAGACTTTTTAACGGATTCAGGTGCTTAGCCATTTTACATTTAGATTGTACCTAAAATATAGATAATTATAATACTTGGCTTTTAGAAGAAATAGAATCCTATTTATTCAATTAGTTTATAAAATGCTTTTTTATGATGTTTGTAATCTCTTTCCTTCATTTTTTATGATTGTTAATCTGATTCCTTCATTTTAGATTGCAAATTGAGAGCATCCTACAAAAGCATCGAAATATTTGCATCAGTAATATAGATATTACCATATAAGACATTCTTCTCTTCAGAAATGATTAATTTATCTTTATCATCTTTCTATAATGAAGTAATAATTTTATCCTTATTGAGTCCACCTAAGACATAAAGGACTTTAAATTCATGTGCAACTGGATTATACAATAATTTAGTAACAATAGTGCCTTCATCTATGAATACTGCATTCACATCATTTTTAGGAGCCACTTCTAACGAAGTTATCAAACATTTTTGGTAAGATTGCATATGCAACTTTAAGAAACGATGAGTTTTAGAAATCATTCTTTGTAAATATGCTCCACTAAAGGTCATTACTTTAGCTTCTCTCCATACTTTTTAAATGAATTATAAAACATCCATTGATGATACACCAACTTTTTTTTTGGATTCTTCAAATAAGATTGGATTGTATTTTTTCTTATATTAATAGTCCTATTCGATTATCTCAGCATAAATTTCCAGTGCCAATTTATTCACATCAGGCAATGGAGTAAGTGCAACTGTTGCAAAATTTTCTAAGAGTTCTTGTCTTGCTTTAACTAATTCAATGGCATATTTGAGATAACTTTGTGCTTCTAATTCTAAATTGAGTTATTCCAATCTATCTGATCTTTCCATACTAACCAATTATTATTCTAAATCTATTTTGTTTTGTTCAGTGTCTAAAATATTAATAATAATTATTACTCTTAGAATTGATTAAGGATTGTAAATAATCCACCTTCACATATCTATACCCTTGCCTGACTCGATATTCTCTTATAAATAAACAAATCTCAGCCATAGCAACCAAGATTTCTTCTGGTTTTCTATTGAATTCAAATAAAACTGCCTCTCCTCTTATTACACTGATGGCTTTCAATAAACTTTCTTTGGCTTGCATCAGATATTGCAAACCCTATTCTTTGAGCAATTAGCAAAAGGGAGGCACAAGTAGAAAGTATTTATTCCTTACAAGATCTCGATGAGGCCTTTTCTCATAGAAATCAGCGTATTTTTTATTTTTACCAGACAAATACTTCATAAAGTACTTTTGTTGTAAGTTTAATAATAATTAAACAAATCTTATTTTATAAATCTTACTTTATAAATAATGCAATTCTAATCTGAAACTAATAGGTACATTGATACTTTTACTAATTGAAGTATCAATTTTATTAACTATTTCACTAATTACATTGATATCAAAGGTATCTTTAACTGAAGATTTCTCACTTTCTGAATCTGAAGCCACTGATGATTCCTATGAATCTATAGAAACACTAGAATTTTCATTGGCTTAATTCAAAGTAATCATTATGTCAACATATCTTAATGATGCTCTCTACCATAATTCAATGTTCTTTAAATAACAATTATATTGATATTATGTATTATTGATTGTATCGATATCCACAGTAGTGTAGGTGAGTTTAGTAGGTTAAATAAAGTTAAAATTAGGTAATTAATTTAATCCCTTAATGGGCATTTGTGGTTTATCAATATTATCCTTTTTCGTTTACTTATCAGCTCCCTTTCTAGCTACTTTTCCATCATCCTTCTTCTTCTCATCTTTCTTAGTTGTCTTGATTTATTTATCAGTCTTTTTTAGTATTTCCTATTCTATTTCCAATGGGACACACAAATCTTAGCAAATTTAAATCTTCTCCTGCCCACATTTATGATTCCAATTAGGCACTACTCCATATCCATAGTTGATCATCTACATTAATTACTCAGCCATTTAATAAGCATCATAAAATTGTTGTTTGGCTTCTTGAAACTCATTTTTTTCATGATAGATTTCTCCAAGATCACCATATAGTACAATCATTTGAGGATCCTAATGGAAATTCTTTTGGCCAATTTCTATAGCCTCTTTGAATTTCTTTATGGATTCTGTTTGTTTTCCCTTCTTAAATTGAATTCTCGCTTGATATTCAATGATCAATCTTTGATGGTAATTGTCATTAAACTATTTGCAATCATTCATCAAAGCTTCCATGTACTCTAGAGCTTCCTCATGCCTATTGTGTCTATATAATAGCAGTGTCAATTCAGTTCTTAACTTAATCCAATAAAAGATATTTAATGAATGTCTAGTTTTTCTGGCTTCAACAATTTGTAAGATTGTTTCTTCTAATTTTAGTTATGCATCCGTTTTCACAGCAGGCACTTCATCTGCAACGGGTTTATCCTTGGATTCTTTGCCTTCCTTTCCTTTCTTCTCTGGTGCCTTCTTAGCTCCTTTCTTATCCTCTACTACTCCTTGAGGTTTCAATTAATCCCATGGCAAATTTTCCACTTCCTCACCATTCTCGTTGGCTGACAACTCAAGTGTGTAAGTATACAAATTTTCAATTGCATACTTGAAAATATACAATGCTCTTGTAATTTAACCCATGCTAACATTGACTTTTGCCATCAAATTTCTAGACCTTGCCATCATGTACATTCTCTCTTCTCTCTTTTATAAATATGTCAATCCTTCCTAATTGTTAGTTACACCAACTTATTTGGATGTTCCTTATAAGTGAAAATAGTCTTCCATTTTTGGATCAGCTAAGATTTCCTCTTTTGGTTTGGTCAATATTCTTTATTCTATTTATTCTTCCTAATTCAACTTATTCAAAGTGTTTCTTAATATAGACTCAACTTTTATCAAGAATTTACACCTTAAGTCGTTAATTTCCCATTTCTCAATTATATCTCCAGAATGGATATTATAGACTAAAACAGCAACAGCATAATTGAATATATTCTCATTTTACAATCCGTATTTTAAACCGAATTCTCTGGTTAACTCCAATTCTTTAAGTATCTTTTCTGTAAGCTATGTGTGTTTCTCATCATAGGGAGGGATTGAATTATTCCATTCTAAATTTGAATACCACCACTTACCAGAAATTCTGGATTGCCAAAGTGAACTTGATTAATCTGGTAGATCCTTCTCGTTTGCAATTTATAATAAAGATTAATATGCTTAGTTGATATATCCAATAGATGACAAGGCAATAGATCTTAAGAGCTTAGCACGCACTGAATAGAAATTACTTTATAAACGATTGCTCAATTCACCAAGTAAATTAATTAGAGGAACAGCCCTTAGAGCCTCATCTCTATCCAATAATAACCAAGCACATCTTTCACAAGACAAAGCCAATTCAGCTGGATCCAAAACATATCTATCATTAAAGATATTACCAATAGCAACTTCCTTTGAATGAATAAATGCTTGCCAATCCAATCCATTAATCATTTATAATTTTAACACTGAAGACACTAATTCAGATGCTAGAATTGCACTTTCTCTCTGTTGATGACAATTAGCATAATAACAATTATAAGCTAATATAGAGCACAATGTAACTCCAATTAAACATTATTAAATGCCATAAGTTTAAGCAAGCAACTAATTATTTTTGTTGCACTCCTATATTATCTATCTGAATGCACTACTTTTCAGAACAAAAATTCTTTGAAATATCGTATCCAAACTCTCACTCCAAGATTCCTCTGCCTATGCATAATTCTACATTGCAAAATTCAAAGATCCCAATTCTTTCAAAGCCAAAGCCTATGCAAATTTCTCTTGTCTCTTATGCAATAACTCACAAGTTAGTTTGTATTTGGATATTACTTACATACCAAACTATTTATGATTCTTCTTCTTTTATTTCAAAGTTTAATCCATCAATTACAATTGCTTCTTATCTATTGTGGTCTATTTTAATAAAAATAATTCAGAATTGAATTCTAATTGTATACTTTCTTTACTCAACAATTCGTCATCGATGGCAAATTTTTCATAGAGTTTACGTGCCTGTTTCAAGTTTTCTAATGCCTAATTGGCATCTCTATTTATTTCTTAGATTAGTTTCTCACTTACTTTTAATTAATTCTCAATGAAGTCTTGTTTATGCTATAGCAAATGAATTTATTGCAACAGCATTTCTTTATCTGCACGATAATCCTATTCTTCCTAGGGTATTTCTTGTGTTAATAATGATGATCTAGTTTTCTTTTTCTTTGTTTATTCCCAAACTTAAAATGCTTATGTCCTTGCATTAAGCTCCTCCTGTTTTAGTTATGTTTTATTCTGGGATTCTTTGAATAGAATGGTCTATGCATGAATTGTAAATGGTAAAATATATTAAGAATAGTAATGAGTAGTCAAATTACAAAACTATCTTGATATTCCAATCAAACTATTCCACTTCTACTCCACCATCAAAGATTAAACTATATATGCCATAATATTGGCCAATAAGTCCATCTCTTTGTACTTACTGAACCAGCAGTCCTTAGACAACTAGGTAAGCAAGGAAGGTCTAATTGGTTCAGTATTAGGCAAAGGTGGCTCAAATACATAATCTTATTATGGCAGATGAGGTTGCAATGCCAATTCATTTTCTGCCTGTTCCTTAACTTAGAACCAACCATGATCCTTGACTTCTCTT